TTTCAATTGCATATAGTTTTTTTGTTTAAACTTATTCCGTTGGTTTTAATGTTTTTTTTATTCGACTAAATACAAAAGAAAAATAAATAATTCATAAAATGGGGCTTTTGTGGAAGCGCATAGATAGTCGCCGTGACCTACCTTTGCCGCGCAAAGTAAACCGCCCGTTCACCGTCCCAAGCCACTCGAATGCTGAGCAGGGTAACCCAGCCGTGCTAACACGGGGTCTCCGCGGGTGCCCCCGTATTAAACCCGTATAATCCCAGCTGATAGAACTTTTGGCAGTTTTTAGCCCAACTGAGACCCCGCTTTAGCCCAGCTGGGTTACATATTTTTCTTACACCCGTTGTTCCTCCGTTTTAGCCCAACTGAGACTAAAATAACCTCAGAAACACGGGTTTAATACGGGTACACCCGTTGAGACGCCTGCTCAGCATGCGAGCCAGCCGTGAACGGGCTATAGCAATGAAACGAAAAATAAAAAAAAATTGGCTTTTGAGAGTATCATTTAAAGTATCATTTAAATCTGAACATGCAGAAAAAAATTTTGTCATTTTATTTCATAAACTGTAAAATAACTACCAAACTGGGAATCGATTTAACTGAAGAGAAATTTTCTTTTTTTTCTGATCAAGTCATCGATATTGGAACATACAATAAAATACTGAAAAATAAAAAAGAACATAGAAAAAAGGAATTAACAGATATAATGAGAGGCACTGAGCAAACATTTCCATGTTCGAAGAAAGTTGTATAATTTTCCTTGCCCATTTGCATGTGCAAAATGTGCATAAAATTTATTCAGACTTTTTTTCCTTACATGCTGATGACGCTTTCAAAAAAAAAAAGTTACACGCGCAAAAAAAAAACCCATTGCCGTAGTGTCTCTAATCTTAAATTTCTAGTCCGAGAGAATTAAATGTATTGACGAAAAAAATTATGGGGGTTCTGGGCTCGGGACGCGTAGCGTCCGCGTACGCGGTTTCAGGCACGAGTAAAATTCAACGACCAGCGACTAATTTTTCGCTTTTTTTGAATTTATTTTTTTGATTGTTTATTGAATTTTTTTTCATTTATGCATTAAAAAAATGGTAGAAAAAAAGAGCGACCGAGCTTTTTTTAAAAGACATAGGGGCAGTAAAAAACGGGGTTTCAGGTGAGAGAAGCTTTTTGAAATAATAATATACTTTTTGACGTTTTTTTTTGTAGGGTTGTTGTCATTATCCAGTTACTTTCACGCAGAGTAAAACCGATTGCGTGTATTTTGAAATTTCCAAGGTATAAACATTTTTTTTTTTCGTGGTGCTCTTCTCAAATTTATGTTTATCCTGAAGTTTTTCATATTTTTATTGATCTTCGGACGCGAGGCGACCTATCAGAACAACTTTTTCTGTTTTTCTTTCTTCATCAGAAGCTTAGAGTTTTTTGCTATGATGATCGCTGCTTTTTATACACCATCAGAAAGTTTTTGTGGCAAAAAAGCTTTGGCGACAACAGAAAAAAAAAAAAATTGAAAAGTGAAAATTGAAACGCTCAAACTTTCCTCTCTCCGACTTTGATTTATTTTTTCTCCAAAACTAGGAAGTTCGGTACGTTTCAAAGTTCACCGTTCGATTCGCAATTAAAAGCTCTACAAAGTACAGCTTTGAACTCGAACACCGTTTTTTACTGCCCTATGCCTTTAAATAGTCAGTTACGCTTGAATCGAACCCGTGTCAAGAACCGCGTACGAAAGCGCTACGCGTCCTGTCCACTTTTTCGGCTCCCTCGCCTCTTACATGGGAGGTCATTTTAGCGTAGGGTCCAGAATTTTTTCTAAATTTGCTCAAAAAATCTTTGATGGACTGGGAATCGATCCCTCATAGTCGCTATCTGCGCAAACTTTTCGTTTTGGAGATATGATTTTCAAAGTTTTTATCCTTAACCATGTGACGCTGTTTGGAAGGAATGTGGCCGCGCCACCAACCACTTCAAGGCAGCTAAGAGCGTGGTGCAGTGGTAAACGCGTCAGCCTGCGGTGCCTATGGTGAAGGTTCGAATCCTTTTGCCGCCAACTTTTTTTGCCATTCTTTTTTCAAGAAATCTGATGAGAATATTGAAATTTATAAGCATAACCGTTCTAATAAGTTCGATAGCTATTTTCTTTCCAAAACAACTTTGTTTTTCCCCGGACTAAATTTTGAAAAGTTTCTGAAGTTGTGGCAGACTTCACATTATCAGAAAAAATTCTCTTGCTCAAAACTTTATGGATTTCCGAAAATTTGCTGGAGTAGGATGGAAATGCAATTTGGAAAATTTTTTCCAATGAAACTCGGACGACGGGTTAGTTTTTACATCTTCTGTAAAAATGTTTCTGCAAAAATAAAGCTAAAATTGACTATTGACATATTGAAAAGCCATCAATCTGTTATTGATCGCAATCAAGACATGCCAAGATATTTGATGAAGGTTTACCGGTTTTCTGGAATTCTTTCTGCTGATTTAAAAAAAAAGTCTTGGATGTTGTGAAGTCTGTCACTTCAGAAACTTTCCAAAATTTTTTCCCATGAAAAAAAGCGATTGTAGCAAAAAAAAAAAATAGTTATCGAATTTTTTTGGGATGGTTGTACTCATAAAAATTCGATATTCCATTGGAACCTTTGAAAAAACAATCGCAAAAAAAAAGTTGGCGGCAAAAGGATTCGAACCTTCGTCATGGGCTCCGCAGGCTAACATGCTAACCACTACACCACGCTACTAGCTGTCATGCAGTGGTTGGTGGCGCGGCCACATTCCTTCCAAACAGCGTTGGTTAAGGATAAAAACTTTGAAAAATCATATCTCCAAAACGAAAAGTTTGCGCAGATAGCGACAATGAGGGATCGATTCCCAGTCCATCAAAGATTGTTTGAGCAAATTGAGAAAAAATTCTCAACCCTACGCTAAAATGACCTCATATAGTCTGTTCAGATTTTGAATGTCAAGTAGAATGACGTCATTCGAAAACGCTCTGTGGATGGCTCGCTCTCTGATTGGTTTATCGCGCCATTAGGGGGCGGAGCTTCAGCGAGGACTTGACATTTGAAATCTGAACAGACTATATGTTAAGTCGTTTATTTTCCAGTCAATCTCCTTACGCGTAAAGGAATGAAAAAAATGTTCCTCAATTTTTTTTAGTCTAAAATGTCTAAACTAAATTAAGCTTTTGATGAAACTTGCTGAAGTTTACTTTAGGACCCCTCATTCCAGAACAAGGAAAAAAAATTCTCGCTATAGATCTCGTTTTCAAGTTAGGATTCTTCAACAGCTCAAAATAGCGCCTTTTTGTCATAATTTGCGTATTTTGCAGACTTTGAAGCTCCATAACTCGGAAACAAGATCTATTGCGAGAATTTTTCCTTGTTCTGGGATCGAGGGTTCCTAAAGTACACTTCAGCAAAGTTTCGGTAAAAGTTCAACCTGGGTGTAAAAAACATTCCCTGATAAGCCAATGAAAATAAATAATTACAAACCTTTGACTTGCTTCCCTCGGTGCAGGTGGGGCAACAGCGGTTGGAGCAAGGCAAAAGGCAGTGAAGCAGCGTCAGCATGCAATTTTCTATTCTCCTTGCTGTCAAAAAAAAAAAAGGAAATCAGAATATATAAACGTTGAATCGATTGACAACAATAATAGAAAGGGCTGCAAAGGCTACCTTAACGGAAATTTTTTAACTTAGGAAAAGGAAGAGGTGAAATTCTGATAAAAATTGAGCTGTTCAATCAAAAATCAAAAATGTTTTATTTCTCACACACAAGTACTAAATTTCACGAAAACTTTTAAATTTTTTTAGAATAAAAAGGCCCCAAGAAGTATATTTGGTTTATTAGTATAATCCAAGCAACCGTATCTATTCGCCGAGGAAAAGAGGGTTTGGATCAATAAATGGTAAATTAGATACGTGAACCACAGGCGCAGTTCTAAAAAGTACCAATGGAGAGGAAAAATGCATTTCCTGCTCCTCTCCATTTTGATTCTCATTCCGTTTTAGTCTGGAGGTGCAATTTCGATTGCAATTTCAAGTCTTAAATAAAAACTCACTTTATATAGAGCTAAGTAGTCCGGAATCACCAAATTACATAATTGTGTGAAAATTGAAGATGGGGATTCCTGCAAGTGAAAACTTGAAACTTGATTGTTAACAACAGAAAATACTCTCGTTGAATGTTTATTGTACTATTGTGGGCTAAAAAATTTTGAAAATCATTGCGAGAACTCGTCACAAGAAAACTGGCGAGATGTTTAGGGGAAAAGGCGGAGCAAAAGTCGTTAAGAGTTTTCTCTTGAGAATTGCTCTTCTTTTTCTTCTTCTTCTTCTTCTTCTTCCTTTTCGTCTCCTACTTTTTCGATTTGCTACACCCCACATTCTTGGAACTCGTATTTCAGAGGTGGTCTGAGTATAGAAAGAGTCGAAAATTGATAAGTTGTGCTTCAAGTCGGATGACGATAGTAAGAACACAGTTTGTAGAGCACTGCACATGTTATTTTGTTCTGCCTCTGAATAAATATTATTATTATTACAAAGGGAAATATGAGCTTGATTTTACAAGAACGTTGTTTTCAACTATTGAATAGGACTTATACGGTTAGGATTATTTCTTCACAAAGCAGTTTTTGCCAGACACCTACCTTCCTTTTACGAGTACCTCGGCAACTTTGTTTTCTGCGATGATTATACTTTGAATGATTTTTTTTTTTCACCCGTTATCTCAGAAAATCGAATTTTTTTTTTGGTACAGAAAATTCGTATCTGTTCCTGAGAGCTTTTCTCATGGTCATAGATAGTTAACTACCTTCCAAATATTTAGAACAAGGTGTCATTAGACTACGTCCAGATTCCTGAAGTCCTATTATAGTTGATATTCAATACAACTACCATGATTCAGCAGAGCCTTTTTGATTTCTCTGATGTCTGAATAAATTGAATTAAATTGAATTGAATCTGGCTAAACATCAAAATGAAAAAAATACCTCCGGAATTTTTTCAAATTAAAGACACTGCGTTACGATCAGGCTTGTGCGTCAGGCCGGCCGGCCTGGCCCGGGATTTGGGCTTTAAATTAAAAACAAGCCTGGATGGGCTCGGGCCAGGCCGGCCTTCGAAAGAAATCTCAAATTTCATTTTGAAAAAAATTCACGGAAAAAAATTATCTTTACTTGTTGAATCATAGTTTCTAATAACTCTATGAGAGAAAATAAGCAAAAATACTTTTTTTCAAAAAGCGGAAAGTTCGACTTGAAGAGAGATATGAGTTTTTTGGGCCGGGGGACCGAGAGGTTGACGGGCCGGCCCTCGCCCAAGCAAGGTTGCGATCTCTGAAATTCCCGAACTTTGTGTAAAGATTCAGTGCGCTGAAACAGTTCAAAAAGTAAATATTTACTAAAAAAATAATTTTCAAAGTTCCGCATGTTGCTTCTCACGGCGTAGTCTCCGCCGGGACGACACAAAGCTCGGGTGGCGCGAAACGTAGTCTTTCATCTAAAATTGCAAGTTTGATTTTTTAGTTTCGTTCATTTTTTCCTCCAAATACATTTTCATTCAATAAATGAGCGTTTTTGAAGAAAAACAAAATCGGGCTTTGAAAAGGACGACATAGCTCTATCAGCGAATATTTTCATTTATCAACTAAGAGACCGCTTCAACTTTTCTGACAAGGAAAAGCTCTGATGTAGGAGGAGCTTCAGTTTTACATTTTGCTGGAAGAAAACAAACCTTCACGACGACTTGGACAAAAGTATCAACGTCAACGATGTAGTTGGCAAATTTTGGATGCGTCTGCCCGTTGGTAGGGTGTTTGCCTTCTTTCTCAGGGATCATTAAATGTAGCTGAAAAATTGACGTTTGCAGCTTGACTGATATTATTGACAGAGAAAACTTTCAATTTATTATAAGAGAAAAAAAATTGAAAACTTTTGATTCGGGCCAGGTGAAGTATTTGACTCCGCGAAGACGAGCCAAGTCAGAGTAGCAGCCGCGGTCCTCGCAGTGGTACCTGCAAGATGATAACAATAACCGGAAACTGATTTAACGGTTTGGTCTGGTCAATGCAACGTCATGTTTGCGACATATGCGTACCCGGGCAGAGTCGGAACGATGGATAAAGGGAGAGACTTGAAAAAGACCTCAAAAAGGCGTCAAAAGGATTCCCTTCATCGAGCCTTTCATTTTTTCTGGAAATTCAAAAGCTCAAGAAATGATTGAAAAAAGGATGGTGCAAAATAGCCAATTTCAATGACAATTTCACTCCTAAGCCCATTTTCTGAAGAGTTTTTTGGAATCTTTGCGAATCGCTGTTTGATACACTCGCTTGACACCAAACTACGGACGTGCATTTGTGAAAGGAGAAAAAATAATAGAAGAATTTCTGCGCTTCTACTGAGCCAACTCAGCTTGCAAGCTGCTGTTATGAAAATAAAAATCTTTTTCCGACTTCTCCACATTAATTGCATTCAAAATAAAATTAAAAAAAATTTTTTTGCGGGTAAAATATGCGAGACGGAGAAAAAAACTAACACTTCGAAAACGGCGGCCCATTCTGGCAGGAAAAGAAGGTGTGTGAGGCCGGCACCATGCATTCCGATGAAAATGTCGGCCTGTGAAGACGTCTTCAGCTGCGAGAGAAACGGCACTCTTCTGTGCCGTTACAGTTCTGACCAGATTCTTTACCAATTCAGAGTTGGCAAAAGTAACCTTGTTGACACCAAGATGTATGTTTTTTGTTTCAAAAATGCTGCTAGAAACGAGTTTTAAGTCTGCGAATAATCTTGCGCGTGAATTGTGCATGCGCCAATCTTGGAGCTCGATCCTTGGAAGTCTCAACCTGCACAACTTTCTAGTTTTTCGAGAAATGCGGGCTCAAAGACCTAAAAGGGCCTATTTTTTCATGAATTTTGAGGTTTTCTTCAGCTTCGAGAACGTCTTTTCCCGAAAAAAAAACAAAGTTTGGCAGGTTGAGACTTCTAAAAGCTTCTACTCGTACATCAAGAAGCGTTCTGGCTAGTTTTTAGGAAGATCCCAACCGAAAAGGAACACATGGAAAACATGCAAAAAAGCGAAGAAAAAATGAAGTTCTTTGTTTTCGGAGATTAGTGCATTTGAAAATTTTGAGTTTTAAGATTCGCGAATATTTGCGTGCTTTGAGATAGCCTGTTCAGACTTTGAACGTTAATCAGTTAACTTTTTTCCTGAGCTATTTTGTCGGCGGCTCTTTTTTCCGCGACTCAGAAGTTTGCGCTATTTTTTTCTGTATTAACCTAAACAACTGTTATCGCGAGAAAAAACCTTACTCGTTGAAGTCCACAATCTTGACTGAAACTCCCGGGATCCTTGTCGACACCGCACTTGCTAACTAAAAAAACTTGTTTTGAATTTTTTTTTTACTAAAACTCTCTATCAAATACTTCTTCTGTTTGACTTTTAATTTTACAATTTTCTTCTTTTCAAACTAGGCGAGCGACAATAGTTTGATATAGTTTTCGGGTTTGAGGATCAATTTAACTGTTTGCTCAGGAACGCAAAAAAGTGTAAAAACGAACAATATCAATTATTTGTCTCGCCGAGATTGAATAAAGCAAAATTTCAAATGGAATGCAAAAAGAGTGAAAAAAAAGATGGATTAGTTTAGAAGTACATGAGCTTTTTTTTCTCTGCAGCTGCTTGCGGCAGACTAGAGCGCTCAGTCGGCCGTTTTACACCTCCCGCTGAGCCGAATGGCGGATCCAGTCGCGTTTCGTGTCGCCGACTCTCAGGTCTGTCATATTATTGGCTTCGGCCTATCTTCCCGAAATCTTTAGAGTTTTTACTGACACACCTAACAAATACTCAAGTAGCTTGGCGTTGTAAGCCGTCCCTCACAACTTTGCCATGTGATTCGAACGCATCTTAGTAAATCAATTCTACATAACTTTTTTTTTTCAATTTTCCCACTTCAACGCTTCATTCTCCCTTCTAGCGTGTTATTTTTAAAACGATCCATGTTCTCATGAAAAATGTTACACTCGAGCTGACTGTGAAAGCAATATTTCTTTTCGAGAGAACTTTTTGAAAATTCTTTCGACAATATTTTTTTTGGGAATCACCTAATCCAACGTTAAATGCTTTTCTTTTAATAAACATTTTGAAGAAAATCGAGCGTCTCTCAAAATAATATAAACCACTGTAGAATTGTCTTTCCTTACTTTGCCCATGGATTTAATGCGATTTGGAAAAAAGATAATAGAAAACGAGAAATCAATTTTGACTAGATCAGGTCATGCCGTCCTACCCGCCAATCGTCTACTACCGCGATACGTTTGGACTTGATGACCGCAGAAGCGACTCTGACAACGACAGCGTCACAACCCGATCCACTGGTTCGTTCTTTTTCAGGCTTACGGTTTAGTAAACCGACAACCCTCTTATCGCTCCCGGAAAAGTTTTTCGAGAAAAAGAGTAGCAGAGCGACTCGTGATGTCGTCTCAGAGTACAAGATGAAAAGCAACATTCCGTCTCTTCTATCCAAATTCGTACAGTTTAAGTGAGAACGACATTCAACGTACTTCCCAGCCAACAAAACACCACAAACAACAACAATATGATGGAAATGAGCAAAATTACCAACTACAGCAACATTAGCAACACATATCATGTAATTTTGTCTTTTTTTTTGTTCTCCACTATTTGATTTACACCGTTTGCAAAAACTTCTTCTAGGTTGAACAGCTGGTGACGAGTAAAATCCTGACTCCGAATCCGCACACGTTACTCATTCTCACATTGATTGCGTTTGCCAGCGCCGTCCAGCTGGTTTAAATTTTTTTTTTCGATGCTTTTCTAAAGTTCAATACAAGTTTTTTCGAATCTACTTTTTATTTCGAAATCCGTTTTTAAGTGCAAATATGCCTTCAAGCGCGCACCAATCACACTTTTTTCAAAGAGCCAAGTTTCAGTTGATATTTTCAACAATAGCAATGTTCTACGAGGGACCGCTGCCGATTACAAGCCTCATTTCGGCGTTTCTCATTGTAAACTGCCTTATTATTATCACCTTTACGCGGTGTCGCCCGACCAGATGCTGGATGGTGAGTGAAGTCTTTTCAAAAAAAAAAAAAGCTTACTGACAAGCTCTCTGGAAAAGGCAAGGATCTTGCGTCGTGCCTAGATGAAATTAAAATCGCGCATCGTTAATATTCGTAATCGATGACATTTCAGAAAGCAAGTCTGATCGCTGGAGCGCTGTCTTTCGTGGAAAGTGCTGGCATCTTTTTTTGGACCGCCTTATTGATAAGTGACGAAGAAAAGGTGAGAGAAAAAAAAGATAGACCCACAAACTGTTGATAATCGGTCTTCCGTATTACAGTACATTGAAAGTGTGGGCGCCCACGACAACCGCATCGTGACTAGCACTAGGATTGCCATGTACTCTTTTTCAATGGTTTTCGCCCCGATTCATGGTTTGGTTATTGTGTTATTCTTCGAGTAAGCCCAAAAGAGATTAAGCCATCGCATCGGCGCTCATAATTTTTGTGCTGAGAAATCAACTATCCATATCTGAAGACGTTGTCAACCACGGTTATTTCCTCAGTGAGCCACAGCTCGGACACCAGGTACGATTTTATTTTCTCATCAAAATTATCAGAGCTGTGCGTTGGACCGTGGGTGATTCAAACTTTTAAAAAATCTTCTTTCATAATTAAAATCCCACAATTTTTCTAATTAACACATTTTCGGTCACTCACTCCCCCATTTACACACTCTGTAAATATTTCGAGACCCTTTACACACTCTGTGAATATTTCGAGAGGAAATTTTTTTAATTAGAAAAAGAGTACAGTAAGTTCGATACTACATATAGTCAGAGATATCACGATTTCCCCGCACGCAAACGATGGCGTGTCGGGCGCGCGAAAACGACGACTTTCCTAGAACCGCGCACTTCCGCAAATGTGACACCTGGCATGCTGGAAAAGTCGGTCGGTTCGGTCGGTCGGTCAGTTTTGAAAACTAGGCCACGCCGCAATATTGCTCTATGGATCACTTAGAATTTCAATTTTTTTAAAAACTTTTCTGATTTTTTTTCCTTTTTTAAATTTTAGTAAGAAGGTTTTCGCTTATTTTCATTCAACTGTATCGTTCTTTGCGAGTAAAATACGATGGTTACTACATTCAAAAATTATAAAATGATTCAATTTTTTTGAAAGTTCTCATTAATTTTTTTGGATCCAAAAATAACTTCAGTTAACCAAATGAGCGAAATAAAAAGCATAAGTGATCTCAAAATGAGATAATGTGTAAAATACACACAAAAAAAAAGGCAAGAAACAAAATTACCTCGAACAAAAGGTAAAACATTACCGAGAAAAACGATAATAAATAAGGAACAGTTCAGTTTCAAGTGAGGAGCACGTGTCCCTATCCTAGAAAACTAATAAAAAGGGAGGAAAAATATAGAAAAATAGAAAACAGTCTGAATTTCGATCTTCTATGGAGCAAATTTACGGCGTTGCCTAGTTTTCCAAATCGACCGCCCGAACCGACCGACTTTTCCAGCATGCGTGTGACAACTTGTCGTTTTAAATCGCGATAGACAGACTTTGGTAGAAAATTACTATCACGTTTCGTCTTTTTTATTTGTGTCTAAGAGAAGAGGAACAACTGAAAGGATAAACTTTAACTAGAGAAAAATGGCTTAAAGTTTTCTCTTGATTATAGAAAATCCTGGTTCCCATCGAGCTGAGGCAAATGCGAGAAACAACAGATGACGAGACGGAAAACGCTTCTATCGGCGTACAGACGGGCGGTTCTCGCGGGACCACCACTTGATTTTGCTTCATCAGAAATTTTGAAACGAGCTGAGAAGTTCCAGACGCCAGGAAAATTCCAATGATTCGAAGATCTCACGAGTAAAGGCATTTCACCGTAGGGTTAAGAACTTTCTGATAATTGTCCCAAATATCCCCTGATGTACCAAAAGACAGTAATCAAAGCTGCACAACTTTGAAGTTTTTCAAGTCTGAAAATGGCCTATTTCAAGGGATTTTGTCGGTTTTCTTCGACTTCAAGACCTTTTTCTCTTGAAAAGGGAAAGTTTTGCAGATTTGGAATCATAGGACCTTGAGCTGGTACATCTAGAAATACGCTGGTCAATTTTCAGAGAATTCCTAAACGCAAAGTAAAGGTACTTTTCTTGTCAGCCAGCATTTCATAGGCGTTCTCTAGACATTTTCACTTAAAATTGGCATACGCGTCCTTATCAAATAAACTTGCTTTTTGAACATTTCTGATAAAGAAACATAATACAGTACAGAATAAATTATGGTTGAAAAACTTAGAAATTTTGGATGGGTCCTGAACGGGGTTTCAGAGAGGCCCTCCCTAGAGGAAACCCCGGTGTCGCAAGGGAGCTTATTTAGATCAAGCTCAAAGGGGCCCCTATAGGGATCAAGCTTCAACAGGTCCCTATAGGTCTATAAAGTTTAGGACTGCGAAAAAACCTTTCATCCTTTTGATAAATTCTTGAAAAAAAAAAGACCGGCCTTTCCGATATTGAGCATTCGACGGAAGGTGGTCGAGCGCGACAGGATCACCAATCGGACTTCCTCAAGCGACGCCTCCCACTTAGGAACGGCTAAACGGTGGAGCAGATGTTCGGAAAACGAGTGCACCAATCCCGAACCGTGGCATCCTGGCTCCTCAAAAAATTTTACCTTTTTAGATGTTAAAATTTGGTATATGGCAAAGGTAGGGACCGCAAGGCCACACCCCCTCGCTGACCAAAAAACGTCGTATATTTCGTTGCATTTTTGACATTTAATTGTTGTTTATGCAGTTTCCCTGAACCGTTTTGGGAAATAATTAAGGGAAACATACAATCGACTATGCTCTACAATTCTACATAGAAGAAATAGCTGTAAATAAAAAAAGAATCGGTTAAAATGACGTTTATTCCTGACGCCTTTGTGCGAAAAAGTGGAAAAACGTTGAATACTTACAATCCCGCTCGTAGGCAAGTTATTTTTTTTTCTTATTTTGTTAAGCATGTAAAAATACACCATATAAGTAAAAATAAAAAAATTCCTGCTTGTGCTTTCAAATATCGAAGTGTCGGAAAAATCGCAACTTTCGAAATTCGGGAATTTTGTCATTTTCCGCGAAATATCGTAAAAAAATTTTTTTTGAACTGTTTTTCTATAAATTTTAAAACATTTTAAAAAAATAAAAAAACAAAACTTTTTATTTCAACCTTAATTTTAAAAAAATAAGTTTTGATTTTTTTGATTTTTTTGAAACACTTGGGAAAGTGTCTAAACAGTCGTAGGCAAATTATCTTATTTTGATTTTGTTTACTTTTTTTCTTCAACATAGTCAAAAACGAAAAAAATCCTGCTTGTGCTTTCAAAATTTAATTCATTCGAACAAAAAAAAAACAGCGTCCTGGATTTGCGCGTTGGCGAAATTGTGCATTCACCGACCCGCGAAAATTCCGAATTCACGATGTTTTCGAAGCACAAATAGCGTAAAACTTTTTTGAACTGAGTCAAAACCTTCAGTAATGCACTTCGGTAAACAAAATAGTACTTCACATGCTTTTCCAGAACAAAAAATTATTTTAGTCGCGCCAAACTCCCACTATCAGGATTTCACTGGAAAACACGTCCAAAGTCGGGAAATTCTCCTGGATAGTACTTAAATGTGAATTTTAATGAGTTGAGCGCATTCAAAAGTATAGTCTGTTCAGATTTTAAATGTCAAGTCCGTGCTAAAGCTCCGCCCCCTAATGGCGCAATAAACCAATCAGAGAGCGAGCCATTCACAGAGTGTTTTCGAATGACGTCATTCTACTTGACATTCAAAATCTGAACGGACTATACTGTATTGCTGCAAGAATGATTATAAAAGTCATAATAATTAATTTATTTGTGTTTCTACGGATTCACACCCTTTTATCGCTTCCGAATTCTGTATCGAATCTTGTTTCAGAGAGAATTTGCGTTTATCTGTGCTTCCTAATTATATTCTAACAGTTTTGAACATCAAAAAAAAATGAAAGTTAATTTTAAAAAGTTTCACCGAAAATTATTTTTACTTGTTGAATCTTAGGTTCTAATAACTCTGAAAAATAAATCAAAAACACCACTTTTGTCGTTAAAAATTTAAAAATTCGACTACAAAAAAATTTGAGCTTTTTGGATCGGGTTGGCCATTTTTGCTTGAGGTCTCCCTAAGGCCGGGCCGGGTCGGGCTTGGGAAATGGGCGAGAGGTCAATTGACTTTCCGGCCCTCACACAAGCCTGGCTACGCTCCAAACGGGGACGCGCCAGCTCACATGGGAGGTCATTTTAGCGTAGGGTTCAGAAATTTTATAAATTTGCTCAAACAATCTTTGATAGACTGGAATCCGATCCCCCATAGTCGCTACCTTCACAAACTTTTTGTTTTGGAGATGTGATTTTTCAAAGTTTATATCCTTAACCATGTGACACCGCGTGGAAGGATTGTGGCCGCGCCACCAACCACTGCATGGCAGCTAGGAGCGTGGAGCAGTGGCTAGCGTGTTAGCTTGCGGAGCCTATGATGAAGGTTCGAATCCTTTTGCCGCTAACTTTTTTTTGCCATTATTTTTTTTAAGAATTCTGATGAGAATATTAAAATTTCTCGAGTAAAACCTTTCCAAATAAGTTCGATAGCTATTTTCGGTATAATCCGACGTTACCAACATGTTTGATTTTCAGCATAAAAGTATAACCATTCGATTCGTCTCATTGAGATACGTACGAATGCCATAAAATTATTTGGCGCTGACCACTTAGAAAAATTTATGATGAACCTTATTAGTTTTCAATCAAGTAATTATTCTGAGGAATAGTAGTGTTTGCTTTTTCTTTTCATGCACTACTTAAGAAAATAGGCTTAGTTTTAAGGCTTCAGACGGAGGCGGAGCGCGCATAGCGCGAAGCCGACTGTGGCTCGCTTTGAAAAAACTGAGCCGCAGGGACCAATTCGTGAAAGAAATGAAATAGTTGACATAAAAAGCATGTAGTTTCAAAACGTGGACCCTAAAAAACACTATCAGGTAGCTTTAAACGATTTGCAAACTTGATACGCGTAGCGAAAAAATCTGTGAAATGTATTTCCCAAAAAAAAGAAAGAAAAATATTAAAGGAGCATACTGTGCGTAAGCGCGGACTTTGACGCGGTCGGTTATTTTTTTAATGTGATTTCTCATTTTTGCATTGTTTTTTTCGAATATTTTCCGAATATTTTTCCTGTTTTTCCTGATTTAAAAAGTTTTTTCTTTTCATGGCGTAGTAGCGATAGTTGAATTGAATCAGCGTCGAAAAATACAGCGAAATTTTTGAAATTTTTGGAGTTTTTTTCTGTGTTTTGCGCACCATAAAGTTATTTCTTCTTACTAGCGCCAAATAATTTTATGATATTCGTACGTATCTCGACGAGACGGATCGAATGGTTATACTTTCATGCTGAAAATCAAACATGTTGGTAACGTCGGATTATTCCCTATTTTCTTTCTAAAATCGCTTTTTTTGATGGACAACAATTATGAAAAATTTCTGAAGTTGTGGCGACTTGACATCATCAGAGAATTTTTCCCAAAAACAACTTGCTCAAAAGATTTATGGATTCCTGAAAATTTGAAAAAAAAACCGGATTAGGATGGAAATGGGATTTGGAAAATTTTTTTCAATAAAACTCGGGTGACGGGTAAGTTTCCATAATCGGTGAAGATGTTCCTGCAGAAATAAGGCTAAAATTGGCTATTGACATATTGAAAAGCCACTGTTATTTATCACAATCATGAAATGCGAAGATCTTTGATGAAGGTTCAGCGCTGAAACATTTTTTGCGGATTTTCAAAAATAGTCTCTGATGATAAGAACTGCCACAACTTCAGAAATTTTTCATAATTGTTGTCCATCAAAAAAAGCGATTTTAGAAAGAAAATAGCTATCGAACTTATTTGGAAAGGTTTTACTCGAGAAATTTTAATATTCTCATCAGAATTCTTAAAAAAAATAATGGCAAAAAAAGTTAGCGGCAAAAGGACTCGAACCTTCATCATAGGCTCCGCAAGCTAACACGCTAGCCACTGCTCCACGCTCCTAGCTGCCATGCAGTGGTTGGTGGCGCGGCCAGATTCCTTCCGCGCGGTGTCACATGGTCAAGAATAAAAACTTTGAAAAATCATATCTCCAAAACAAAAAGTTTGTGCAGGTAGCTATGGGGGATCGATTCCCAGTCCATCAAAGATTGTTTGAGCAAATTTAGAAAAAATTCTGAACCCTACGCTAAAACGACCTCCCATGTCAGGGCTGTGGCGGGAGCACTTGTTTTGCTGTGCCCGTGAGGAAATCGGTTAAAATGCTCAGATTTTCCCCAATTTCCGACTGATTGAGAGAGATTCAGACAAAAACATTCATTCCACCCTAAATACACATTCAAAAACAAATGCCGATGTGTTTAATAAGCAATTAACTTACAAAAATGGAAATTTTCACTTAAATGGAAAATAATTTTTCTCGCAAAATAGACGCATAATCCTGATGAAAAAAAAAATTTGATCCAACTACACTTCTCCACGTAATTATATATCCACTTGAGATTTTTCAAAAAATTCAATAGTTTGAGAGTTTCTGAAAAAAACTGTTTGTAGTAAAATGATGGGAATTTTGATCAAATTAATATAGGAATCAACAAAGTTTTTTTATTGAAAAACAAAATGTTTACAATAAAAAGTTATTATTTTCTCATTATTTTTTTGTTGCATAGTGAGAAAAAAATAAGAGCAAAAAAAGGTCTACGAAAAAGTTGAGGCAACTTGGATTTGATCAGAAAAAGATCGAGTTTTGTTTTGTATATACTCCAGCTCTACAGTCTTCAATGTGAGGGTTGAACTTTCATTTTCAGGGGTAACTCAGCAGTTTGAAAAAAGTTCATCACGCAAATCCTGAAAGGGCGTCAAATTAAAAAAAAAATTCAAAAACCGCGAAAGCCTTTGACAAGGTTATCAGTTTTTTTCTACTTGAACACGCTTTTCTTGATCATTGGGCGGATAAAATTTTAATCTACAATGCAACAAGGTCGAAGAGGAACTTAGCAAAGGTTTCACTCTGAAAATTCTGACAAAAAAAAAGCTCAAAACTAGAAAAAACTTCAACGAAACTAGACTTAAAAAAGGATTTTCCATGATTTTGATTGTGTTGACTTTCTGTTTAATTTTCTTCGCCGAATAAGGATAATAATGATTTATTTAACATTTCAAAACCCCAATTCAGCCGAAATCTTCAATTAAAAAAGATTTGAAATTCGAAGTAAAAAAATAGAGGAAAACAAATCGGATTCCTATGAATTCGACCTAAAAATTCCTTAGTTATTTTCCGATTTTTGTCAGTCTTCTGAGCTACAAGCAGGTTTTTATGAGGCCAAAAAAAAATTTTTACACGAACGGTCCGACAACTTTTTTAAGCATGATAATTTTGGCAAAACTATAAAAAATTAATAAATTTTTTTGGAAAACTCCCTCTTTTCAGTGCAAAGAAATATTTTACAAAAGGTTTTCAAACTCAAATCGTTGCTCACGAGTACAAGGCTACTTCTTCTTCTTCTTCTTCCTATGCCTTTGTACCGCTTGAGAGGCGTCGGCGCCCCAAGTCGATTAGCCGAGGTCCTATCCTGATAATCAGTGGACTGGCTCTAATGACATATCCGTCCTTGTGTGTGACGGCTGGGGATTTCGAAGTCGTGGTTTCCCACTACCAACATTTCTTATACCGCTTTGGGTCGAGGCGGGAATCGAACTTGTGACCATGTGGACCTTAGATAGGCACACTACATGTTTCGCTACGGCGCCCAGTATAAAAGCTACTTATTAAATTAAAAATATACACATCATCATCGATTAAAAAAAGAGTTGATGTTTAAAAAAATGTTTGATTGAAATTTCTATAGCAAGCTATCTTGTGCGCCTGTTTTTTTAATTTTTCAAAAATAAACGCTTGTTTTAAATAAAAAAATTTCATAATTCTTACTAGGGGCATATTGTAGTAGAGACCGCCATACTGACGAGCGAGGAGAGGCAACATCAACGACTTGAAACAGACCCGCTTTCCATCTGCAGTCCCAATGAAAGTTTCAGAAAAATAAGATGGTATCTTCAAATATCCAAAAAATATCCAACGAAGATGGTATTTGCAAGTTCCTAAAATTTAATTTCTAACAAGAAAAAGGCGACTAATTTCGGAATAATAGGATGGCTGGTCACAATTAGTTCAGACAAAACAACTTGCAGCAAGCATTCGATTCTGCGGAAAGTTTGAATATTCTTAAATCAACAATTTCGTTAGTTGGGAAACCATAAAATGGAAATAATTTTCGCTAACCATCTTGTGAATCGATTTGGTTTAAATTTCATTGACGTATTATATCACTAGAACCGAAGGGAAAAAACCAATGATTTTAAGATTTGAAATTTTTGAGAGAAATTTCAAAGAATTTGATATTTATTTTAGCAACTATCAATAAAGCACAGACTCGAGCGCTCGTTGCGGCTCTAGTGTTCAGGTAATTATGTCTCGTTTTTTTTAAATTCTTAGCCATTTTTTTAGTTGCTCTTTTCTGCGCGCATTTTACGCACTTACTAGGTTTGCTTGGCCTTCCCTTTTCGCGTGAATTTTATTTGGCTATCAAAAGAACGTAAGAAAATTGACGATATAAGACTATATTCATGCCTGCGTACCCAAACTTTTCAATTCTATAGGTTTCCACAAACTGAATGCCTTCCAAGTGACGCCAAACGCATGATCGCCATACTCATTAGTGTCCTTGAAAAAAGATCTTTTTTGATGATATTTTTGTCTGCTCACCGTGTCCCACCAAATGATGTCCACATCCATGTGAAACGAACCATTGATGTGTTGTGAAGCGTAGAGATTGATGAAGTCGCAGAAATGATGATACCTTAAAAGCAACGATACGAAAAAATTTCCAAGAAATTCAAAAGTGAAAGCATTGTATCAATATTGAGTCGTTTAGTCTATTTTCGTCGACTTGAACGGCGAGGAAGGCGGAGAAGGAGGCAGGACGCGTAGCGTGCGCGTTCGTGGTTCTTGGCACGGGTTCAATTCAACCTCCATCGACTATTTGGAGAGTTCGTTCTCTGTTCAATTTTTTTTTTTTGAAACTAGTATTGAAAAGCCCGGTCACCGCTCTTTTGTAACTATTCTACTATTCTTGATGCATCAATTAAAACAGAAATAAATAGATAATTAAAAAAAGAAATGAAAAGAGCGATAAACGAACTCGTCAAACTTTCTTTTTAAAGGCATAGGGGTCTGAAAAAAGGGGATAGTATCGGCTGGCGTTTTTGAGGGGTAGCTCACGTATGTCGCTGGCGTTTGAATTAAACACGTGCCAAGAACGAAATACGCGCACGCTACGCGTCCCGCTCACTTTTCTGCTCGCCTTTCAAATCAGGAAGGTTTGACTCTACCTTTTTTCTCTCAAAGCGTCTCTGATCTCCAGTTTTAAAAGCTTTGTGAAACATGCGTTTTTGGTAAAGTTGATGTTAGGAAGGAATTTTGGGTCCCCGAATATTAGTGAGCGTGAATTGTGCATACACCAATCTTAGAGGCTCCTCCAACAAAAATGAGGGTTTACCCCGCAGAGAACCCCGAAAAAAGTGAACTTTTCGTGGATGTTTGCGCTGCACCCCGCGTTGGACCTGAATGGGGTGAACCCCTGGGGCAACTGGTCGGAAATAAAAAGTTTTTTTTGAGCTACCGTAACGACCTAAGATGAAACAATACAAAATGGTGATATTGGGAAACAAACTCCTTCGAAATCGTTTACGGAAGAATTACCTTAATAGGCATTTAAAGCTAAACGGGGTGCACCCCAGGTTACACTGCGGGGTGCAACGAGAGTTCGACGCGGGGTGCACCGCAACTTTTGTTAGAGTCGAATCTTTGAAAATTTGAATCTTTGCAAAAAAGAAGTTAATATTCCCAAGAAGATTCTTGGGAATATTAACTTCTTTTTTGAATTTCCATCTTTTCTTTCCTTCATTTTTTTTTCCTTTGTCGTTCTATTATGAGGATTTCGTGTTTCGACCACAAATGAACACTGTGTGATTGTTTTCAACTAATTTTTTATCAAATAACACGGCGTCCCTAATGGGGGTGAGGGAAGGTGAGCGAGGCGTCAAAGTTTCTAAATTTACAGAAAAAATTTTGTGCGCGCTACGGATAAAATGACGTCATTCTACGCCACAAATTAAACTGAGTATTCAACGTCATTAAGAATAACTGCCGAGATAAACGCGAGACACTGGCGGTACATTGACGAGCTCGCAAATATCTCGCTTTTTTTCTCGCGCCGGTCTCGCATTTTTCTGGGCGCCAGCTCGCACTTTTCTAGGCGCGAGCTAGCATTTCTCTCGCAATTTGAAAATTTCCGAAATGCAAGATAAATGCGAGTTGGCGCCGAGAAAAATGCGAGGTCGCGCCGAGAGAAATGCGGGATCGCGCCTAGACAAAAGCGACATTTTTGCGAGTTAGTCAATGTACCGCCACCACTAAGAATAACTGCCGAGATAAACGCGAGACACTGGCGGTACATTGACGAGCTCGCAAACATCTCGCTTTTTTTCTCGCGCCGGTTTCGCATTTGTCTGGGCGCGAGCTCGCATTTTTTTAGGCGCGAGCTCGCATTTCTCTCGCAATTTGAAAATTTCTGAAATGCGAGATAAATGCGAGATGGCGCCAAGAAAAATGCGAGGTCGCGCCGAGATAAATGCGAGATCGCGCCTAGAAGAAAGCGACATTTTTGCGAGTTAGTCAATGTACCGCCACCGAGCTCGCATTTATCTCGTCAGTTATTCTTAGTGACCGAGCTCGCGTTTATCTCGTCAGTTATTCTTAGTGGTTAATAACTTGTTTGTTCGATCGCCTTCGGCTGAAGTACTGTAGATTTCAAATTTCGCGCCAAAATTTTTTTGACGTCTTGCCACCCCGTTTGGGAACGCCGTGATGATGCGTCTTTCTCGCATACACATTGTCAAAGATTCACTGCACACAGTGTTCCCAAACGGGCGACAGCTGTGGTCAGTAGGTGTGGCTGACTGCAACAGCGGCACGGTTTATTGCAATAGGGGCGCGGGGATGAGAGTCAAGTTTTGTGGATTTAGTGGTTGAAAAAAGACCATTAAATGATGTTTTTCCTAGGTTCTCGCGAGTTTTCAAAGAATTTTAATGTGTATTGAATTATAAAGAACAAATTTAAATGAAAAAAGAGACGAAAAAGTTTTTGCAAAACAAAATATCTCCCAAAATTTCGTTTTTTAGGAAAAATCGTCAAATCGAACTTCCAAAAGGAAAATTGAGAAAAAGCTCAAAGCACTTCTCTTAAGAAATACCATTTGAACGTTTTAAAACAAAAACAGATACATAATAGCTTGTACGAATAAAGTTGTCACCCCAAATGACATTTTCAAGAATAAATTCGTCGAATACTGCCTCGAAAAAAATAATTTTGAGAAAAATCTCAAAGCGTTTCTCTTAAGAAAGTCCATTTGAAAATTCTAAAACAAAAAAACAAACGAAATATCTTATGCGAAATAAGTTGTCATCAAAAATGTCATTTTAATGCGAATTTCTGTGACGAGAACAATCGAAAATCACTTCAAATCTCTGGAAAACGCGATAAACACGTTTTAAGAACACATAAAATGCGGAAAAATACGAAAGAATGGTAAAATACGCGAGAAAAAGAGAAAAAACCGTATTAAAATTGAATGAAATTTTGTGGGGGTGACACGCGCCGCACCGCGTTGCGTTAGAAAAAACTCGAGTTTTCGCCCCATTGCGACGACCTTTTTTTTTCGCTTGCCGCCGTCTCTTTTGGAACACTGGGCTGCAGAACGGCTACCACATTTTCATTCACTCTGTATACATTATCCATCAACTTCCGTTTACAAAAAAATTGGAAAAAGTATAAAAAACCCGCGCCGACGACTAACTCTTCGATTATACCATGATTCAGCAGAGATTTTCTTCATCTAACTCTGAAGACTGAATAAATTGAATTGAAATTGAATAAAAAATCAGAAAAGAGGTGAATATTCCCAAGAATCGTTTGCAAAGATTCAAATTCGCAAAGATTCGAGAATCCAAGAGATTGGTGTATGCACAATTAACGCTCACGAATATTCGGGGACCCAAAATTCCTTCCTACCATCGTAAAGTTTGTATGTATGACGCATACACCTTCAAAACTCGAAATGTAATTTCATAAGTCAGTCAGGACAGGAATACAAGTCAAGTAGCTACCGGGCAGCTACTTGTTTTTCAGCTTCAGCTAATTAATGACCGCAGATTTTCTCATGTCTACCTCCCGAATGATCGGTCTTTATTCCCACTCTCGTCTGGGATTTGATCCGAGCTTTGGACTAGCTGGGCGCCGTACTGTTCCTACATGGAGAAACAGTGATCACAGAAACGCTCAAAACTAGGCAATTACTATCACAAGATTCAATTGACGAGTTTTGGGCGTTTCGGTTTTTTTTGCACGTAAATTTTACATTCGGTCGAACTTTTCCTTTAATTCCTATTCAGATCGTCTAGAGAAATTTCAGCAAACCCCGCTTTACATGAGACAAGTTATTTCTGATGCTCTTCATAACATTGTGTCTGGTCATGATCACTTTCCTCAATTTAAAAATTTTGCCCTTCGAATTAGTTTAAGGCGAAATTCACTTTGGCTGCGTTCTCAAGGTCAGTTTTCTAACAACTTTTTCTTCGAAAAATTTCTATTTGGAATAAATTTACATCCAAATATCAGTTCACCCTTCACCCTAAGTCTCCAAAAAAAATTATTGGTCGATTTACCTCGCAAAAATTTTTTTACCTCTATTCCTCCAAGACTAAACTGATTTCAACTTGTACTACATGCTTTACTGTTTTCTCTTTCTTTTTCTGCATTTAAATTGTAGATGCCCCAGATCTCTCCAAAGCAGCATTAATGGTATCCTAGAATGGTCTCGCATTTGGTCTCTCCCCCTTGCTTCCGAAAAAACTTTCTCAGTTCATTTTGGTCCTGACAACCCTCGAACCCGATACTTCGTCGACCGTCTTGAAATCCCTCAAAGTTCCATTGTTCGTGATCTTGGTCTGTTTATTGATGATAAACTCTCCTTTAAGCAACACATAAATCGAATTTCTGCCTTTGCCACCTTACGCTCTAATCAAATACTTAATACCTTCAAATTTTCTTCTCCTCTTAACTACTTTCGTATGTTTCAAACTTACGTGGTCCCAGTCCTTGAATATTGCTCCGAGCTTTTCTCACCCGCTATTTCATCTGATGAATCCTACAAACTCGAATCATCTCTCCGTCTCTTCAGTCGGAAAGTTTTCATTCGCTGTAATGTCAGCTTCTCTTCTTATTCCGATCGCCTCAATCAGTTTGATATCAAACCTTTGTTCATTCGCCGTAAAATTTGTGATATAATCACCCTACATAAAATTGTCTGTGGCTCTGATCATTGTCTCGATCGCAATAAGTATTTCACTCAATCCCTGTTACAGAGAAATCCACTTCGACTACGGACAGCTGGTCAGTTTTCTAATGACTACTTTTCTAGGACTATTCCTCTTTGGAATAAACTAACTTCTTATTTAGATTTTAACGTCACCCCAGAAACCCTTCGGAACAAATTGAATAATCTTCCGAATCAAGCTTTTTATGAAAATATCCCTTCTCGCCTACTGTAAAAAATTTCTTCTTACTTCCGGGTACCTGTCAACTCGTTGGGGTTGACTCCTTCCCGCGTATTGTTATTCTTCTGCCCGTCATATGTTGATCACTTATAATTTTTTTCTATACTACCTAATGTTTTTTTATGGCAGTGAATAAACTATTATTATTATTATTATCGAAGTGAACTCGTTGGGGTTCATACTGATCTGTAAATAAATTATTATTATTAAGAAGGGCCGTTCTTGATCAACCACAGTTTAACGAACCGACAAACAACTCTTCTAATCCCATGATTCAGTAGAGATTATTTTGTGAAGACTAAATAAATGTGTAAATGTGATTAGCTAACACCGATTTACTAGTGTTCCCTCATTTAAACGTTGAATCTTGATACTCCGAATTTGGAGTATTAACAAACATGTTGAGGGCCGCGTCCAATTTTATGGCAATTGTAGGCCTTTCAAAGACAATGTCGCAGTTCCTCTCATTGACAGCAAACAAGGCATTTGACCGAAAATGATTAAGCTCGTGTGCCCTAAATCTTAACATCTGTGAGAAAAATTGCTAATAAAAGAGGTTTACCAGCTTGAAAGATAGCCAGCTTGTTTCAAATTATTTTGCAAAACTTGAGGCCAAAATGTTTCGCAATTGCCTCCGACTTGACCGTGTTGTATGACATCGTTCCGATACCTGACGTGTGAAATGTGAATGAAGCTTTTTATTGCGTGTTTTGTAGAACCTCTTTGAAGTTGCAGCTCGAAGATTCGACAAGTCAAAAAACACATTTTTTGCATAGCAGTACAGCAAGTTGTCAGAGCAGCGCAAAGAGGATTTCTGAAGAAACTCGCTTTGCAACAAGAAAAACAGATGACACGTTGGAAACCTTTTCCGTGTCGGCCGAAACGCAAACTTCATGGAGGTTCCGACGCGTTCTTACGTATCCGAAATCTGCCTGCTCGTAGAAATTGCTCATGGCTTTTCTGCAAGTTTCGATAAACACAGAGCAGTAAAGTATCAGGTCTCACGGCCACACGTCTTTATCGCATTTTGGCATGCCGACCTCGGCAGAGTAGGACGAATTTTGTTGACAACCAGGCTCGTACCCGAAGCAAAAGCGCTCATCTTGCTCCGAGGCGTACTTAAGAAACCTCGACGGCAAATTAGAATCTGCTAATGCTTTTTCTACGAGTAGAAAAGTTCCGAGTAGCAGCACTAGACTAGTCAACATTTGGTGCTGCAATAAAACTGGTCGATCGGCATATTCACAATCATAGTTACCAATTTGCACTCTCAAACTCAATAGGGGTATGCTAAGGATAAATCAATTAAAATCGGAATTTCAAATACCATTTTTGGGCTTTTGAATACTGTCCCGATGCTAGTTTGATTTGCGAGGGCTATAAAAGCTTTGAAATATGCTGTCGGATAGCACACCAATAGCTATTTCACCGAATACACTGGGATAAGTTTTAGGGGCCCCTATAGGGGGTCGCGATTTTAGGGGGCCCTATAGGGGGTCTGCAAGTGGTCTTTTTAGGGGGAAATCCCTAGGGCCCCCTATAGGGGGTCCTAAATCGCTCCCTAAAAATTGCAAGACCCTCAAGGGGTCGCGAACACCCCTTGGAACGAACGTGGTTTTTAATATCTTTCCCATTTTCTAAGTTTTGAGTTGACTCAGTCGACTCAGTTTTAGTTTAACTTTATAACTTGTATTTATATTTCATCAATTTCTGTGGTGCTTAAGGAAGTAATACGTTATTCACGAACGAGTTGTCAGTAGGATTTTTTCGTTATGGTTTCAAATTGTATTATAATGATTTGTGCGTTTTTTTTTTGTGCTCCATAAAAGTTAACACGGCAATCTGTACATTGGTTCAGTATTTTTCAGTGTTTCGTTTATGTACAATTGATATATTGGTTTATGTAAATATGTTCAGAGTATTTTTTTTATTTTGCTATTTTTCAGAGTTTCGTCTATGTATAATTGGTCTACTGGATTGTGTGAAACCGTTAGAAATTCACCGGTAGATGATGTTTGTTGGAGGTTTTTGATGTAAATGCGTGTTTATATATTCTATTTGATTATTGCTCGTTAAAGAAGGATTAATTTTTTATTAAGATGCCGCGGAGTCGCGATTTTATTGATGCGCATTGGTTCTACAGCAGCGATGAAGATTCTGAAAGGTATATCGAAAATGTTGATAATGATAAATGATCGTAGAAGCACGGAATCAGCCGACGGAAATTTTGAGCCGCCACATGAACCAGAATCAACGGAAGATTACCGCGGGCCGAGCAATTCAATAAGTTGCTTTCAAATGTCAACGTTGGTTGTTTTTTGCTAACTGTTCAATTGTTCTTTTTTTTATGTGCCAAACTTTTTGCTCTTATGTAAGTAGTTTCAACCGTTTCCGTGTCGAAGTCCCAACGTTTTTTATTGAAAGTTGCCCAATTATCTGCCTTGACACAATGCGTTTTTCTTCTATTTTTTTGCAAGTAGCGCTTATATCAATATGCTTTAGGCGTATCTTTATTGTCTTGAAGAGCTCCTATTAGATTGATCAATACGGTTTCCGTTGGCAGTGATTTAGACGTGTCAAATATTTATACGGGTCTTTTTACGGCCAAAAAGTTTTTTTTGCTTCCTCGAATATCCTGTTACGTATACATATCTTCAGTTTTTTTGCTCGTTGTTTTGTTACTTATGTCTATCTGTTTCCATTGATGATCCTGATTGCTTTTTAATGTTTTCAATTCGTTTCAATAAATTTGGAAACAGTTTCAAACGCGATGAGATGAGTTTACTGCGGATGTGTTAACGATTCGCATTCAATAAGGGTTTCTCTATTTCCTCCCGGAGCTATTTCAGAAATTTTTCCGTGCCCCCCCTAAAGGGACCCCTAAAAAAATTCGTAGGGGTCCCTATAGGGTTTCATTTAGGGACCCCTATAGGGCCCCCTCCAAGGGGCCCTAATTTACCCCCTATAGGGCCCCCTAAAACTTATCCCAGCAGTCTGTTCAGATTTTAAAGGTCAAGTCCTCGCTGAAGCTCCGCCCCCTAATGGCGCGATAAACCAATCAAAGAGCGAGGCATCCACAGAGCGTTTTCGAATGACGTCATCCTACTTGACATTCAAAATCTGAACAGACTATATCTTATTTATTGGATGACTGCCTTGATTGACTTTTGACAATTGCTTGAAATTATCGTGGGAGGTGCGTCGTTGAGTCGGCCCTTTGAACGCGCTTTTTTGGACGAAGGTGGACGAATGACAAGGGCTTTTTCACAAGTTTTTAGTGATTAGTTTTGTTAATTCTCAGCCGATTTTCAGGTTGTATCAAAAGTTTTGGGATCAAAAATGACGGAACCAGGTCGTAGTTTCAAGATTAGCGTATGGAGCGCAATTACTGCCTTTTCGACGGCTATTCGACGAGTTGATTCAATTTTTGTTTCATTTAAGATTAAAAAAATTTGCGCTAAAACTAGGTCAATTTTTATGGTCAATCATAGTCAATTTTTCTTGACTTGAGGCGAGGGACGCATAGCGTGCGCGTTACGGGGGATCTTCAAGTTAACCTTCAGTGATTTTTTTTTTAGAGATAGAAAAAAAAAGTCAAAAAATGCAGCCATATTAAAGGTTCATCGTCACCTTTAATATGGCTGCATTTTTTGAAACATTGACGCGAAAGATATTGTAGCCTTAGGGCGACTTTTTGAAAACCCTATAGGCCTATAGCAGTAGGCACTTTCCAAAAGCCGGACAACGCTGGTTTGAACACGCCATCGCTAGGATTAGTTTTGATTGAAAATATGGCGCGTGCAAGCTGGTTCAGAATATATTTTTATTTTCAAAAATAAAAAATTCATTCATTTTCTACAAGTAATCGATTTAGAGAAACGACTTCGGAACCTGTTTTCGCAATTTAGCAATAATCGTTTATTTCATTCACAATGATGACAGAAAATGCAGACAATAGAACAGAAAGGCATGATTCAGATGATTGTGGTGGTAACCAGGTGATAAAATGAAAACGGTCGGTGGATGGGAATATCCAAATGAAAACTCAAAGGCGTATGACGACTATTTTTGAGAAGTTGGTCCTGAAAATTCTCCTCTTTTGAACACAGTGAAGGCCAAAAATAGAAATCAATGAATAACTGAATCGAGTTGAGCACAAATTATCCAACCTGATGCAATTGAATGAAAAATAGAATTTTGATATAGTGCGTTCCGCGCGAGACAGTCACGTTTTGAAAGAACAGAAAAGAAAAAGCTACCCTAAACATGAACTTTCGCTCTACAAACTGCAAAAATGACAGTAAAAAACGAATGTATGGAAGCGAAGCTTCTCAATTTTGAAAGAAAAACGTGACGATCTGGCGCGGAATGGGCTATTAACAAAGAGAGAAAGAGACAAAAATGTAGTTTACGTAATTTTGACAATTAAAAAGGCCGCGTCCGAGAGTTGATTTCAGGAAAAGTGGCCGGAATTCCGCGTCTGCTGGATCCGCATGTCTGACAAAATGTGCTCCAATCTATCCACTTTCAGCATCAAGTCATTGACGATTCGGTTCACGCATCCCGTCAATCCCTGAAGAGTATTTTTGATTATTTTTTTTTTGAAATCAAATTATAATTAAAAAGAACGATCATTATCACTGTTCCTAACAAATGTGGAAACTTAGAAAAACAGAATCACAGTGTTTCAAAAACGGGCGAAAACAATGGTCGTCTCAATGGGGCAAAAAAACGCGAGTTCCTTCTAACGCAACGCGGTGCGGCGCGTGTCAACCTCTCAAAAATTTAATTCAATTTAAATATAGTTTTTTTCTCTTTTTATCGCGTATTTTTTTAGATTTTTGAATCGTTTTTACTTTCTGTTGGGTAATATAACCGTGTTGGATGCGTTTGAAAGGTACTTGAGGTAATTTTTTTGATCGAGAAGGTCCCGAAATTTCAACTAAAATGACATTTTGACGAGTAACTTTTTTGCAGAAGCTACTTGGTTCATGTTTTTGATTTTAAATGCTCAGAAAGAGATTTTTAAAATAAACGCCCAGAGCTTTTTTTTTCAAAATTTTTTTTTCGACGTTTTACAAAACATATGTTGTCTAAAATGACTTTTTGAGTTATAAATTTTTGTGCCGAAGCCAATTGATTCTTTTTTTCGTTTCAGAATATCCAGAATGCGTTTTGTGAGGGAACCGTCATCGGTTTTTTCCTTCAAAAAATTTTTTAGGACTTCACGCGACGAATTGTCCTGGAAAAAAGCATTTCGTGTGATAAATTTTTTGGCAAAAGCGATTCCGTTCATATTCCATTTTCAAAAGGTTCATTGTGTGTTGAAATATATTAAAACTACTATATAAGTTCAAGGAGGCGCTCTGTTTTCATCCAGTAAATGCACAAAATCGGCTCCTAATGTCGCGCCACTATTGCAATAATGACCACATCTGCCGCCTGTTTGGGAACACTGTGAGAATAACAACTTTATTTCGCAACAGTGCGTTATATTCTGTTCAGATTTTGAATGTTCTCCGCGAGAAAGTTACGTTTTGAAAGAACAGAAAAAAAAACTACCGTAAACACAAACTTTCGCTCTACAAAACTACTAGAATGACAGCAAAAAAAAGAGGTCTTCAAGCAAAAATGCTCGATTTAGATTTAGGTGTTTTTTTACGCAACTATTAAAATATCTAAAAAAGAAAGAACTTTTTCTGATATTTGAACGCTCTGCTTTCAAAATTTCAGTTTATCTTTATATTTTTGTACTTTCCTGATTTTCAGGCTCACACTTTTCAACCCGCTAATTATAGCCTAACGAAACTTACTGACTTATTTTCTCGATGCTTGGAGCACAAGATCAATTTTTTTTTTGCACCTCTTTGGATTAGTTATAAGCTTTGTCAAAAGACGTTCTAAAGTGTGTATTTTTACACTCTTGTAAATTATTTCTCACTAGGGACTTCGAAAAATCCTATCCGGGCTTCAAAATTTTTTTTGAGAAGAATTGAATGATTTTTGATTACCAGGCGGAAAAGAACTATCTAACCTCCTAACATAAGCTCAATCGGAGAGATCGAATTTTTGAACTTTGATAGCCCATATCTTTTTTCACAGGCTTTGAGAACAAATTTCGCGCACAGATTCGGAATCAGCGCGAAAAAAACTAGCGAGCTTAGTTTCTGTTTTTTTCTCGTCTTTTTTTAGCAAAAAAAGAAAAAAAGAGAATTAACACTAACCAAATTGTTTCTTTCAAAGTCTATAAACAATTTTTTTATCTAAACAAAAATTTTTTTTTGATTCTGTTCTTTAATAGTGATTCAAAAATTCTTTAAAAATTTTTCAATGCTCAAATGGAATAAATATCATTATCGAATGTATTTTATTTACTGCCTTCTGATAGAGAATCGAAATGACTATGCGATACCTTGAAAGTATTCAAAAAAAAAATATATTAATTTGAAAAATGAAAGGGCACCATCGATATTAAAATAAATATGAAAAACTTCATAACCATTGAGCAAAAAGAACAGTTCGTGATTTAGTGACGTTCGCGAAAAAAAAAAAGAAAAAAAAACGGTCGCATTTTAGTAACGTTTCGCGACAGAACGAAATTGCGAGCGGTTGTGAATTAGTAACGGGGGTAAAAACGTCCGCTGGTAAAATATGATAATTGTTTCCCGCGAAGAAAAACCGTTGGGATTGCACTCGTTTCGATACACACGTTCAATCAAGGAAAAACTTGCCTTGTTGGACTGGCATGGCTTTTGAACAGCGGATGGCTTGTTTTCAGCTCCCCAGGCGTCTCGCCCAGTATCGGGTGGCGTTGGCGCGAATTCCAAAGCTCTTCTCATCGTCACTGCAACTTGCTTTTCCTGACAAATTTTGGGTGTGACGCGAGTTCTAGTCAATTTTCCCGACTTGAAAGGCGAGGGAGGCGGGCGAAGGGGCGGCGCGTGTAGCATATGCGTTCGCGGTTCTTGGCACGAATTCAATTTAACCGCCAGCGACTATTTGGAGAGCTCGTTTAGCGCTCTCTTTACTTCTTTTTTAATTTTTTATTGATTTTTTTCATTATTGAATCAAAAAAAAGTGGATACAAAAAGAGCGGTCACTGAGCTTTTTCAAAAAGTCGATGGCGCTCGAATTAAACTCGTGTAACAACCGCGAACGCACACACTACGCGTCTCTCCGCTTCGGCCGCCTCCCTCGCCTTTTAAATGGGGGAAAAAAATTGAAAAAGTAAATTATTATATTTTTTTCAATTTTCAATCGCTTGAAAAATTCAACCAAATTTTTTTTGGCCACCTGTTTACTGGTTGAAATTTCAACCCAACCATTTTTCAACCAGTCAACCGTTTCAAAAAAAGATTGAACGAACATTCGATTGAGTGGTTGAAATTATGGTGGTATGAAAAAAAAACACCAGCGAAAATTCAAACTGCGACTTTTCTGATTTTTTCATATCGCTAGGGAACTTTCCGACTTTTTTCCTTATGTTTTTCGGTTTATAAAACATCTATAAACAGTTTTTCCTATTTCTTTGTGTTTTAATCACGAACCAACTACCTACTTTATATAGGCAGAGACAAAACGAAGATTTCATCGAGAAAAAAAAGTCGGAAAAAGATACGTCGGAAAGGTGGCCGTCGGAAAGTTCCCTAGCGATATGAAAAAATCGGAAAAGTCGCTGTTTGAATTTTCGCTGGTGTTTTTTTCATACCACCGAAATTATCAGCTATAGTACAGGCCTTTACGAAAAGCTACGCGCTGGGCCGGCCGGGCAATAATGTTCCAACACCGTCGAGAATTTGCCATTTTCGAACTTTTGTTTTTTGAAATTTCCAGTGTTGAAATGGTGAACTGAGTGGTCGAAAATTTGTTATTCAAAAAAACATATGTGAAGTTAATTATGAGTGAGATAAAAAAAATTCCGATTGCGACTAATTTTGGGCTGATTTGGCCATCACCGCCGGTCCACAGCTGTTTTTACGGAGAGCTGTAAGACAATTTTCTAGAGGAAAAGGGCTGCCTGCACGGTAAAGTTCAAGTGCGTGGAGATCCAGAGAAAAAACTCCAACATTTAGGACTACTGGGTCCGGGTAAAGGTTCTTCTGGCGTTTCCTCTTGTCGCTCTACTCGAAGAGGCTCCACCACGAGCAGAGGTCGTTCCGACTTGAGGTCGTCTCTGAAATAACGAATTGGAAGAGAGAAGGGTTGTGACGCTAACCGCAACCGATACATCTCTTCAGCAGCCACTTGGCGCTCGTAAAGCTCGTTCTCAAGAAGTGCAATTTTTTCAATGGAAACGTTCCACTGCAAAAAAAAAATCTCATCAGTCAGTTTAAATGGCAATTCGATGAATGCAAACAGAATTTTTCGTGCTCGGTTACGCGTTTCAAGTACCACTCTACGCGGTGATGGGGAGGCAACGCCATTTATGGCGGCTAACGGTACACCGGTCACGCAGTTCGGCTTGCTTCTGCTAACAGAATGGGCGGTCTTTTTTAGCCCTGGCAAGGCAAAAAGGATAATCAGACCAAAATTATGCTATAACACGTTCAACACCACGGATGGAACTTTTTCGCAAGAATACCAGTCAACCAGGACGACAACACTGGATGACCAATTGCATAAGATCTCCTGGAAAACGTGTGGTCCACGCTTCGATCTATAAAAGGCACTAAAAGGCAATAAAAGGTCGAAAGCGAAGATGGACCATCTAAGTAAGTAAGTAAGTAAGTAAGTAAGTTACGCGTTTCAAGTTGAAACTACAGTGACTTATAGACTTCGGTAAGAGCTCTGAGAAGCAAGACAGATTATCTGCCAAATTACATAGGATTCTTAGAAAAAAGCTTCTCCAAGAATTCGAGGAAGATTCGTGTTCCTCTCCTACCGAGGTCGACTAGTGCAGTGATTAGAGGGCCAGTCTCATGATCGACTATTTTCAGTAGATTGGATTCCTGTCGAGGGCAAACTCTTTTTGCGTTTTTCTAAAAAACGCAGAACATTTCAAAAATCATGATGAAAAAGCGTTTCTTGAAGTATCTGTATGTAGCTCTTATGTTTTGAAAAAATAAATAAGCAGCCTTTTGTTCAAGGTCGAGAGCAAGCTGCTCGTTGCACCGATCTCTTCTCTCCAAGTCATCGTTACGTTGCTCCAAACGACGAATTTCTTCCCGCTGCTTTTCACATTTGTCACGAAGCCAATTTACCTAAACAACGATTCTTTTGGCGCGAAACTCGACGTAGAATGCGAGCCATCTTTTTATGCGTTTCTACTTTTTAGTCAGCTTTTCAAAAAATTTTAATTTTTCATCGTTCCGAAAAAATTAATTTGAACGAATAAAAGAATGAAACTCAATTTTTTTTTCCTAAATTATTCAAAGTTTGCGTTTGACCACGAGTTTCCCGTCAAATAGCCGCGTCACGTACGAAATGCTCCACCATTGCCAATCTACCCATATCGCCTTTCAAGTAGGAAATGGATGGACTATAGAAGAATCATAAAATTTGTTGCGGAATTGAAAGGTGTGAGAAACCAGGTGAAGACACTTTTCAATCATTGTCCGAACTGAAGTTTGAAAAGAAACGCACCTCATGACGTAGCGTTTCTTCAAGTTTCGCCGATTCTCCGCGCTCTGTTTCTTGTCGTTTCTGTAAGTGAGGAAAAGCAATTTTTTCGCTTGAACTTTGTAATTTTCTGTTTTTGTTTTCATTAATTTTTTTTTTATGAACTCGGTTTCATGGCTTTTTTAGTGGAGCCTGCCGTTACCCGAAAAATTGAACTCTCAACTCGGGTAAATCGGCGTACCCACAGAATTCGATCATGAGACTGCCCCTCTAACCACTGCACCAGTCGACCTCGGTACGAGAGGAACATGAATCTTCCTCGAATTCTTGGAGAAGCTTTTTCTCAGAAGCCTATGTGGTTTAGCAAATAATCTGTCTTGTTTCTAAGAGCCCAAGTAGTTATTACCCAAGTCTACGGTACCTTGCAGTAAGATATACAATTTCAATTTTTTTCGTCATTACTTTTGCAGGAATTGTCCAATTATCGTCAAACTTTCTACAGCTGTTTCAGTTTTTTCTTTCAGAAAAATCCGTTTGATAGCTCATTTTTCTAGTATGTTTTTTTTTTGAGAATTTGTTATCATATGGTAACAGAACACTCTTGAGTTATTGTTGAAAAACGCTTAATAAACATTCCTTTTCTGTTTGAGAGCATAAACCACAGAAATTAACTCTAAAATCCCACAGGAAGCTGAATAAACTCATTTCGATCAGATCATGAGTTCAGCCTTGTCGGCTTTTGAGCGGCTGTTTTTGGCTCTTCCCGTTTCAAAAACTGATCAGTACTCAGTTAAACTTTACTACAAGTTAATTAATGAAGTTCAAAAAAAAAGAAATCCATCAAAACGTTTGTGAGGGAATCGGTAATCCAAAAATCCCAGAAAATCAAGGGCTTCTGAACTTAGAGCTTTTTTTATTCTGGGTAATAGATTTATTGTTGAGCAAGCGATGGTAAAATGAACTCAAAGCTTCAGTCAACCATAAAATGAGTTCAACAACGGTTTCCTAGAGCGGATCGACTTACTAGAAAAATGGGCTATCAAACTAAATTTGTTCTACAATATTCTATCTCTTTCTAGACTTTACGGTTGTATTACGTCATAGGGAAAAATCTTAAAACTCCCCTTCTAGAAAATTCCATATCTTTCTAGAAAGTTCCAAATCGTTCCAGAATGTTCTATAACCTGGCGGAAAGATCTCTAAGCCTATGGAATGTTCCCTCATGTTCTTTTCCTTATATAATCTCTAAACTCCACATTTCTTCTGTAACATTCCACAGTCTTCGGGATCTCTCCCCTCAGCCTATAAACCCCGTTGTTTCTTCTTTCTCACCAATAAACTTCAACTACAACTTCACGTTCTCTACCTGCGGTAACAACAACTAGATTTGGGAAAAATTCGTATTTCGCTTTTTAAATTTTTTTCGTGCTTTGTTGAGTCTCGAATTTTTTTTTTATATTTAACATATTCAAAAAAAACCTGATATCGTTCGGCATCGAGTACAGCTTGCTGACTTCGAAGCTCTGCCGCTTTAAATTTCGTCTTCATATCCTAAAAAACAAGAAAAGACTATGAATGAAAAAAGAAAAGACCTCTAATTCGTCCTCCAAAAGCTTTTCCATCTGCTGACTTGAAACTACATATTCGTTGTACTCGATCTGAAAAACTAACTTCAGTTTAAGATGGAACATTATTTCAATTTTTTCAAAGTTCGATGAAGATTTTCATAAATAACGAACTTTTAGTTGCAAACAATGTCTCAACAATTTTTCGTGGGTGTATGATTGTAGCTCTTCATCGGTCAAATTCATCTGAAACTTAAAAAAATTACTGAAACGACATAATCCCATATGAACATGTACGAAATAAAAATCGCACATTTTTATGAAACATCTTAAACTTCGATGATACCAACATACCGCGAACTAATCGCTAGAATGACCCAAAGGAGGCTTTATGGAGACCAATCTAATCGATTTTTCTCATCTTGGATTTACGGGATATCAAAACCAAGAGAAAAAAGATAGGCAAAACCACGTCACTGTCCTCTACAGAAGAAAAAAAGGTGAAGACTTTCAATAAAAATATTTAGTCTAATGGAAAGGTTAGTTTTAAAAGTTTTCCTGACGACACCCTGACCGCAATTTGCGTGATATATGACGTCTTTGGTGCATTCACTGCGCAACGCTAACTCGCTACACATCTACTTGGATCGTAAAAATAAATTTTACTAAATTAAGTAATGCCAATGTGGTCCATGTAGGGTTCGAATTCGAGAGTGCAATATATTATCTAGTTCAGTGGATACGCCGATTGAGCTGTGAAAAAAGCGGATAGAAAATATAATTTTAATGAAGCATGATATAATATCAAAACGTTACTTTATAATCTAGTAGTTTCTTTCCGATGTTCAGTGATTAGAAATTAGAGATCAAGAATTACAAAAGACCTGCACAATCCGAAAAAAAATTTTCCTGAAGAAAGTTGTCAAACAAAGTTGACAAACAAAGTGGGGGTCGCTAGCATGGTGAAAGCGTCCGGTTCTCAGAGAAAACTGAGCGGTATACCGCGGTACTTCGTCAACTCCTGAGCCCCGTCTTTGATCCTAACATGCGAAGGGAAAGAGGGAGAATGAGAGAAAAAAAAAATTAGTAACACAGAGTCGATCGTTTCCGGTTTTCAGATGTATTTGAGAGGGACGCCCTGAGCTCGGCAAATTTACTAAACGAACTCGAGAAAAGTCCCTTTGCCACAGATTTTTCTTTTTAACCGTCGTTTCGATTTTTTCTTCAGTGAGTAAGAAAAAAAACTTTTTGTTTTCTATTTATGTATTTGATGTTTATAAAGTCTTGAATGGTCGCAATAATTGGTCAATCGGTTAATTTAGCTAATTTAATTTATTAATTTACTAATTTAGGTTAATTTAGCTAATTTAATTTATTAATTTACTAATTTAGCTAATTCTAATTTAGCTAAGTGCACTCTCAGATTTAATTCGGCGATGCTAACAATCAATCAATAAATATATGATACAGACTCTAACTTTATGGCTTTTCAGTAGAGTCTGTGTGCCACGACTTGAAATTTCACCGAACGACATTCCGCTGTTCCGCTGCGCGCCTTTGCGAACCTTGGTCGCGCTTTTAGATTTTTTTTTTCCCTTATATTATGGTACTCTACTTTCCTGTGCTACCACAGCAGTAACAACCATTTGAAAGCGTCACCAAGATTCGAAAGACGCTTCGCGAACGCACACAGCGGAACAGCGGAATGTCGTTCGGTGAAATTTCATATCGTGGCACACAAACTATACTATTTTTGTGCTCTCTGAAACTGTCCCACCTCTATCTCGATTTGTTTTGAAAGCATACTTTATTAGAAAAAAAAGTGAAATCTATTGGGCCCGAAATTGTGAGTGAAGGGAGGATTTGAGTCTATTCAGAACAACGATGAAGCGCACAGTCATCTTGTTCACGAGTTTTGCAATGGCCTCTGCAGCTATTCAGTGCTGGTCTGGCCAGCAGACGTACCCAGCAGGCAAAAGAACAGTCCCTTCCAATATGCAACCTTTCTCATCTGGTAGGTAGAAGACTTCAGCTTCTAATTTCTCAATCTTCTAGGTTGTAAGAAGAAAAAAAATAGCCAAACGTAGAAAAGTTTTGGTTGTATGAAAAACAGACCAGCGAAAATTCAAACGGCGACTTTTCCGATTTTTTCATATCGCTATAGAACTTTCCGACGGCCACCTTTCCGCCGAATTTTTTACCGACTTTTTTTCTCGATAATCTCCTCGTTTTCAATCTTCCTATATAAAATAGGCAAGTTATTCATGATTAAAAGACAACTAAATAGGAAAAAAATTTGAATAGATGTTTTATAACCGAAAAATATATGGGAAAAAAGTCGGAAAATGATTCGGCGGAAAGGTGGTCGTCGGAAAGTTTAGTGCTGCTGACGGGGCGCCCCGCTGTTTTGAGCAGTCGCCCCGGGGTAGATAAGTTAAAATGAAGTTTAAGTGAAAAAATACGCAGAGTATCGACTGTTAAAGAAATCTATTGGTCGAAAAAAATGAAAATTCATTTATATCATTGAGTAAATGTACAGAAATCTTCTAACAGTGTAACCGCTTCGCGGGTCTGGTCAACAGCTCTGGGAAAGTTCCTCAGCGATACGAAAAAATCGGAAAAGTCGCCTTTTGAAATTTCGCTTTTTTTCATACCATCAGAATTTTGAAAAATCTGTCCAACTTTAAGAACATGAAGCTGATTTTCAGCTTTGTGCAACGACGCAGACTTTTGCTACGACAGCTATGTCAAGCGAAATCATGACGGCGACGACAGCTACACTGTGACCAAAAGCTGTGGAGAGCCTGGCAAATGCTTTGTACGTCCCAGTTTCAAATACACAGTTACTCTCACTAGGGCATGGTCTCCGCTCGACAACGAGAATTGAGACTTTGTGGGTGGATAGGCCTAGTAGAGAGTACTCAAAATCAAAAATAAAATTCTGCTAAACCCCACAGCCGACCGAGGACAAGCTCGTCGAAAGTTTTCCAGCGCACATATGGCCGCGCTCGGAGCCTTCGGCTAGTAACTGGCGGCGTGGTGTAGTAGGTTGTGGTCTTGTGCATTATCAATATTGTGACCATGGTTCGACCTTTTTGGCGGAAATAGTTTTTGCCGGCTCACAACTCATAACTTTATTTCTTTCTCATTTTTTGGTAATTTTTTTTAAAGATTAACATCAAAACTTGTAGAAAATTTTTATTTCTAATACTTTTCTCATGGCACGTTTTTCTTCTCGTATTGAGGAGGTTATTCTCAAATAGCTAGTTTTGTTGGAAGACAGGCAATCAGCAGCATAGTTATTCAAATTAAGCTCATTCCGCGCAGTTTTCTGTTGGAATTTTCGAAAATCGCCATATCTTCTGAAACCTGGAACGGTAAATCAAACGGAAAAGTTTCATTTTAGTTGTTTTATTGTGTTATTGTGTTTCCGTTTAATACACACGTGTCTGAAAGACAGGTAATCGTAGGGACCGCAAAGCCACGCCCCTTTTCGCGATAGAAAAAGTGGCTTTTTTTTGGTTTTCAACTTTCATTTTGTTGTAGTTGTAAAATATGTGGAACTGGCGAATAAAATTTGACACACATGTACAGAAAAAAGCTTCCTCTTTCGTTTAAAAAAATATTTCACGTTTTTTTGATGCGTTCGCGCGGAATGTCGTACAAAAAAACGTGAATGGAACTAAAAAAATTTTTTTATCGTTTTTTTGCTTTTTTTCAAGTGTTTTTTTAGGTCGAACGCACTCTTTCTTTTTTTAAATAATGATTTTTGATTCAAGTAACGGTAATTTTAAAACAATAAAAATAAAAAAATTCGTCTTTGCCAAAAAAATTTAGGGAGCGCCGAAAGTCATAAATCAAAAATATCGTTAATAAGCGAATATAATCGAGTTTTCGTTTTTTTCAAAAATTTAGATCATGAGCTTACTTAAATATTTCTCTACAGCATCTTTGCTTGAAAAAAAGTTGTTTAATACGCAAAAAAATGCTCTTGAAACTAGAGAATAAAAATTAGCGGCGTTTATCACACAGAAAGCGATCGAACGCAGGTTTTTTTCAAACGATTATATACATTTATTAGTAAAAAAATCTTTCAATTAAAAAGAATAAAATAAAAAAATTCGTCTTTGCCAAAAAAATTTACGGGGCCGTTTTAATGCAGCGATCGTTAAACGAGGCAAAAAAAGCACTAAAAAAACAGTTTTTTTCGAAGTGAATTTCCACGAAAAGTTTGAGTAAAGATTTGCGAACATATTCTGATAAAAAAATAGCTAAATTACTTCAAATTTTTTTATTTTTTTGAAATAGGCAATCTGTGCTATTTAAACGGCTCAAGGGTAAGGCGGATGGAAGCTCCCCGCGCTGGACCTAACAGCTTGGCGCAGCGCGTGCGCTCCGATTTTTCATTTTGAGATCGCGAGTTCGATGCCCGCAAGCGCCAGTTTTTTTGTTTTCTGCAAAAATACAGACTTTTTTTCGGCAAACTAGCTGATTAGCATCATTTTAGCACTCTATTATGATTTTTTTTACATCATAATAGACCAGTATCAAAAACTTGTTCTAGAAGGAAAAATCGAGAAAAAAATGTCAAAAAAATGGATAATACCAAAATTTCAGTACTAAAAAAATGGTGCGCGGCGCGCCACATTTTTCCGTCATAACTTTTTTTCATCCTCAATCTTTTTTTGAAAAAAACTAAACGGTTCTGAGTTTTGAATCGAAACAGCTATCGAACCATACAAAGCTCAATGCTGAAAAAAATTTTTTGAAAATTCGTCTGCGGTCCCTAGGTAATCGCTTGTAAAAAAAGCTCAAAGTTTTATAAAATATCTACTCGATGTGAAATTTTTTTTTAAATCGTTTTCTTCATTATTTGCGCATAAAGTAGAGAATAAAACAACAAAGAACAATTAAAATCGATATATTTTTTATTGTTGTGGTTTTTGTAAACTTTTATCGTAATGCCGTGTTCAATTTGATACTGTAAAAGAATAGTTGCTTGGCTGAAGATTTCTGATGATTCCGGACATTCGAGTGGGACTCGAATGTCATCTTCGGGACAAACTCCTATTATTTCCTTCTGCTTCAATACGACTCTTTTATGTGCGATAAATATTTACTTCTACAATAGCAAAATAAAAAATATTACATAAACTACATATAAAGCCAGAGAGCGAATCTCTCTGGTGCCCGTCCTCTAAAGTCTGCTTTTTCTCGTCCTCCATGGACCCTGGGGGCGGAGCCTAGGGCTCGCCTCCCCATTGTGCCATGCGTCCGAGGAAAAACGGACTCTTAGCGGATGCCGCGTTACAATACCGCGAAACGCAAATTGATCTCTGACTCTCCAAAATTTAGTGATCTTTTTCTTTCTCTAACGGGTATATTGCATTTCGCGTAATCAAATTGAACACGGCATAAGTTTTTGAAAAAATATCCCAAAAATGAGAAAGGAATAAAGTTATGAGCCGGCAAAAACTATTTCCGCCAAAAGGTCGAACCATGGTCACAATATTGATAATGCACAAGACCACAACCTACTACACCACGCCACCAGTTGATAACCGAAGGCTACGAGTGCGCCAGGGTTGTGCGAGATCTCGATCTCGTCTCGTCTCGAATTACCGAGACAGATTTTGAAATTGTCTCGTCTCGAAAAATCGAGACGAAAGTTCATTTTCAGCGAGATATTTTCGAGACATAAGCAGCAGAAATTTTGAGGAATCAGGAGGGTGATGAAAAAGAAAAAAAAAGAGAAATGGCGTACGGTTCGGTGCTTTTTCGTGTAGAACAAAAAACTATGGTTCATGATTAAAACACGAGGAAACAGGAAAAAAATGTTAGTAGATTTTTTTCATAAACCGAAAAAAATGTAAGGGAAAAAAAGTCGGAAAGAGATTCGGCGGAGAGGTGGCCGTCGGAAAGTTCCCTAGCGATACGAAAAAATCGGAAAAGTCGCCTTTTGAAATTTCGCTGGCTATTTTTTCATACCATCCATATGCGCGCTGGAAAACTTTCGACGAGCTATTCCTCGGTCGCCTGTGGGGTCTAGCAGCATTTTATTTTTGATTCCGAGTATTCTTTCCTAGGCCTATTCACCTAAAGTCTCAATTCTCAACTCGTTGTCGAGCGGAGATCATGCCCTAGTCAGCTCAAACAAAACTTTGAAGGAAACTGGATGCCACGGTCCTGGCGATGAAAAGATTTGCTGTTGCGCGGGAGATCTTTGCAACTCGAGCAACGGTATCAAACTAAGTTTTGCTGGTATACTCATTATCCTATCGTTCGATCGGTTTTTCAATTGAGATTCTTAAATAAAACTCACCAGTAAAACCACGAAATTCGGTCAACAAAAATATCACGGAGACAATAAAAGAAACATGTTTCGTTCTGGACAAAGTTACAGCTTATAGCTTATCACTGGTCAATCGACGTATCCACACAATAAGCTGGCAAAATGCACTCTCAAAATCAATCGACATGTGCTAACTAATAATAGGAAAAATAGCATACAGAGTACAACTATTCGGTATTTCAATACTACATATTTTTGTGCCCTTGAACAATGTCCCAATGCTAGTTTGATTTGCGAGAACCAAAGAAGCTTTAAAACTATATTCCTCGATAAATTACCGATATAGCTGATTCACGGCCAGCTTGGGACGCTAAGGGGGCGTGTACTGTCTGCGCTCTCCACGAGCCAGGCGCTGTCTCGTGCATTATCGTGTGAGCAGACTTGTGCGTCAGGCCGGGCTTTGGGCTTCAATTTTTTTTAAAAAAGCCTGCGCGGGCTCAGGCCAGGCCGGGCTTTGAAAAAAATCTTGAATTTCATTTTTTTAAAAATTTCGCCGAAAAAGTTATTTTTACTTGTTAAACTTGTTAATAGTTTCTCTATGAGGAAAAATAAGTAAAAAATCCCTTTTTTTCTCGTTAAAAAAGCGAAAAGTTCAAAATGAAAAAAATTTGAGCTTTTTGGGCCGTGCTGGCCATTTTTGCTTGAGGCCCTTCTATGGCCGGGTCGGGCCGCAGAGCATTCCCAAGAATAAAAATTTCTGCCACCGCTCTGTGCGGTCAGCTGTGTTGGCCGACCGCGACGCAAATACGAACCATCAATTCACAATTTGGCCAGTTGCCAACAGTCTTTGAACACATTTTTTAAATTTTTCGCTAACTATCTTTTCACGAATATCGATGATAAGGAGCATTTCACAGCTTTTACGTGATTGTTAGGTGGTGAGCAGCAGAGCTGTGCTTTGGGCACGGTGTTCCCAAACGGGGTGGCAAGACGTCAAAAAAGTTTTGGCGCGAAATTTGAAATCTACAGTACTTCAGCCGAAGGCGATCGAACAAACAAGTTATTAACGTTGAATACTCAGTTTAATTTGTGACGTAGAATGACGTCATTTTATCCGTAGCGCGCACAAAATTTTTTCTGTAAATTTAGAAACTTTGACGCCTCGCTCACCTTCCCTCACCCCCATTAGGAACGCCGTGTTGGGCCAGCCGGGCTAGCGTTGCAACGCGGTCGCGAAGCGGCCGCAAATTTTCCACTTTTCGAACTTTTTTGTCTCGAAATTTTCACAGAGTGTGTAAATAGGGGAGTGAGTGATCGAAAATGTGTTATTTGGGAAAATTATGTGATTTAAATTATGAAATGAGATGAAAAAAGCTCGCGATTACCACGATTGTGGGCCGATTCGGCCATCAACCTCGGCCCAACGCACAGCTCTGGTTAGCATGTTTTTTTTGCTATGAAGCAAACTTTGCCAATTTTCCGATGAAGAAATTAACACCAACTAAAAAACTTATTATATACACTTTTTAGTTGTTAAACTTGTATTGCTTATTGTTCACATGGTCTCTTTTAGCAAGCTTCTGCATTAACGACTGTAAGCCAGAACAAATCGAAAAGAAACGGAACGCGTCGAAAACGCTTTGAAACATACGCAGATTTTGAGTTGAACATCAGATTTTTGACAAGCAACGAAAAAATATGTTCCACGTACCAAACGATATAGCAAAAAAATATCTTAACAAGTGGTCAAAATAGATTTTCGAAATTTAAGCAAATAAATTTGTAAAAAAATATAAAAATATGCTGCTTTAAGGCCTAATAAAAATAAACAATTGGCGCGTGAAGGAACTCCCAGGAAACGATGCGGAGCGCATTGCTGGTTTCTGCGGAACGCGCGCAAAGTGAGCTGCGGAAAGCATTGCCTACGCATTTGCCCTAAAAAAAAAGGTTGTTGCGTTGCGCAAAAACGTGGCTGGCGTTGCGCAGACCTTCTAAATTCGTCCTGGCTCGTCCCGCCCCTTCGGGTTCAGGAATTTTCGCTATACAGGAATACCACTAGGCTTCTATTATTGCGATTTCTCATGTAAGAACAACGTTCAGTATATCTATTTTATCGAATATCATTTAACGACCACATTAAATAACAAAAATCATCAACAAAAAAAGGATACATTCACTGGTAGACAAAAAAATAAGATTATATTCAATTCAACTTGAAAGGCAAGATGGATAATTGGCAAGGTGAAGCGTTGCGTACGCGACGCATTTTTTTTCGCAAGAATTCGAGGTCAAACGCGTTTATGGAACGAATGTAAAAAAATTCTTATTCTAGTAAGTTTTTTTAAAAAATTTTTTTATACCTTCATTCGTTCAACTAAATTTATTAAAAAAACCATAAAAAAATCGAAAAATAATTTTTTTATTCAGTCTGAGAAAAAAACATGGATGGCTCTCCTTGGACCTCAGGTTTAGCTCCAAAAAGCCGCAACGCGCTTGCAACGCTTTAATCTTCTCGTTTTGCCTTTCAAGTCGCGAAGGATTCCATATACAGTTGTGAACAGAAAACATAAAAAAAAAACAAAGCTGGGTAACAGAAAGTACAAAGTAGTAAAAAAAATGCTTGAAAAATGGTGGTATGGAAAAAAAGCCAGCGAAATTTTGAACGGCGACTTTTCCGATTTTTTCATATCGCTAGGAAAATTTCCGACGGGGACGTTTCCGAATAACTCCTTTCCGACTTTTTCCCTTATATTTTGCGGTTTATAATAAATCTATTAACACTGTTTTCCTTTTTTTTGTTCTTTAAGCAAGAATCAACAATCTTATTCATATAAGAGAATTGAAAACGAATATCTTATCGAGAAAAAAAGTCGGAAAAAGAATCAGTCGGAACGTTCCCTAGCGATATTAAAAATCGGAAAAGTCGTCGTACGAAAATTCACTGGCTTTTATTTCATACCTCCTAAAAAATAACCACAGAGACTTTATGATATACGTGTTATTGATTAAAATAAGGAAGAAATAATTTCTGAATATATTTGCACCAGTTAAACAGTCACAACTTTTTTGGATTTACGCCAGACATTTTGTCAGAATTTTCAAAGATATTCTTTGTCTAAATATTAAAAAGTGCAATGTTTCTATCGGACCAAAAAACTAGGCAGCTTACTTTTCCATTTCACTCATACGTGAACTATTTTAAAGTCAGCCAACCCTTTCTCATACATGGCTAACCAACAATCACATCATTTGAACCGACTTTCAGGGTTGAGATTAGAAAAGTTTCAGGCCGTTTGGATGACTTTTGAGAAAATAATTTTTTGAGCTTCTGAACAAGGGTTTTTTTAAGTTCGCAGTTTTTTGGCACGAAAAACGTTCGCAAGCTTGGAAACCAAAAACTTTGACCTTATTTAGGGTATGGTCAATTTTACTTATTGAGATCTTTATATGCCCACTTATGATTTAACTCAAAAGAATTTTTGATCAAAGCCAAAAATTTTTGATTTTGGGTCCTTTCTCAAATTTTTCGATTTATCAAACTAAAAAAATTCTTGATCTACTTCGAGGGCTACTATTTCCGGGATGCCCCTTGAAAGGTAATCGATGAACACATGCTCGTATTCGCTAAAATTTTGACGCTTCTCAATTGCTCGAAAATTTTTTTCTTCTGGCTTCAATAAAATGATTTTTGAGTGAGGAACTTAAAGAAGATCTTACGAGGGAAGTTTTTGATTGGGAAACTACTCAGGCTAGGGGCGGGTATTTATTTGAAACTTTAGTGGCTAATAGAAATCGTTAAGATAAGTTATCTATTAAATATCATAGGCTTCTGAGAAAAAGCTACTCAAAGAAATCCAGAAAGAGTCCTGTACGTACCTGGACATAAGACTTACGGAAATGCAGTTAAATCGAAATTTTTGAAAGAGTAGGGATTTTTCATCGGAGAAAAATTGATGATAGTGAAGTTATGTGCATTTAGAAGATAAATATCGAAAATTCATTTTTATAAAGGGTACCATTATCTAGAATAAGTCCAAAAAAAGATTTACGGAAGACAGAAGGAACTGCAATTTTGGGATGTTTCTAAACGATTAGAGCTTAATTAAAATAACTTTTCTGATTTTTATCTTTCAAACACTCCTAGATTCACTACCATCAAGTTTTTTTTACGATGAAAAAATCCTCCAGAAAATTCAATTCAAATTTTCTTCCGCAAATCTCTTCCGTGCAACCCTGCAACAGGCGGCGTGGTGTAGTAGTAGTGATCTTGAGCAGTGTGCTGTCAGTGATTTTTGTCAAAATTATTCGAATCACATTCTCAGTGTGCACAATACTCAAGACCACAACTACTATAACACGCCGCCAGTTGCTGGCCGAAGGCTCTGTGCGCGGGCGCGGTATACGCTCTGGAAAATTTTTGACAAGGTCTTTCTTCGATTCCGAGTGCTTCCTTTTAAGGATACCAACCTACAAAATATCGATTCTCAACTCGTTGTCAAACGGAAACAATGCCCAGGTCATATCTTAATTTTTTTTAAAACTTACTTCGTAGTATTTATAGTAAGGCAGAAAAATGATTTTTGTTAAAATTTCTGAAACTGCTCTAATGGAAGAACGGGATTAATGGAAGAACCTTAAAAAAAACGAAAATCGGGATAAATTCCTGACGGGGTACATGGAAGTAGCTACGGTAGAGGGAAATAAGTAGTATTTATTAAGATTAAATAAATTGCGCATCCGAACTAGAAGATTCCTCCCTCCTCAGATTTTCAAGATGACGTGGTTGCTCTTAACTGATAAGAAAAACTAAGAGTGCCATCGGATTATTCGTATTTCAGGATATCCCATACATCGTAGCTGTCTTGAGTCATATGGAGCAGTAACAATGAAAAATTTAAAGGATGACCGATAATTATAAAACCCTTGAAGTCTTGATTTTTTTCAATCAATGTATTATGTAAGAAACGTAACCACAGATTACAATATTTTTCAGATGTGATGAATTTTTGCATAGCGATTCCAAAACTTTCTAGGTTTCATATTAATAAAAAGATGTTCTGCTGATATGAGTATTAGAGTTTAAAAAATGTCTCATAAATGTTTTTTTTCAAGTTTCGTAGCTTACTTGATTTTTGCATCATCATTCATGCTTCAAACCGGAAATTGAGTGGAGAAAAAAAAAACTAAGCTTTCAAAAAATAAGTTTCAATTGAGCTAAATTTCGAGAACTTATAGTTTTCATAGCGATCCAAGCTGAATTGAATTGAATTCTCAAGAGACCATACAAGATGACGCGATCATGATTCTTATTTTTCATGGCTATCGCTCCATATGAGTCAGGAAAACTAGTTGAGAACAACCAATATATCTGTAAATTCAGAGGGGGTCTTCTATGACGCGCATTGCATAAAGTTTTGAACGTAAATACTTTCTTGATAGTTTTTGGCAAAAATTTAAATTTACCCTTATTTCCTATCTCCCTCTACGGCAGTTTACCAAAAATTGAAACAACAGGAAGATATACCACAAATATGTTTTCCGTTTTGTCGAATTTTCCACAGACGCAGTCCGTATTCTATCCGGCAGTAGTTCAACTCAGTACGTCAATACTGCAAATCAGCTTTTTGAAAAAAATAACTTATAACATCCCACCGATAACTGTTTGAAAAACTCCGCCTAGCCAAGACGACCTGTAAACACAGAGCACTTTTTTTAGAAGCACAGAGACCATAACAAAAAAATCAGAAAAAAACGGTTCCTCTTGTAAAAAAAGCTGTAAAAACAGAATAGCTGAACACCAACCATCCAAGCTCAAAAACCTGCGTTAAATTATAAAACATTAAACTTTTTGAGTTGATGCAATCGATTCAAGCAATCAAAAGCCTCCAACAAAATCAAGTTTTTAATTAATTTTCTACAGCAAGAAAAAATTAAATTTCCTTTTTTTATTTTGTCGTGGAGCCTAACTTTCCCATTCAGCTACTTCATGGAACTTCATTGAGATTTGCGGCACTTATTTTTGAGATTAGACACAAAAAAATAAGGAAAGTCTACCATGGTGCCAATATGAAACACGTTTGAGAAACCTTGTGGATGTGCCGGAACAGTCGGCCGCTTTTTTATAGTGGGCATTTTTGAAAATGTTGAAGTTATTTTTAGCTTTTTGAGTGTCCGAAAATGTGTAAAATTCTCGATTGGGGTAAGGCTTTGAGTGCCGAAAAACCAAATACTGGCTGCCCAATATAGGAAATTATTTGTGTTTTTCAATTAATTTTCTTATCAACCTGATTGACTTGCCCTGAAAACGAAATATGTTAGGCGCGAAATAGTGTTTATTGAGATTTGAGAGTACTTTTTTTTCGCGAAAATAGAAAAAGTCTGACAAAGAGGGAAACTTTGTAAGAATAAAGGCCAGAATTTCCGAAAAACTGAGTTCCAAACTCGCCACATAATGAAGAAATAAGTACTTTAAAACCGTTGACATCTCAATGAAAAAGAGACCGACTTTTCCAGCATGCCTACTTCTTTTCGAGAAAAAAAATCCCAAAAAAAAAAACAAAAAGTTTGAACGAAACTTCAACTGCCTATTAAAGATATTTGCTCATAAACGAAGTGTGAGAATCATCTTCTCCAACTTTCTCACAACCCGCAAACAAGGAAACAACGTTTAACGTACTTTGAACCGTAATAAAAAACAAAAGAAAAATTGAATTGAAAAAAGTAAAATGAGAACAGACGTCAAATAAAACGCTTGGCCGTATTACTTTTGCGTGGTCACGTACGTAGAACGCACCGTAACCTTGCCCTCAAATGTTTCCCCTTTTTTGCGCAACGCAAGCCTCTTGCTCGCTTTCCGCAAGGGCAAAATTGCGCTTGATACCTCAGCCACGCCCACTTTTTCGCTCGCGCTCCGCACCGTTTCCTGGGAGAAAGTTCGCTCTAATGCGAGGTTTCCGACCGCGACGCGTGGTGGCAAAATTTACGCTCCGCTTCCACTATGTGGTAACGTCGTGGGCCGGGCTTGGGAAATGGCCGGGGGGCCGAGAGGTTGACGGGTCGGCCTTCGCACAAGCCTGCGTGTGAGGACCATTTTTTCGATGGCTGAAGCCAGCCGTGAATCAGCTATAGCTATCTCACCGAATGAAGGTCAATAGAGGTAACAAAAAAATTTTTTTAAATTTATTGACTGATGCGTCGATACCTTCATTTATTTTGGAATAATTTCAATGGTGATCAAATATTGAAAAGATGGCTAGAAACCTCTTCGCAAGGTTAAAATCTTCAAATATTTTGTGAATAATCTTTTATTAAAAATCAGTGAAAAAAAGGGAATTAATTCGAAAATACTTTGAAACAATCAATTTTCAAAAAGCTTTGTTCAAATAACAAAGGATTATCGAGTGCTAAAAAACGTTTAACACAAACGCAGAAAGACGAAGTGAGCTAAAAAAAGAAATTATATCACGAAGTGGTATAGTCAATATTTCCTGACTTGAAAGGCGAGGGAGGCGGGGCAAGGGGCGGGACGCGTAGCGTGTGCGTTCGCGGTCTTTGGCACGTGTTCATGCCGTGTTCAAAGTGATTCCGCGAAATTCAAAATAGCCGTCAGAGAAAGAAAAAGACAACTGAATTTTGGAGGGTCAGAGACCATTTCGCATTTCGCGGAAATTACTTTGAACACGGCATCAATTCAACCGCCATCGACTCTTTGAAAATCCTGTTTTTCGCTCTTTTCATTCCTTTTTCAATCATTTATTGATTATGTTCATGTGTGCATCAAAAAATAGTAGAAAACATTGAAAAAGAGCGGTTGCCGAGCTTTTTTAATAGTCGGCGGCAATTGAATTGAACGGCATGTTCTAAAACACGAGCGGTTGTGGGGCACGAGCGGCACGACCGTTACTAAATCACGAGCGGTTTCATTTTCGCTCCTTCGCGAAGGCTTCTAAATCACGAGCGTTTTTGGCTTATCGTTCTGTTCGAGCGTTTCTAAACCGCGAGCGTTTCATTTTAATCATTTTCTTTATTACCATCCAAGTGTGTGTTTTTTTTTTCATATTTCTACCTTCTTTTTCTCCTTGAATGAAAATTTTGACGATCTTATATGCACATTTTTTCGCTCAATTTGTTATATAATTTCATCTGATTTTTCATATTCAATATTTCACAGATTTTGCGTATGATAAACTAATATTTCACAGACGTCTCGCATGAAAGTCAATATTTCTCAAATTTTGCGTATAGCAAATTTTTCTAATACTTTCTCTCAAAAATTTTTTTCTGGTAATAGAATCTCATATTCGAATTGATGCCATTCATATTTTATTCTCCTCTTACCCGCTAGAATAGTTTTGGAGATACTACCAAAAAATTTATTCGTTTCCAAGCTTTGAAAATATTTATCATGAAACGAGAAAAAAAAAATACGAAATTTACGAAAAAAAAAAGAATGAAACGCTCGAACAGAACGATAAGCCAAAAACGCTCGTGATTTAGAAGCGTTCGCGAAAGAGCGAAAATGAAACCGCTCGTGATTTAGTAACGGTCGTGCCGCTCGTGCCCCACAACCGCTCGTGTTTTAGAACATGCCGAATTGAACACGTGCCAAGAACCGCGAACGCACACGCTACGCGTTCCGCCCCTCGCCGCGCCTCCTTCGCCTTTCAAGTCGGGAAACATTGACTATAAATGGTACATGGAAAGATGAAAAAGAAAAGACGCGCGCCCCAAACCATAAGAAACAGTGACGTGAGATCTGATTCCTTTGAAAGGATTACAATAATTTCCCAATAATCAGCATAGTAAAGCGTTATATATCAAAGTTTAATCGAGGTATCCACACAGTAAGTCCATATATAGTACACATGGTAAAGCATTGGTAAGCGATCTGACAGCATACTTATTAAACTTCCTAAGCTTTCGCGAATAAAGATATTATCCGTGTGCACAAAAATATGACTGAAATGTCACGAAGTTAGACTCTGTATATCACTTATCGATTGAGAGTGAGCCTAACCCGACTAAATTTGAAAGGGCACTGTGACTTTATTGTGTGAATACGCCGTTAACCAGAGATGGGGGTTTCAAGAAATTTCAGGAATGACGAGTTTTTCCAGGCGCACGTTTGGTTAAGCGGCTATTTGGAGTTGAGGGCGTTTGTGATTCTTTCTTGGATTGTGATGATAACACTCTTCTTCGGCTTTGCCGATTGGTAGCTGGCGAACCTATAAATTTAATAGATCTTAAAATTTTCAACAACAAAAAATTACGGTCTGAAATAACGACAGTGAACGATTTTTGGCCCACGGAAGGTGTTTCACTTTCAGATTGAAAATTACGGCGGCGAAAGTTGCAAAAAAGGTCAAAATTCTTCTTATTTTTCAAGTTTTCAATTTTTTTTAGCACGACATGGCATGCTATAAAGTGCGGGCGTTTACAAAATGCGAACGCTTTTTTTGTGCTTTTCTTTTAATTTATAAAATACAGGCTTTTTTCAATCTTATTTAATTTGGTGATGGTAGGAAGGAATTTCGGGTTCCCGAATATTCGTGAGCGTTAATTGTGCATACACCAATCTTAGAGGCTCGAATCTTTGCAAACGATTCTTGGGAATATTCCCATCTTTTTTGAATTTCCTTCCTTTTTTTCCTACTTTTTTTCTTTGTCGTTTTGCCGTTTTGAAGATGCCGTGTTTCGACCACAAATGAACACTGTATGATTTTTTTCAACTAACTTTTTATCAAACAATGCGTCTTTCTCGCATACAAGTAGTCAAATATTCGCTGCAGAACGGCTACCACATTCTCATTCACTCTGTATATATTCTCCATCAACTTCTGTTAACAAAAAAACATTGGAAAAAAATTATAAAAAAACCAGAAAAATAGGTGAATATTCCCAAGAATCGTTTTGCAAAGATTCAAATTTTCAAAGATTCGAGCCTCTAAGATTGGTGTATGCACAATTAACGCTCACGAATATTCGGGAACCCGAAATTCCTTTCTACCATCAATTTGGTACTTTTTTTCGAAATTAGCATTTTTTTTTCCCTATCTTTTCTTTTTTTAAAGTACTACGAAATTGATGAATTCATTACTATACATTTTTTTTAATTTCCAAAAAAAATTTTGGTTTCTCATTAGAAATTTTCAATACGATTTTCAGCAGTTCAAGAAAGCTGTATCAAACCAGAAATTAGGTGGAAAAAAATTGAACATGAGAAAAAAAATAAATTTTAAATAATGAGTTGAAAAACGATAGTATAAAAAAAAAAACGAAAGAGGCGCCATTATACGGATCAAAAAAGCTATCGAGAAATTATAATTTCGTTGAATTTTTGAAATAATAATAAAAAAATTTAAACAACGTCCGTATTTTATTAATTTTTTTCATGGAGCAGAGAAAGAGTGGTCGCCTTTTGTAAACGCCCGCACTATATAACATGCCGAAAAACATCTCAATGAATGTTTAAAAAAGGAAAAGCAAATAAACTGGATTCTGAACGGGAAAGTCATTTGCAGTATTAGACATATGGTCTGTCAGATTTCAAATTGCAAATCGTTGCTTAAACCACGCCCCTAATGACGCGATAAACCAATAAGACTGCGTTTCCGAATGACGTCGTTGTATTTGACGTTCAAATTATGAACAGACTACATCTTATTGGCCGTCAAAGCACCCACTATCATTCCGAAAAATTTCATGATCAGTAAAAAAAAACTTGATGCGTCTTGTTCGTTAGATGTTTCGGCAGCGCACGTTTCCGGAACCGAATCGACCAACTGAGTGCCCGGCTCTGACTCTATCGCCTGGGCGTCCAACTGTCAACGTGATTTTGTCTTTTGGTCCGCTTCGAAAGAACTCACGCCGTCTCGAAATGTGAATGAACCGCCTTCACTGGCGATGACAACTGCGTACAATTGTGTTCCGTTGGGACCTGGAACAAACAAAGATATGAAGTATCTTTTTATCACATCTAATCCATTTTTCAAACTGTTTTCTCTTTCTTGCAATCAATTTAATTTACCTTTCCAGTGAGCAAAAAATTCAAAACTAATTTAGAAAACACCGTTTTTTCGAATTCTTATCATTCCCTGTTTGTAAATTGTTTCTGCTAGAGGTCATATCAGCCCTTAAACCGCATCATTATTCGTATTGAACAATGATGCTGATGATTTTTGATCAAAGACGAGAACCGATAAAAGATTCTTCAAAGATTCCACGACTCCGCATAAAATGTTGTTTGAGCACTGAATAAATGTGTAAACGCCTACAATTTAAATTTGGGCTTTTCCGTATTTTTTAAGAGCTGGTAATGGGTAACGTCGCAGTTTACCATCAATGGCTGCATAGTGCTGCTTGGTGGTCGGATCAACGTAAATTTGGACGGCCTGAGAATCATCGTCGAGCTGAATCACTTGTTCCTCTTGCGGCTCTTTTTCGAATCCTTGCAGCGATTGAGAGTCAGTCTCAGTCTCCAAATGTTGAGTTTGGTGTTGAATCTGTTGCAGCGACGTTTTCATCGGCAAATGTGAGAAATGGGAGATTTGCTGCCCGTCACTGTCGATTCTGACCCTTGAAGTCGAATCAGAAGGCTCATTATCGCAGTCGGCCTGAAGGTGTAGAAGATAGCAGAAAGATATGACAAAATCGCCTCACTATCACAATTTGTTGTGGTTCAATCTCCGGAGCCGTACTGAAGACGACGGGATTGCCGTACTGATCGCAAAACTGGGCCCCCTCCAAGGAAAACGATTGTTCTACAACCAGAAAATGAGAAGTGATCATACTCTTACGGGAGCAATCAAATATCTTCACTATTCGATATTTTCTTCTAATAAATTTATGAGTATATGTCGTAAGAGCTGTTGAAATCGTGCTAGCCAGTAAGAAAAGTGAGCCGTGGTCAGCTGATTTTTCTCTAGCAATTTCTTCGGTAGCACATTTTTGGCTCGCTAGATTTTCGCAGCTCTTTCGACTTATACCCAATTTTATCGAGATAACAACAAAGCAGAAAGAAGGAGTTGAAAAAAACTAAACTAAAATTTTTTTGCGACTACAGGTTTGGTGCTATGAAAAAAACACCAGCGAAAATTGAAACGGCGACTTTTCCGATTTTTTCATATCGCTAGGGAACTTTTCGACGGCCACCTTTTCAACGGATCCTTTTCCGACTTTTTTCCCTTATATTTTTCGGTTTATAAAACATCTATAAATATTTTTTTTTCCTATTTCTTTGTGTTTTGATCATGAACCAACTACCTACATTATATAGGAAGATTTAAAACGAAGACTTTATCGAGAAAAAAAAGTCGGAAAAAGTTTCGTCGGAAAGTTTCCTAGCGATATGAAAAAATCGGAAAATTCGCCGTTTGAATTTTCGCTGGTGTTTTTTTCATACCACCACAGGTTTTTGGGTAGAGCCTTTCCACAAATTACAAACCTAGCAATTTTCAAAAAAAAAAGAAGTGAATTTCCAAATTCGTCGATTATTCAAGTGAACACACGTTCTTCAGCGTCCACGACGACAAAAGTGGTGCCGTCGGCGGTGGTAAAAGTGTTGGTGGCGACGGTGGGAGCTCCGGCCAATTGCTGTTGGGCTATCGTATAGCCGGCCGGAAGTGTGATCGTTTGAGCGTCGCCCGTTGTCGATTCTGTCGAGATGTACGCCGTCGCCATCATTTGCGGTCCGTTGGCTTCCATCGGTAACGTTACCGCATAATGTCGGTGGGGTTGGTTCGCCGGTGCCGTTATTCGAAAAGCTTCTCTGTATCTTTAAATAATGAGCATTAAACCAGTTTTTATTTTGAAGTAAATAAATCATTTCTAAGCGCTATGAGGCCTCTTGAACGAAAACCAAAAAAAAGTGCAATATAGGGGCAACAAGAGGAGAGTACAAACTTGTCGAGAAAAATTCGCAGCGGATCGACATAGTTACCGAAGCCGGTCGCACGAAGAGCATTCAAAAGGTCGTCCGCAGTGATAGTCTTTCTCTTTTCCTGCAAAAAAAAAGTTCCTGAAAAAAAAATAAACTTGAAAGCTCTCAAGCGAATGAACGAAGTTTTTTGGTCACAAAATAATTGTTTTCTTCTTAACGTAGAGTAGTTCTCATAAAGCAAATTATCGCACTCATGGAACCAGCAAACCAACTTAGCAAAAAAAACATTTCCAGCCCAAAAAAAGGGTGGTATGAAAAAAAGACCAGCGAAAATTCAAAAGGCGACTTTCCCGATTTTTTTCATATCGCTAGGGAACTTTCCGACGAATCTTTTTCCGACTTTTTTTTCTCGATAAAATCTTCGTTTTAAATTTTCCTATATAAAGTAGGTAGTTGGTTCATGATTAAAACACAAAGAAATAGGAAAAAAAATGTTTATAGATGTTTTATAAACCGAAAAACATAAGGAAAAAAGGTCGGAAAGAGATCCGTCGGAAAGGTGGCCGTCGGAAAGTTCCCCAGCGATATGAAAAAATCGGAAAAGTCGCCGTTTGATTTTTCGCTAGTGTTTTTTTCCATACCACCAAAAAATGAGATATAGAACATACCCTATTGCACTTTTCTGCCGCCTCCGAAGCCAGAAATGCGATAAATTCAGAAACGCTCTCCTGCACACATTCCTTGGCTTCTTTGGCAAGTTTGCCCGACGGGTGTATCATCGACTTCATGATGCGACTCACGTTGGCTGAAAACAAGTTCTAAGTTGAAAATGTAGTTCCCACGCAGAGAAGAAAGAACACGCTACCAAATTGATAATTTCATCTTGAAATTCGAACAGATTTTTTTTTCGACTTTGAAGAACGAAGGTCGATGGTCGAGATTTTGGAGGTTAAGACAGTAGAAGGCGTGGTTGTATAGAGAGTCGCAAAACTGAACCCACGAAAGATGCTTTCCTATTCGACCATGTTCTAATTAAAGAAAAGTGGGGATTTTTGTTTTCCTTTCCCATGGTTTGCATTTGCACTTTAAATTATAGGTCTGGTGGTCTAAGAGAGGAGAAAGCACGGTCATAATTAGTTCGATTTGAAAAAAAGATTAACCTATCGGAAGGTAACGCTCCTGATCGAGCAGCACACCCGGCTTGGGCTCAACGACAAAGGCGTCAAAGCTTGGTGCTTCATAGAAAACGGCCGTTTCGTAGCAGTACTGTGGATTTGCTGGAGCATACGAATGAAAGTACTGAAACGCATCATGAGCTTCTTTTGCGAGAAAAACTCTTGGCGTCATGATTGCGCACAAGAAAAAAGAAAACCTGCTTTTCATCGAAATTGTCCGAATTGAACATGTTGGCCAATGGACGACTTTACGTCGCCCAACTCGTGACCTGAAACGAGGTGAATAATTGAACAGTGATATAGAAAAAAGACCAGCGAAAATTCCAACGGCAACTTTTACGATTTTCTAACATCGCAACTTTCACCTTCGGAACTTTCCGACTTTGCATCCGACTCCCTTTTTCGACGTTTATTTCTCGATAAACTCTTAGTTTTGAATCACTCTATTTGAAATAGGTAGTTCATTCGTGGTTTAAACACAAAAAATACAAAAAAAAAATGTTAGTAGATCTTTTAAAAATCGAGACAGAAAGGGAAAAAAGTCGGAAAGTTCCCTAGCGGCTTGAAAAAATCGGAAAAAAAAAACGAAAATTTGCTGATTTTTGTTTTAATAACATCAATAAAATCACTTCTCGTGCATGGTTGTGGGAGATCTCGATCTCGTCTCGAATTTCTCGAGATTTTCGAGACGAGATCTCGTCTCGCGCTCGTCTCGATGGGAAGTTCCCTCGTCTCGTTTTACCGAGACAGATTTTGAAATTGTCTCGTCTCGTCTCGAAAAATCGAGACAAAAGTTCATTTTCAACGAGATATTTTCGAGACATAGCAGCAGAAATTTTTAAGAATCAGGAGGTGATAAAAAAGAAAAAAAAAAGAAATGGCGTATGGTTTGGTGCTTTGTCCGACTATAACAAGAAACTACTTAATCGTAGCGCAAAAATTGAATTTTTTGAATCTATTTTGAATTTATAAGTTAAGTATAATTTATTCAATGTGTTCTGTCTCAAGCATTGGACGCGCACGCGCGGGGAGTCCTGATTATTTTCTGATTTCTCCATGGAAATACAGCCCTGAAACAATTTTTTTTAATTCTTGTAATACTTCCCAGTGCTCCCGTTCACCTTTCAAAGATGTTTCGAGCACTTTTAAATAACATTATGAAAAAAATTTTCAAAAAACTTGGTATTACAAATTTAAGTACGTTCGAATTGTCTTAAACTGGATCAGTGCAATGGGTAAAGAGGAACAGTTACAAAAAAATAGCCAATTTATAACTTTTTAATTATTTAAAAAAGCTAAAAAGATAGAAGGGGAACCGCGCTTTTGGCAACAAACACGCCATCAGTGCCGAGTTTTTTGGTCGATTTCGAAATTGACTCGTTATTCGTTCAAATGACGCTACGAAATAGGCGAAATTGGTATTAAGGGAGCCCTTAGAAACAATGGATCCTACAACGACTTTACCGAAGTACGAGCATCTCCAAACTTTTTTGTTACTTTCTGAGAAATCATTTTTAAAAGTTTAGTTCGTGAAATATATTTTACCGTTAATATGATAATGATCCTATACTTTTGAAATGCAGCGAACGTAGCGCAAAACGGAAAAAAAACTTTTGTCTGAAAACTTCTGAAAAGTTTCTCGCTCGATCTCGTCATTTTTCGAGACGGGTCTTAGAAAATGTCTCGTCTCGAAAGAACGAGACAACACATCATCTCGATCTCGTCGCAAAATTTTTTTGAAAAAATTCTCTCGTCTCGAACTCAAATAGTGTCATCTCGCACAACCCTGTTCTCGTGGAAAAGTACAACCGCGACTATACGCTGGCGCCTAATTGAAAAAGGTTCAGCTGACAGGAAAAGTTTTATTCTCATAACTCAGAACGAGTTCCTTTTCTTATTCGTAAAATCATAACAGAGGTGACAAAAACAAAAAGAAAAATGTTTTTCAAATTTCGTACGAAAAAAAAAGGCGAAATAAAAACAACAAAAACAATAACAAGCTACTTGAAAATTCATCTACTTAGATTCTTTGGCCGATTGGATGGCAGCGGTGGGACCGAGAAGCATTTGACGTTGCTGTGCGACCTGCGTCTTCTCCAGATCACTGCGCTCTTTTTCGATGATATAGGGAAGGAAGGCGATCAGCGATGTTGTTGCTAGCACCCACACGCCATTTCGTGTCAGATTCAACTGAAAAATTTAATGTTACCTCGAATTCTACAAAAGGTCGGATATTTTTGATACAAAAGAGAATTTAAACGTACCAAACCAGCAGCGCTCCAAATGCCCCATTCGCAACCGCTAGTGACCATCTTTCTCACTGGCTTTGGGAACATTTCGGAAAGCCCCTGGATACGTTCCCATGCGCTCTCTTGAAGATCTCCATCTGGAATCGTGTCGAATTCATCCATCACGCTGCTCCCTCCGCTGTTGTTACTGAATACTAGAATGAGCTGAACTCAGAAACGGGTGTTGCGTCCGCGGCGCCTCAGGCGGCTGATCTTTTTGTTCATATAGCTGATTCACAGCTCGCTTGAGCCATCGAAAGGGTCCTGACACGATAATGCACGAGACAGTGCCAGGCTCGTGGAGAGCGCAGACAGGCCGCATCTTTTTTGCGTCCCAAGCTAGTAATGAACCGGCTATACCAGCTAATAAACTCTACCGCTTCTACTTTTATGTACCTTTTCTCATAATGATCCTCAAGTTAAAAATTTTTATAAAAATCAACCATAAGAAAGTGAGCAAGGAGACTAATAAAATTATAAAAAATTGAAACAAAGCAATGGGAGAAAGCTCTTCCAAGAAAGAGGGAGAAAAAAAAAATTAATATTTTTGTTTTGTGTGTTTAAGACAGTGCTATGGCGGCCGGTTGCGCCGTCAGTTTCGGGGCCCGGAAATTTTGAAAACTTTTTTCTCTTTTTGCAATTTTTAGGACCTATCTCTCGAGGTTAAAAGATAATTTACGTCCCAAAAAAGTACACAAGTTTCCTTTTATTATCCAAAAACCTAGCCTGATTATCGTAATACGACCAGCCGCCTTGAAATTTTATAACTCTAGTGACAGAAACTTTGTATAAAAAAGAAAATGATGACATCATCACTTTGTTTTTTTTTTTTTTGCATGTATATAGCGCATATGGAGCGAATTTGTGAAAAACTAAAAAAAAAATTAGACACTCGAACAAAATCCTTCTCAAGGAAACCGATTTTTGAGATTCGTACAGAAACATTTCTTCTGATATATATGCACGTTGTTACGAAACTAAATTTTCGACGCATTCAATTGAAAAAAAAAGCCGTTTCAGTCAAAAGTTCTGGTCATCTAGTTGCTACAAAACGACAAGAAAATTTCTGTTTCGAATCATTCAATTTTAGTTTCGAGGCAGATTTTTCGTTCCGAATACATGCCGTGTTCAAAGTAATTTAGCGAAAAGCAAAATGATCTCTGACTCTCCAAAATTTAGTTATATTTTTCTTTCTCTGACGACTATTTCGCATTTCGCGAAATTACTTTGAACACGGCAACAGAAAAAAGAAAAAAACCTAGCCGAAATCCGAAATTTTACCGCGCGGTATAGTTTTTGTACGCAAGGAACTCGATACATGATAGCTGACGCGCATATATCTGCCTAGAGACGCCAGAGGGGTCCCTAGAGGGGGAAAACACCCACATATGTGATATAGAAGAAGAACATTTTGGTGGACCTTATAGGGGTATAGAGCTCTGACCTCTAAGCCCTTAGAACCTATCTCTCGAGGTAACAAGGTAAGTCACGTTTCGAAAAAAAAGAAATAGTTACGTAACATGAAAATTAATTTTTTCCCTCTTCATATTGCCATTCGTGTTTTTTTGATTGATAATGATTGTCCGAAAATAGTCGTGTACGTGTGAAGATGAGCGCTTTTACAATGATTTTGCTCCTGCAAATAGTATCCGTATTGATACAGGCATTCATGTTTCAGCTTTGCTTTGTCATTTCTATCTCTCTCTCTCTCCTCTCTTTCATAGGCCATTTTAAGCTTAATGTCATGCAAAATTATCTCTGACTAGTCAGAGATAAATTTTTTTTTTCTCCAAAATTCAGTTATCTTTTTCAGTCTCCAACAGTCATTTTTATTTTCGCGAAATCACTTTGAACACGGCATGAGAAAGGATAACTTTTTTTGGATAGTTTTTAAATGGTAGTCTGTGATAGGGTCTCTGCAACTTTGATCACACCAATCGATCGTTCTTTTCATTTGGGTCGACGGCGGCGGACAGTCGCGCCATCGTAGATTGTTATCATTTCTCTGTGCCATGGCATTTGCACTAAAGATTTTTGTCTTTTTTCGTTCGCCGTCGTTCTGTTTCTCATTTGATTCTCTTGAAAACTCTCGTTTCCCATTTAAAAAAGTTTTCAACACATTTGAGGATAAAAATTTAATTTGAAGGATTTGCTCACCAAAAGGCGTAATGTCGTTGCCCGAGAACGTTCTCATTGGAATGTGCAACCCACTTTTGGACATCCAAACTAGGGTTGAAAAGGTGAGGAAGATATAGTTGTTGGAAAGAAAGTTTTTACGAAATTTTTCGAGTTTCAAAGAAAACTGGATAAAAAAAGGTTTGTAGCCTTTCTTGGACAAGTGGGGTCTCAAAGAGAACGACGCGATATTATGTGACGACAAACTGGCTGGGATGTTCGACGAGCTCGCTGAGAACTACGAGGTCGAGTACATTCCCGGCGGAGCTGCTCAGAACGCCCTACGTGTTTGCCAAGTTTTCATCTCTTCCTCAAAAAACGCACGGAAACGTGGATTTGTAGTGGATTCTCAACAATCCCAAGAGGTCCGTCTTCTTTGGCGCCGTGGGCAGCGACAAGTTTGGAGAAATGCTCCGCTCCAAGGCTCAAGAAGCCGGCGTGAACGCTCAGTACCAAGTTCGATCAACACATTCAGTTTCCAAAAAAGCAGTTTTTTGCAGGTCAACGAAACCGTGAAAACTGGAACTTGTGCTGCTCTCATCAATGGAACGCACAGGTTCTCGTTCCCGTTTCAAATCTCCTCTGGAGATGGCGCATTTATTTATTCATAGACAAATTCGGAAAGTGTGGGAAAAGGCTCCATAGAAGTTTTCCTTTCAAGGTGAAAGAGGTGCCTTTTTTTTGCGCCATTTAATCGGCTCTTTTGCACCCGTTTTGCTGCGTCTCCCTTTTTCAGAAATCCTTGATTCTCTGAAATTCTAGAAAAAAAGAAAGACTCGATAAACGGACTCTTTTTGAAGCCTTCCTGAGGCCTTTTTGAGTCTTACCGTTTAGTGGCCATTATCCACCATTTCGACTTTTCTTGAGTTTTTTTTTTTTCTTGTTTGGAGATTAGCCAATTGATTTAGGTCCCTGTGTGCACATTTGGCCGCCGCAAACACTTTCACCGTCGACCACTTGAATAAAGCCGAAAACGTCCGATTGGTCGATGATGCAAAATTCTACTACATTACTGGCTTTTTCATCACCGTTTGTCCGCCGGCCATCATGCAGATCGCCAATCACAGCAACGACCACAATAAGGTTATTTTGTCTCTCCAAAGAAAGAAGGAAGAGTCGCGTAGAATATTGTTTTTTTCCCCAAAAAATAACCTTCAATCTAGTCAATTCTTTCCAAGAGTGGATAGTTTGTTCCACGGTTTTTTTCCTAAGGTAACTGGTGAAGAAATAAAATTTTTTTTGTTCACGCTTTCAATTTTTCAATGTCGTCGTCGTCGTCAACAAGGAGTTGGTTAGAAGCTGTGTGCATGGAGAGATTTTAATCAAAGATGGAAAAAAAAAATGTGAAAATCTCTAGAGAGCCCTAAACTTGACATTTCAGACGTTCATGCTGAACCTGTCAGCGCCCTTCATCTCTCAGTTCTTCTTCGAGCCCCTGTCACAAATACTGCCGTATGTCGACGTTCTTTTTGGCAACGAAGATGAAGCTGCGGCTTTCGCCAAGGTAATGAAGACAGGGATAATTGTCGACCAAATCCGAAGAAAATTACTTTTTTTTCCTAGTTTACATCCCTGAAAAAAAAAATGGACGGGGCGAGGTTCATTTTGTCGACTGCTGCTCTTAAGTATAATACATTCACGTCTTAGGCGGCCGGCTTCGACACAACCGATGTGAAAGAAATAGCGTTGAAAGCAGCGGCTCTGCCTAAAGTGAGTTGGCAAAACCATGGAAAGAAGGAATAGTTTTGAAGAAGTCCAACCGCAAGCGACTGATTGTCTTCACCCAAGGACCGGACCCGGTGATAGTTGTCGACGGGGACTCCGTTACCGAGTTTCCAGTTAAGCGGTTGGCCGCCGAGGAGATCATCGACACTAACGGGGCCGGCGACGCTTTCGTCGGAGGTAACCTTTTTGGACAATTTGTGTCGTACCTGATTACTCACCTTTTGCAAGTTTTCTAAATAAGAAAGAAGAGACGTGTTCTTTCTGCTTTAAAAAAAGGTTTTATAATTGATTTGAAGTTGAGCAATTGAGGTTCCCAGTTTTTTTTATTTTCATTTTTTTGCAACTAAAAAATTATTTTCCAGCTTGAGAAATAAAAAAACTTAGCTCAGTGATAGTAGAATTTTTTATCTCCGAGAGGGCTTCTGAGTTCGCAGTTCGAATTAAAATTTGTAAGCTATACATCCAAAAGATTTTTTCTCCTTGGGATTTTTTTGTCGAATTTCCTTCAAATCTTGTCGAAATTGAACAAAGAAAATATTGCGAGAAAAGGAGAATAGAAAATTTCCAGGTTTCTTGGCACAATTTATCCAAGGAAAGTCGTTGGCGGAAGCCGTCGAATGCGGATGCTACGCGGCTTGCGAAATCATCAAAAAGCAGGGGTGCACAGTTCCAGAAAGTTGCAAGTACCATTAAGCTATCAGCATTCCATAAGATCTTTTTTCCATCACGATTTATTAGGTCGGGGAGTTACTCAAATTTGTGTTATATTGAAGAATTTGCAGTATTTTCATTTTTCTTGAAGGGTTGCTTCTTCGGTTTGTTGTTATGGTTTTTTTTTTTCAAAAGTCTATTTAGTGAGTGAAAAGTTGTTTCTTTCTTATGTGAGAATCTGTGGTCAAAATTTTTCTATGTTGCTTGTTCCGATAGTTTTAATGTGCCTTTTCTGTCAATTTTTTTTTTCACTACTCACCAATTTCTCCGTATCCAGGTTGTTTTCCTTACATAAAATCGATTGATCGCTCAAATTTAGCTTAATAACCATAAAAAGAGAGATTTTCACCGTTAAAAATCAAACTCTTTGAGGCTTGAAATTTGTAATGGCGGATATTGTGAGACTTTTTTTCAGAAAGATAGAAAGCAGAAACAACCTTGAAGCCATTGACACTCCGAAAAAATTTCCATGCTAAAGCACTTTCCAAGTTTCAGTGTTTATTAATATGTGTTTGGATATAGAAAGAAGGAAAATCGACACTATATTTCAACATTTTCATCACTTATGATTATGCTCAGTAGCAAGCAGCCCATTTTGAAATGACCCTGTTACGAGGAGACGAGCGAGTGAGGAAAATGCCAACTAGCTATTTTTCGGGAGATAAAAGTTCATTTGATACGGGGTGAAGGATGGATAGGCGGCAGCGGCGGCGGCGAACTCTGGAGGCATCTGTGCAAACGAGTTGGATTGCATGACATTGGCTGCAGCCGCCGCTGCGACCGACTGCTGGCCGAAAGAAGCGCCACTTGTTCCGGCCTGATATCGTGACCAGGCTGGTTGCGTCGGCATCGGCACACGGGGTCCGCTTGAAGTAACGCCGTTTGGGTAACATGGCAGCCCTGTCGATTGATTGGCTTGTAACATGGCTCCTACAAAAGGCAAAATTTTATCATATTTCACCAAAATGTTGAATTCCCAGTGTTTTTCGAAAAAAAGGTTGATTATATGTGGGCTAGACCGCTGAGAGCCACCGGTATTTGTACTGATTGCCTTACTGTAAATCTACCACAGATTTCTCATCAGCGCGCGTTTTCTATTGTTTTTCTCGTTCATTTATTTCATAGTTTCATTGCTGCTTAAAATTTCATTCTGTATTATCACTATACACCATTTTGAAAGTTACGCAGATAACTTGAACGCAGTTTATTTTATTTATTTTGAAACTTCTTCTCGCTCAAGCCTGGAAGATCTGAATTATCTGATTAAGCCTAAATACTGAACACCATAAAGTTTTTTTCAAAGGTTCATAATAAAAACTTTCAGAGTTTTTTTCAGATAATTATAAGAGTCGTTTTCCAACAACCTTAACTTACCAGGGAATGGTCTCTGGACGCAGAGGGACTTTATGCCGTGTTCAAAGTAATTTCCGCGAAATGCAAAATGGTCTCTGACCCTCCAAAATTTAGTTATCTTTCTCTTTCTCTGACAGCTATTTTGAATTTCGCGGAATCACTTTGAACACGGCATTAGAATGAGGCCAGCTTTTTCTAGATGTAGTTTTTCACGCTGAATTCAAATCTTTTTTCAAAAGTTGCCCAATACGTCTGTGAAAAAAGTTAGGGGAGCTTATTTTTGAATGGTATGTAGATCTAGTCCCTCTGGTCACAGAAAACATCATTTTTCAGGGAAAAAAAAATTTGGAATTCTATCGCAGCCGGATTTGAAAGAGGTTGAATAAAATCTATCAAAATATACCTAAATTATCTACTCAGTGGGGCGGGGCGCCCCGCCCCGCTGACTAGTGAGTAGATGATTTAGGTATTTTTTTTCATTCTCTGACGGATAGTTTCAATTCGAAGACGGTTTTTTTTTTATCGTAGAACAAATTTCTGAGACGGTTCAATAGTTTGGCTTCACGTAACCCGGCAAATATGGAATGACAAGAAACGCCAACCTTGCCAATATTGATGATGAAAAGTTGAAGGGTCGAACTGAGCTCCGGCGGTAGAGTACGGATACGCGTTGTACGAATAGCCGAATTGTGATAGGTGCACCGAATTCATGTGTGACATATGTTGCTGTTGCATCTGGTGCATTTGCATCTGAAGTCACGTATAAGAATTCAAGTGTGTGCACTCGAGTAGTCTCAAAGACTGAGGTACTGGTTTACCAAACCTGCTGTTGTTGTTCTTGCTGCTGCTGTTGTTGTTGTTGTTGTTGTTGTTGGCGCTGGCGACGAAGCGCGGTAGATTCCGACCGGCGCGAGGCTGACGGCAGCTTCGGAGCCGGAGGACCTGACGGAGCCACCATTGGCGTCAAGTTGGTGGCACCGGAGGACTGATGCTGATTTGTGAACCCTGTTAGGCAGACGATGACTTTTGGAGCACATTCGAAGTCACAACGGAAACCTTGTATGAGGGGAGTGCTCGAGTCGGATTGGTTGCTTGGCAGAAGCGAAGAGCCGGTGGTGTTGGCTGGCATCGTCGCCGACTGCTGCGCCTGTACAAAAAAATGAGCGATATCAAATTTCCCCTAAAAAATGGCCGTTGTGTTTTCACGACTGTTCATGTGTGTACAGTCAATTTTTTTTGGAATGGTGAGGGAGACGGAGGCGTAGCGTGCTCGTTCGTGGTTCTTGGCACCAGTTCAATTCAACCGTCAGTGAATATTTGGAGAGCTCGTTTACCACTTTTTCATTATTTTAAAAGTTATTTATTCACTTTTTTCATATGCGCATTAAAAAAATAGTATAGTAGATACAAAAAGAGCTTTTTAGTCGATGGCGGTTGAGTTGAACTCGTGCCAAGAACTGCGTAGACACACGCTACGCGTCCCGCAAACTTCTCCACAAACCACTTCCGTGTGAAGTCTTCACTCGAAGTGTTCGCTCTCATTTCGAGGCTTCCACCTGGAGCACGGTCTCCGCGCAAGATTCACTACATTCTGAGCTCGTCAAGGCGCATCTGGATGTACTAGGCTTAAAAGAAAGAGGCAGAGACCATGCTTTTAACTTTATGAGCTAAACGTTTAGACTTCCAGTTTGCCAAAGGCGGTTGCTCGTTATAGCATCAAAAGTTCTTGTTTACCGCCTGATGAGTTAAATCTGACTAAAACAACAAAATAAATTATTTGATTTGATCTCTCTTATTCTTTAAATCTTTCAACAATGACAAAACAAAACAAAAAAGTAAAAAGCACATATATCAAAAAAAAAAAGAGTTCAAATCATTCTCTTGTTGCTCAAATTTCATATTGAACGCGGCATTACTTACGAAATTAGCCAGCGACGAGGAATCGACCATGTCGATTGAGCTGTTGTGCGCTGAATGAATTGACGAGACGGATGGCGTCTGGGCTCCACAAACGCCCTAAATTTATCTCTCTGGATTAATTGGTATGCTTAATTATTGTTGGTCAAGATTAAGCGTCGGTTCATATTTTTCAATTTGACCGGCAAGCTGGAGGGAACGCTAATGGCCTCATGATAATTTCGAACAGAAATGCCTCCACCAGCCACTTTTTTCATATCGAAGATATAGGGCGGAAACCAAACTTGAACTGTCTGCGGACTCATGAAGGCCAATTGTTCGGGCGTCTGCTGATGCAGCTGCGGCAGTGGAGGACAGGAAGACGTGCTCGACGGTACACTCCCCGGCGTGTTCTGTTTTGTGACACTGAAAAAAAAATTTGTGTAGTCGACTATTCCCAATTTAAAAGGCGAGGTGGGTAGTTTGACAAGGGAAACGCGTTGCACATTAACAAACGTGGCTGCGTTTGACTTTAAGTTTCCCGCCAGATGGCCGCGTCGCGTACGCAACGCTTCCTCCTTGCCACTCTACCCATCTCGCTTTTCAGGTCGGCAAGGATTGACTATACAGCAAAAAGGCTCGGCTTCAACCGTCCACACTGTGAGAAGACACCATTAAGTTTTTATTTTTACGTACGCAACACGTCACTTGCCAAGTTGCCTATCAAGGCTGCACGGAGTTTCGTCTTTCCCTTTTTCTTTTCATTTCTAGAGTCTGTTCAGATTTTGAATGTCTAGTCATTGGTCAAACTCCACCTCTATGCGTAGATCAAAACCAATCAGAGAGCCACCCACAGAGATTTTTTGGGGGCAGAGTTTGCTACTTGACATTCAAAACCTGAACAGACTACAGTCGGGAATGATTGACTGTAGCGCTTTTTTGATCGACAGGGGTGTTGTTTGATGACGTTCAAATCGTTACATATTACGACGCAATGAGTTTCGACTTCTGATTTGAAGAAACAGTCTTCAATCTTTTTTGGAAATGACAACCTCGAGTCTTTAAGAGATCACGTCGGTCACCGCATGCAGGTTTTTTTTTTTGCCAATCTTGCCTTATAACTTGCCTCCAGAGAGCTCACGTTTGAAACACGTTTTTAACACGGGAAGTGCGAAAGGTCGAGGTATTGGAATTTAATGAAACTTGGTATATAGGTACTACCGAACACCCTGAATCCAAAACAGTTGAAAAAAAGTGCGCCTTTTTGGTTCTAGTCGAGTTAGGGCGCCTCAAAGTTTGCACGCAAAAAATGCATTGGAAGGGAGGAGGGAATGTGTTGCGGCGGCAAACTCTAGCTGCCAGCAGGCGGCGTGGTGTAGTGGCTAGAGGCCTTGTGCTGTGAAACCTATGATGCAGGTTCGGTCCCTTTTTGGTGAAGTTTTTTTGCCAATTTTTTTTATTTGAAAAATGAGGAAGTTTTGATGGAGTGAAAGAACAGCTCAAAATTTTGAAATTCACCATTTTATGCTTATCTGAGAAAGAATTTCGACAAAAAATTTTTTTGCTCAATTTTCCTTGCCTAACCATAAGGCTTATGGTTGACTTATTCCTTCGAAAAAATTTCTGATCAACCAATAAAATCAAAGTTCTATGAAGTTTATTCTTCTTTCCTTCCTTTATGACGTTATCTGTTTAAAAATGTGTATCAAAGCCCAGCTTCACTTTATTTTCACAATCGAGATGATATGGCGATGCTGCAGGGAATGGAAAAAAAAAGACAAGGAAAAGGGTTAACTAACCGCCATCTTTGAAGAAAAAAAATCTTTTGATGAATAAGAATAGAAGCATAGAACTACAATAAGTTGTTATTTATATCACAAACCTATGAACTCTCGCAAGAATAATCTCGACGCCCAAATTTCCTGCACAGAGCAGGACAAAAAAAGACTAAAAAAATTTTTTTTTGTCGAAAGTCTTTCTCAAAACGACATAAAAATAGTGAATTTTAATACTTTGAACAGTAATTTTTCGTTCCATCTTCAAAAAAATTCATCAATTTTTTTCGAAAAAAACTTCATGGCAAAAAATTTCACCAAAAAGGGACCGAACCTGCATCATAGGTTTCACAGCGCGAGGCCTCTAGCCACTACACCACGCCGCCTGCTGGCAGCTAGAGTTTGCCGCCGCAACACATTACCTCCTCCCTTTCAATGTATTTTTTGCGTGCAAACTTTGAGGCGCCCTAACTCGACTAGAACCAAAAAGGCGCACTTTTTTTCAACTGCTTTGGATTCAAGGTGTTCGGAAGTACCTATATACCAAGTTTTATTAAATTCCAATAGCTCGACCTTTCGCACTTCCCGTGTAAGTAAATCTTAGTCTTCAATATGACTCTTCAATATGACTAAGAAGAAAAAACGAAAAAAAGTCATGGCCGGTTAGCAGATGATTCTTCTTTTGGTAGTGTCAGGCCATGAACATTGCACAGGCAACAGTATTTTTCAATATCAGCGTTATCAAAAAGGCACTTTTTCAGAAGGTCTAGAATGAAACCCAACGTGAGACCTAAACAAGAAACTTTTTTTACACCCTAAAATAGTGTCTAGGTGGAGGTATAAAATAAAAGCCAGCGAATTTTCTTATTTTTTAATATCGCTACGGAACTTGCTGACTGCGAGGTTTACGACTATTATTTTTCTTGATAATATCTTCGTTGTGAATCTTTCTATACAAAGTAAGCCGTTGATTCATGAATCATGACTAAAACACAGAGAAAAAGGAAAAAAAGTCGGAAAGAAATTAATCGGAAACGTCGCCGTCGGAGATTCCCTAGCGATATGAAAAATTTGAAAAAATCTCCGTTCGAAAATTAGCTGGTTTTTCTTCATACTGCTGTCTAGGATGGTCGGTCTTAACCGTAGCCTCCTACCCGGCTTCAACTTGCGGTATCGCGCTTTATTAACATACGGCGGCATATTTCACAAATTTTTCTGAATGAAATGATTTGAGTACGGTCTAGCCAACAGTCTTAGTTGCTTGAGTGTCTTGGGCAATTACACAAAAATTTTCAGAAAATCTCCGCCTGAGATTGTGAAATCGAATTTTTTTTTTCCATGTGCTATCCTTGATACGGTGTCTTGAAAAAGATAATCAAAGTTTGTCTGAAACTCTTTTCATCATGAGATATAACCAAGCGAATGCCCTCCAAGAATTTAGCCTAGCCCTGTATTATTTGACTAGTTATTAATTGACTGACTGAACAGAAAGATTAAAAGAAGAAAAAATTGCACCCTTCGACCTAATTGAATTTCAAGTGCAAATTTTTCAATAAACCAAATTTCGCCCTTTCGAAGTACGCCTAGAAGCTCTTAGAAGGATGCTGTATGTTTTCTAGATCTCCTCTAACAATAGGCGCTACAAGGAAAAATCGTGAACCTCTGATAGCTGATTAGTGGCGTGCTGGGTTGCGGCGGTGGCAGAGGCATGGGCGGTGGCCCACAGCACGATGAAGTGGACGAAGAGGGCGCGACCTGCTGCTGCTGCTGCAGTTGCGAAGCCGAAGCGACGCTCAATGCATGGACGCTGTTTTGTTGTGTCTGCTGCTGCTGATGGTACAAGCTGGCTTGCTCATCCTCCAGATTTTTCATGGCGGCCGGCGCGTTCGGCGGTCTATCCATGGCCAGCTGAAAACAAACCCTCCACATTTTTCGATCTTCAGATAAATTGTTTTTAAACACTGTTCTAAAAGTGTAAAAGATCAAAAAAATTAAATTAGAGGAATGTATCGCGCAGCCGTTTCAGGTCTTAAAATGTAAGTGACATATCCGTCCTTGTGTGTGAAGGGTGGGAATTTTTGAAGTCGTGGTTTCCCACTACTAACATTTCTCAAACCCCATGGTTGGGTCGAGGCAGGGATCGAACTTGTGACCCCGTGGACCGTAAACAGGCACACAACCTGTTGCGCTACGGCGCGCCCCATGTCTTAAAATGTACTATTAGGAGGTGAATCCTCTTTATTGACAGATTGAGTTGTTTACTCCCAGATGTGGTCGAAACTTGAAATTTTTTTTTTCAATTGAAGCAAGCAAAAGTGGGACACACCTCGCGTTCAGAAAATGCGTTGTCCGTGCCGACGTTCGGGGAGAGACAGGGAGGCGGCTCGTCTTCTGTCGAGTAGCCGTCGTTGGTCGTCGTCTCGCCTGTCATTTTCTGATAGGCCGAGAACGAAGAAGGAGCCTGAAATTGGTGTATACTAGAGTCTGCCAAAAAGATCTTTCGCCCAATCTTTCGGTCAAAGTTTTCATAAAATGTCACCTAAAATATAACATGTAAACATTTTGGCTAAATGAAAAGTTAAAAAGTCTAAACAATGTGACCTATCGTTTTACTTGACAGATTAACATGTCATTAAAATGAGAGATCATTTTAAATGAAATTTCTAAATTTGATCTTTCAAAAGGTCATGATGAAATCAATGTTCAAAATTTTGATCTGTCAAAATAGTTGAAAGATCACTCTAGTTGGTACATAATGAGGAACCAGATGCTTTTGCGATAATTTACGTTTTGATTGTTTGCTGGATCGAGAATTGGAGGAGCTTCGTCTGCCGCCGAACAATTGCTTTTGCAACGGTCAGTTTCCAAGATCACAGCTTCAAGCTTGGGAGGCTCTTCGTCTAGCCTAGGAAGTTCGAATTGATCCACAATCAGTCGTGCCGCTATCAAAGGTATATGGCCAAAAAAATGGCTTCTTACACTTTTTTAGAGTATAAGATCCTAAGGAATATAAGACTATAAGAATGGGATACAGACGTGAAAGGATAAACTCTTATTTTAATGAAAAAATGTTGGAGAGCAGATTTTACTGTTTTTTATTCTGGCAGACCTGAAAAAATCGGGTGCATCGTAAAATATAAAACATTACGCGCGCTTAAAAGTAATGTCAAGCGTTTTTCTTTTTTTTTAAGTCATAAATTCTCTAATCGTGGTTTTTCGAACGATCCGTTTTTTTCTTCCCATACCGATCATTCTCAAAGTCGTCGTCGTCGTCGTCGGGCACGAAACCCATGTTCATCATGGTGCATGGTGCGTTGCTAGGAATGCGGTCTCCGATGGGCCGTGGCGAGTCGGAGCGCGTCGAAATCGAATCGGCTTCGGAGCTCGAGAGAGGCGTCTCTGCTATGTCGCCCACGCGTGCGACCTTGTCTTTATTCTCTTCGGCGACCAGAGTGATGGTCGTCGTCGTCATCGAGGTTTCACCGTCGTCGTCGCTCGAGCAAGCGTCCTGCACTGACGCGCTTCGATGCCAAGTGCTGCTCAACTCGCTCGAGCTGCTCCGTGCCTTGTTAGCGTCCTTCTTTCTATTTTGATCACGGACCACACCGCCTTTGTTCTTGCGACCGTTTCCTATGAAATGTCATTGATAAATGAGGTTCAATGGCAATCAACTACGCATGTCTAGTGCAAACGCTAAATTGAAACGAAAACGCAAAACGCAGAATCAATTCATAAATTGGCCAAGGGCGACGACTTCTAATTTTCTTTTCATTTCCAACTTGAAAATTCAGCGAATGACTCGAACATGTCTCAATTTTCAATAAGGGAATACTCGGTTATACAAACTTTGTCTTTCAACTTCGCGCGGAAGGCCACGATTTGGAAAATCATGGGGTTTCAACTGCATTTTTGTCCCGTGGAGCCAGTTGAGTGGTTTTGTTCAGGTCGTACCTTTGTTGACTTGCATGAGAAGGCCTCTCGTTTGGCCAGCCGAAGCTACGGCATGTCCATCTTCGCCGGACAACTTGCCGCTCTCCGAAGTTGAAGGTGGTTGTTGCGAGTTTGGAATCGCCTAAATCTGGTGCGCTGAGAAGAGGAGGAATTTTTCCCATCAGTTCAATATCGAAAAAAAAACGGACTTTACCCTTGCTCCCTTTTTTAGGAGCCCCTCTCTTTTTTCGCCTAAGAGGAAAAGAAGCCGGCAGGTGAGGATTCCCTTTCTGCGGAACGGCTGCTTCTCTAGCCTTTTTAGATGTCTCAACAACGTTGGCGTCAGCGTCCGAGTCGGATGAGGCAAGACTACCTGAGAGTACAAAAAAAAAATTAAAAAGCCGTGAGCTACACACGTGACGAACCTTCGGAAGTGTCGAAGCTCATTGAAGAAGAAGACGAATGACCGGCGGAATCTTCGGCGCTGCTAGAACCATACAGGGTGACTCGACCTGACTTTGTCCATTTGCTGCTGCCGCTGGCACCATTTGTTTTAGTTGTTTCAGCTCGTGTAGCGCCTGAATCTTGTTCCGTTCTGAATGCAAAGCTCGGTAGCGTATCCAAATTTTGTTTCTCCTCTGAAATTAAGACGACGACATAAAAAAGAATCCGATGAAGTTTGGTGTTTATCCCTAGAAACTCTCATTTCTCATTTTTTTTTTTTTGCGCCCCTGTTGATTTTGATCTATTAATGTCCCCAGAACTAAATAGCAACGTTTGAGATTGACCATTTCTAGATTGGCGAAAGTTGGTAAGGGCTCGTGTTGATTGTTGGTGGTAGTGATCATCCTCATCGTCGTTGTCGTCGTCTGGACCGCTATCATCGTCTTTGCGAAACTCTTTGGTACGGTCTGTAATTTCGGCTTTGGAGGACGCAAAGTGCACGCCGAAACCTTTGCATACGCTTGAAGTCAATTTGGTTTTTCTCCGGGTGCGCTTGCTCGTTTGACGCGAGTCATGCTCTTCGTCATCTTCTTCTTGTTCTTCCGATGTGTTGGCTGTTTCAGCGCCAACGGTGAACGACACTTTTTCTTTTTCGAGCTGCTTGCGCAAATTGCGCGTCGTTGACCTTGAGTTTGTGTTTCCATTACGGCCCTAAGAAAGGGTTCTTTATCTATTTAGTTAAAGACTTTGGAAAGAGGAATTTTTAAGAAAAGTTGAAACACAGTTCGAAACCTTTTAGTTCGAATTTGATGCGCTTCAAATCATCATGTTGAGGTCAACTCAATTGTTTTTCTTACGTATAGCCGATTCATGGCTAGCTTGTGCCGCTAAGAGGCGTTTCCTGTCTGCGCTCTCCACCAACCAGGCACCCTCTCTTTTATTTTCGTGTCAGGACCTTTTGTTTCTTTGACTCAAGCCAGCTGTGAATCAGCTATATAGCTAATTTCGCCAGCTTGTCATGATCATTATTTTCCTCCGAGCTACAAGGCATAATCGAAAAGTTCTCTGACGATAAGAAAGAAATCGGAAATGCCGTCATAGGAAAATTAGCTGAGTTCACAACAAGCAGACGCGCGATCCGTATTTGAAAGTGGGAAAATCATCAAAACCAACGCTCTGAACTGTCGCCCCGACAGCAGCGATAGAAGGCGTAGCAGTGACGGAAGAGGACGACTTGCGAAGCACCGAGCCTTCACCGACTACCGCCGACGTTGGAGTTTTCATCGGCGTCAGAGACGGGTGGGGCGACGGAAACTGTGGCGATCTCTGGCCAAAGTCTTTAGTGGGAGAGTAAACCGTCGGCTCCCACTTAAAATCACAAGTTGGGTTGATTCAAAGAAAAGCTCTCAAAAATGACATTCTCTCCTTTGAATTTCAAGGCTCTTTCGTTATCAGCAAACTACATGTCGACTAAATTATTCGATGGATGTCGAAGGTTATTGGCATGAACCATCTTTTCATAGACTGACAAGATTGTCGTTACACTGGACGTTTGTTCAAAGGTTACATTTTGACACGCTCGAATAGCATCATGTGATTCGAACGTTCATTTTTAAGAGCTCTAATTCAAACGTGTGGTCAGACGTTGAAAAAAAAAGTACTTTAAGTGCACTTTCGTCGAGCCATATCCGCCGTTTGTCGTCTGCGACCGCCTTGCAATGTGCTTCCACCATTTTCCAGTTGATTTCGAGTTGAAATTTGCTTAAAAAATGAGCAGTGACTCAAAAAATTAAAGAGGTCTGGCGCACCCGTCTGCTTTGGCCTGAATCCAGCCCAGAGCATCGAGCGTTTCGCATATGTCTGCCGCGGCGATTCCGGTGCCCTCAGCCAGATCTGAAACGTATGCTTGGATTGTGAAAAAAACTGGAAGCTTTCAAGGCGCAAAACATGGTTATATCAAGTATCATGAAAAGTTGCTGCTTCAAAGCGTGTAGAAAAGCAGAGTTGCACGGAAGAGAATTGCGGAAAAAAACTTGAATGGGAATTTATGGAGGGTACAACTTTTTTCATCGTAAAAAAGTTGATCTATAAGTAATTGGAAAACAAAAATCAAAAAATTTATTTTAATTGAGCTCTCAGTTTTTAGAAACCTCCAAAAATAGCAGATGGTAAAACTGTTTTTGAATTTTTTTTTTTTTGTTAATGATGGTACCCTCTATAGAAATAACTTTTCGAGATGTATCTATCAAAAAAAAAACATATCTTAACCATTCTCAACTTTTCTCCGATGAAAAAAAAAACCGTCTCTTTCAAAAACTCTGATTCAACTACAGTTCCGCAAATCTCTTCCGTGCCCCCTGGTAGAGAAAGGAAATTAAATGCAACAAACCATGCATGGATATTCGACTGGGCGCTTTTCGTTTGACGTGAACGTTGATCCACTCGAAAAGCGCAGTCCGCCAATAGCTCGCGTAGGAGACACGGCCTAAATCGGAGAGCGGCCTTTCCGGAGTGCCTGTCATGTTCTCTTTCCGAGTGAGCAAAAAACCTGTAATTTGACAATTAATGTCCGGTTGTTCATTTATAATTGTATTCAATTTTATTCATTTTCGCAAAAATTTATGGCGGGGGCAATCAAAAATAAATGAAATTTCAATTTTATTCTCCATTTTATAATAAATATACTACTTCACAAAGATATATCCCTTGGAAAGTCGAACTGCGAGAGGGCCTAAACCACAAAGTTTCTAAAGTAAGCGTTTCCAATCTACAATGAAGGCATCTTTTAGAAGGAGACGTTAGTAAAAGGTCTTGGTAACAAGAAAAAGAAGAGCGATTGCCATTTTCTCGAGGTTTTACCCCATGGGCAAAGTCAAGAAGGACCTAAACAGAACCTTTGGAAATAGCTTTTTTTCTTGATCTTTTTAGCAGAAAAAGAAGTTGGCGGAAAAAGGAGATTCGGAGAAAATTTTGACACCAAAAGGGGCTCTAGATTTTCCTTTTTAAGGTCTTTGGAGTTTGCCCGTAATGTTAAAATTAAAAATTTTTTTTCGTCACATTTCTATAGAAAGAAGAGCGATGAAGACATAAGTCAAAAATTGAGAGGTTTTTTTCCATTCCGCCAAACAAACGAGGAACAAACAGCAACGTACTGAAATCAATGAGAAAGCGCCCGTAGCCCATTTTCTGATAGTAGGGAAGTGTCACTATGCACGAAACGTTGTACTTTTGTGTACTGTACTTTTCCTGGAAAAGGCTTTTCACGTTCAAGAAAACGTCTTTCCAAGAACCTTGCTGAAGTAGCCAACAATGTGGCAGCCTCTGTCGTCGTTTCGCGTCAAGACGTAGAAAAGAAAGGGCTCTACATCGTAGTAGAGCGTCTTGTGGTCGAGAAAAAGCTTTGACAGCAAGCAAAGGTTCTGGCAGTACGTCCTGAACGCGTTTAATTGCGACGCTTTATCAATACAATCGACCGACTTTGATGAGTTGCCATCAATCTCAAAAACGGAAATGTCGTCGTGGCGGTACACTTCTCTGCCTGGTGGATACGAAAGGGTGCATTTTGTCTGGAAAAAAAGGTTGAGATTGTTTTTCATCAAATCCTCGTACGCATTTTTGGGCCGAAAAGAAGCCGACTAGGAATGGCCAACGTGTCAAGGCCACACTTTTTGCCGACACGCGGAAAAAAAAATCTAGCGAAAGATAAAAGAGAGATACTGGTTTTGCAATAAAAAATATATCGATTTCGCGAGCCAATTTTAGTTTTCCTTAGAAAGTTCAACCAAAAGCAGCCGAAAATGCTATGAAGGTGAGTTCGCGACGGAAATTTGAAAGGAAAGGAATACCCTGTTCGAATAAATTTGGGCGATTTCAAAATTGACGCGTTATTCGTTTAAAATTATTTCGGGAAATGTCCATTTCCCTAAATCATTGAACACGGTAGATTAAAAGATCTCTAAAACATTATAATGCATTATTTAACGCTTTATTTCCATCCCGTAAATGCACAAAAATCGGCTCGCTCTATCGCGCCCCTATTGCAATAAGTTAAACCGCCATTGCAATTAGCAGAAGGAACACTGGATTCTCTCGAGAAGATTAAGTGACGGAAAAAAAGAACTAAAAAGAAAACGAATCATTGAGCTAGGAAAATTTTTCTTTGCGATTCTACCGCGTTCATGAGATTGCTGTTCTCAAACCAGGTGCTGTCGAAGAATTTCGGCCGTTTTGATGTACTTGAGGCACCACTCGCAAAGGTAGAGAACAGGAACATGTGCACACTCGTGGGGGTACGGCGCCGAGAACCACGTCTGAACTTGGACACGGCCTAGATGAATCGCCCTCGGCCACCGAGGTTCCTTGTCCGAAGCCGACGACGACGGATCATTCGACGACCTCTGACAGGCTTCTGCGATTGCTCGTTCGATTTTCTGCAATAGAAAAGAGGGCATGTAGGAAAGAATGACCAACGCTCACTTGTGAAACGCGTTGAACCACTTTATCGTAAATCTGTTGCGACTCTTTAGGGACCTGAAACTTTTCTTTAACGTCTTTTGCTTTCAAAAAATAAATGGTTTTTCTTTCCGAATTTTTTTTACGCGTGTATACGTAAAAGTTGCGAAAATTGAGAGGAGAAAAGGGCAATAAACGTAAAATGATGACGACCATAGTAAAGAGCCAACTACCATAAAGGTGTCCTCTTGGGCGACTCGTTCATCTGCAGACACATTTTCTTCGTTTTCCTTCTCAACGGCATTGGATCTGCAGAAAAAAAAGTCGTAATTCACGAATGGATATAAATTTACTTTAGCACACGCACGCCACTCTTGATCGGCACCGACGAAGACGACGCTTCACCCCGGCTATTACTATCGTCGCTGCTGTCGTGGCTGTTGACGGCGAGTTGTAAGCGTTTGGGAGCTTTTTTCAAGCCGCCGCATCGCTTCACAGGCGAAACGTTTGGCGAATGCGGAACTTTGGGCGTACGGCATCTTTTCGCCAAGTCTTGATCGTCGTTCTTAGGGCTCTTAAAATTGATTTTGAAATGAAATCAGTTCAATTTTTTGTTTTGCCAAACAGACTTTGGCCAATTTTCCAACAAATTTGAAAATTTGGTCCAAAAAATCACCTGGCGAGCATCCTTTTGGCGATTTGTGAATAGAGCGGCGCTAGCGCTGTTTTGCGTACGCCGCCCTCCGACGAATGGCTGCAGCAAATCGACCTGGCCACTGCGTCGAGATCGTTCCATACGTGCTGGCCTCTTCTTGGCCGACTACAAATTGAATTCGAAAAATGAAACTTGTTGCCGTGTTCAAAGTAATTTCCGCGAAATGCAAAATGATCTCTGACTCTCCAAAATTTATTGATCTTTTCCTTTCTCTAACGTGTATTTTGCATTTCGCGGAAATTACTTTGAACACGGCATGTAAGTGAAACAGGGATCACCTCGAACGCGTTTTAAAAAAAAATACAGTATAAACCTCTTCTTGATCGACCTCGTCAGGAAGCGGCGACACCACTGAGGCAACAACTTTTGGCGCTCCGTGAGGTGAGTTTTGCGACGATGAGAGCTGTTCTGCAGCTGCAATTTTTTTTTTTCGCGATTTTAACAAAAAGAAAAGTGAAAAAATGTTTTCTTACAACTTGGCAAAATAAATACGCACTTCGGAGATCCTAAAACTTTTTCCTTCGCATGTACCCCATTCAAAGGAAATTCCCGCACAAAACGGATTTTACTCGAAAATATTGCAAAACTCGAAAACAGAGAAAAAATCGGCATGCCCGATTTCAGGTCGAATTTGCAAAGCTGACATAAAATTTATTGAAAAATCTTGTGGCGTGTCGGAGGAACGGAACATGCTTCAAAACGAAAAACCGTGTTCATCGGCGCGCCAAAGTTGCTCCAAAACAGTACTAATTTTTGTTTTGGAGCAATTTTTTTGCGTTTTGAAGCAATTTTCGTTTTGTCCGATGAAGACATATCTTACTTTGGGTCACCATCAATTGGTTTCTCGAAACTTAAAAACAATCGAATATTCAACGCATTTTGGACACTAAAATGATTCAAGTTCGCAATTTAGAACTGAAAGAAATTCAAAATTTTAAAAAATGGCCACTTTAAAAAGCGACCGACTTTTTCCAGCAAGCCGGTAAAATCAAAATGTGGAAAAAAGATTTTTCGGGCTAATTTTGCAATATATAGGTACGACATGTCGTACCTATACTGTCGACAGTATCACGACGTTCTTTTGATGACGCCCCGCCCTTTATTTCCGTAGTATTTGACGTCATTGGTGCAAACACACAACGACGCTAACTCGCATTTTCATTAAATTCGAAAATAATAATTTTCTTCGAAAAATGGCGTTTTTTCAACACTAGAGACGGAAAAAATTTAAAAAAATTTCACAGTTCCATTTTCTAGTTGACAAAAAAAAAATTTGAGCGAAAGTTTTTCTTACTTTTTGAACAATTTTATTCCTTTTAACCCCCAAAAGTAGGTAAAGTACTTTTTTTCCCCCAAAAAGTAGTTGAAGTATTTTTTTTAAGTGAAAAAGTGCATCTTGTGCCGCAAATAACTTATTATGGTTCTGTGTTTCTTTTCCTACTGATCAAAAAATCAAAAAAACATTTTTCGTTATATGTGTGGTTTAGTTCATCCACCTAGTGGTATTTTTTCTCCCCTGCAACGTCGTCATACCATTCCGATTTTGCGAAAATGAAGATCAGTTTATTCAAATTAAAATTTTAATTTGACACTGAAAATGTCACTGAAAGCATTGCTTTAGAGCTTTGGAAGGGAAACTTGGTCAAAACCGAGCAGTTAACTTTGAAAACTAAATAACAAAAAATTCCTTCGCATTTTTCTGTCGCAATGAGAAATATTTACCGTAAATCAGAAACAAACAGATAAAGATAAAGATATATACAACAAAAATAAAAATGAAAAATCACCTGAAGCATTTGAGCAACAAGAATATCAAACGCTCGCGCGCAAACCTGTCTACCGTATTTCAAGGTGAAGCAACCTTTGTAACCCACTCCGCATTTTCAAAACTTTGACATTTTCTTCCACTAGCAGAACGCCGTGAGTATTGACAGCAGTCCTCAAGAGGTTGCATTGTTTGGCCTTGGCGCGCACGTATCCTTTGTGACCGCCGCGGGAATTTTGTTGGAAATAAAGCAAACTCGGACATAGGTAACGCGGAACGGACGTACTCTAGACGTTTTTGGGCAATTCTAGGAATCACTAATGAGGGCTGAAGCTGCTAAAGTGGTCACTCGAAACGCCCCGACACGTCCGATTCGCGTCCGTTTTGCGTTACAAATGTCCGATAATGAAAGGCTGTAATTTTTTTAATGTGCAACGAAGTTTTTGAATGCAAGTCCACAAAGAAAATCACGCTTTGAAACAAGAAATTATGAAAGTCATTTTCACGCCAAGAGTGCAGCAAATGCTTTTCCGCCTCGCACGTCCTAGCCGAAAAGTATTTTTATTCACGAAACCTTCTTTGTTGAGTAAAAAAGAAAGATGAAATAACACCTTGTCTGAGATGGGGCAGGTAGCGAGGTCCCGAGCCGCCGCAAAGATGAAGAAATTCGCCACGTTGTACTGTTCGACGCTTTTCACTAGTGGCGCTAAAGTAGGGCGACAACGAATCGGTGAGTTTGGAAAGACTCCTCTGCGGAGAAGCGTCTTCATGGTCACCCGGAGATATGGTCACGACATCTACCGTGAGTGGCTGAAGGAAGAAGAAGAACTTGATTTTTGCCTTGATTCATGTTTTGAAATAACCTCGTTGTATTTTTTGCTGCTACCACTAGCAGTAGCTGTTGTGTCAATTGGCTTGTTGCAGCCGCTAGTGGTGCCTCTCTTGGTGAAGTTTCTGGTCGTCGTCGTCGTCGTCGAACAGCGCGCTGACCTTTCATAGCCGTCATCGAATGGCTCCAACTTTTCGACTGCCTTGTAGTGTTTAATCTTTTCATCCTCCTTCACCTTATCGTCGTCACTACTCTCCAATGTTACCTAAAGATCAAGCTTTTCACCTTTTCTGAAGTAAGAAAAAAAAAACAGAAAAAACCTCGTCAATTTTGGTAGCCTTGGGAGAGCTCAACGATTCGATTCTTGCGCGTCGGCCCGCTGTGGGCGTGAAAAACTGCGACAGACTGTCTTGCAAATGTCGCAGCTCATCATTCGACCTTTTCCTCAACCAACTTGCCATTTGAAAAATACATCGAAGTTACTCGAGTACCTTTCACTAGTTGAATCGGGCTTATGCTCATAATCTTCTTCATCAGTCACCACATCCACCTGTTGGGTTTTGATGATGGCTTTGCCTTTTTTCGACCTAAATATGAATTCGAGCTTAATACTTTTGTAAAATATCGAGGTCATTTTTTTTCGGTCAGTTTACGTACATGGGTCTGAGAGCTTCTCCATCAGACGTGCTTCGTGTCCAAGTTGAAGCAGATTTCACAGACTTGCGCCCCATTCACTCTTTATTGTTGTTGTTAAAAAGAACAGGGACCCGTAGAAATGTGTCAATGGCGTTGAGCTATCGTTTGCGTCTGAATGAATCAACTTAATGTACGTTTTCAATTTTTTCATATTCTTGCCTCGAACCATTAACTTACAGCTCGCTCGAAACGGTTTTTATTTCAAATTGCAATAAACGCGTGAAAACAAAAACAACAACTGTGAACAACTCTTGAAATTTTAGGGAGTCAGTCAAGTGAATTTGAGAACGTTGCAACTATAACGAACACTTTTTTTTTTGCTTTATCTTGCAAAATCTTGCACTTGATTTGGAAAAAAGGCGACGAAGACGGCGACACGAAGGAAAGGGAATTACGAGACACTGGGCGAGAGAGAGAGAGAAAGAAAAGGAGAGGGAGAGAGAGAGAGGGAGAGAGAGAAGAAGAAGCAAAACGACTCTTTGGAAAAATATTGATTGGCGCTAGCAGTTTGAGTTTTTCGTGTGAAATTTGCAGATTTTGTAACGTCGTCAAGTTCAAAAAAGCATAACTTAGGCTGTAGGTGTCCTAAATTCATGTTTCAGGTACAAAAATATTGAGAAATTTGTGCTCGATAGTACTAAATGTATAATACCCTAAAAACCACAAGAGAAACCTCATATTAGGTAAAAAAAAAACCTTAACTTAAGGGTCATTTGTTAGGTTCAAAAAATCGTAAACTACTCTACTGAAATCGTGCAAAAAACAGTGCCTATGCCAACACACTCCAAAAAAGCTTCAGGCATTCTGCAAATCAATGCTTTGCATTTTGCTCAGACACTGGCGAAGACGGAAAAAGTGGTAAAAACCTCCATAAAAATTTTCTTTTTAGGGTGACAAAGAATCCTTTTTTGCTGCTTTTTTGCGCCATTTCATCGTCTCTTGTGAACCATTTGCTGCCTCTCCCTTTTTCCACACTTATCGACCTTTTACAGGGTAACAAATAAATATTGAAACCGTTTTTTGTTTGATCGCTGCTTTTTGCACAAAGGACTGGCCTTTGAATTTTTTTGTTTATTCCGTTCATTCATGCTCAGTTATCATGTGTTGAAGTTACAGCTCATACTTTTCAGTTTTCAGGTAATGGTGGCCCCATCTCCGTACCGTACCGCAATCATTGATTGTGTCAAAAGCAGAATGACAAATTCAGAGATCGTTAAAAAGCTGAAAGTGTCTCGTGTTCTCGTTTCTCGAACTGCGAAACGCTATCGACGTCTCGGTACTTCAGATGACATGCAAAGAAGGGGACGTCCAGTCACCGTCACGACTCCAGAAGCAGTCAAAGCCGTTCGAGAGAAAATCAGACGCACTCCGGAAGAAGCATGAGAAAGATGGCAAAAGAATACGAAATGAGTCGAGAATCGATGAGAACTGTTGTCAAGGACAAGCTGAAGATGATTCCCTACCCTATGCAGAAAGGAGCCTTCCTCAATCAAAAAACAAGACATTGAGCATGAAAAAGACTCGAAAGCTGCACGCTGGCACGAAAGATGGCTCGCATCTGACGACGCTATTTACCGACGAGAAAATCTTCACTGTGGAGCCGAACAAGAACGGCCAAAACCATCCGATCATCGCTACTGACTATCAGAGTGCCTGTGAAGAAGGAAAAATTCTGAATAAAACTTCGCATCCGGCTTCCGTGATGGTTTTTGCCGGAATTACCGCTGACGACAAAACTCCGCTGATTTTTGTGGATCCTGGAGTCAAAGTGAACCAAGTATAACCAAGTACAACACCTCGCCCTCGCCAACCAGCCCATATCACCTTTCAAGTCGGGAAACATTGACTATACAAATTTTTTTTGACCCCCGGTTTTTTGCGAATTAGAAGAAAGCGGAAGAGTTTAACTGAAACGAAAGTGAAACAAAAAAAAATTTTTTATCGAGCACATAAAGAAGAAAAACCGGTGAAATGAGATATAAATCCAAAAAATTCAATAGTTTCCTAAGTGGCCAGAACTCTTTACAGAACTAGAGAAAACAAATCGATAAATAAGAAATAACTTGAAATTTTCTCAGCACCAGGAACTTCATTTTCGCAAAAAAAAAATCATTCAAATCACTATTTGAAATATTATTTTCTTTATTTACAAAGAGAAAAACGAAAAAGATGCGAAAAAGTGAAATCGAAAAGCACGATTTCTGTCAAAAACAATAAAATTAAACTTCCCATGGATCATAAATAACCCAAACATTCATTTTCAATATGAAAAACTAAAATAAATACAAAAAAGACGGACAAAAAATTCTCGCGCTCGCTTCGGGGGCCTAAATGAAAACCGCTTCGCGGGTCGGGGCGCTCCGGGGCGCGTCGCGGTCGGGTCGGGGCGGCCTCGGCCAGGGTCGCCCCGACTTGAGAACAGCTCTGCTAGAGAGTACACGGCGTCCGTGTTCGAGCCCCACGATCACCGCCGTGCCCGTACAAGCGAAACTGAGGGATTTACTTGTGGAAGAGCGAGGAGAAGGACCGTAAGACCATGCATAATATTTTAGTAATGAGCGAATACGAAATATAGAAAATATACAAAATTTAGCGCACGTTCATCAGGTAAATAAATAGTGGAATGAGCGTTTTATCGAAATTCGCACAAATAAAATATTCACAATTTCTTAAGCCAGCGGCGAATGATGTTTAGAAGGAAGTATTAGGTTGTTCAAAAAGCTTTCTGTTTTCGAAAGTTATTGCGGTTTTTATTATTCGAGTTCAAAAGATCCTAAATTCGCTTAGAGTTCTCATTTCTGATCAAAACAAAAACCATCTTATCAAGTGGCCATGTGAAAACAAAAAACACAAAAAATTCAGTCGATAATATCACTGGGGGCTTTGAAACTCTCGGAGCCTTTTTTGGGAGGGTTTCGGTTTTGAAGCATTTTTTTTCGCGTGCAAATATTTTCAAATTTTGGAAAGCTGTTGTTTAGCAAGGTAGGGGTTGAAAAAAGAGGAAAATAAAATGCAATCATTTTTCTTGACTCGTTTATTTCTTTACTTGCAACTTCCGCAAAGCGCGATACAGGACAAAACGTGACTTTTTTAGTTTCGATGTTTTTAAAATTTTTATACCACCCAACATAATTGCCGATATCGCAGCGGACCGCAGGCGATATAGCCAAGGCTTCTTGCTGCGATCTCGTCAACATGTCGCTGCGACTTCGTCAAAGTCTCGCTGCCATATCGCTTCCTCTCAAAAATTTGAAATTTGAAAAACATTTTTTTTGCTTTATTTTTGACTTTTATGATGAAATCAATCAAATTCAAAAAAACCTTTTTGGAGAAAAATTTTTCAGAGAGCGATATAGCGCAAGACGTTTGCGAGGTCGCAGCGAGAGGCGAGCGATATCGCTCGCGGCTCCCCCGCGGTATAGCGTTACTCTCGCTGCGATATAGTCCACAATTTTGGGTGACACTACTTCGTCGAATTTTTTTTTGATTAGTGAACAACGTCGCTCAAATATTGTAGGGTAGAAAGTTGAGATTACTTATGATAAGTTAAAACAGCTGTAGATAGCCAAGAACGTGCTCAAACGTCATTATTTGATAGGTTGATTTCGAAGAACTATCCAAAGCGGCGCCTTAGGCTATCCAGTAAAAATAGGCTTAAAAACCGTTGTAGACGTCTTTCTTATTTTCAAGATTCAAAAAATCCTATTATATTATGAAATTTAGGTCACATTTTTTTAATTTTCTTTCTTTTTGCATTTTGTTAGGGACCTATTTCTCGAGGTTACAAGGTAAGTCACGTCACAAAAAGTACACAAGTTTTCCTTTTATTACCCAAAAACCTATCTAAATTACCGTAATACGACCGGCCACCTTAAACAGGCGTGCGGAAAAGGATTCGTTGGAAACTTCTCCGTCGGAAAGTTCCCTAGCGTTATAACGCTAGCGCGTTATGAAAAAATCCGAATAGCCGACGTTGGATAATTCGCTGGTTTTTCTAAAAAAAAATAGTCGAATAGTCGACGTTGGAAAATTCCCTGGGTTTTCTAAAAAAAAACCCGGCTACAGTAAGAGGGAATGACTAAAAAGTTGCGTCGGCATTTTTGATGACGGACTATCACACTGAGTGGAATTATATCATAATCAGCGATAATCAAGACGGAATATGAAAATAAACTCAATAATCACCGAAAAAATACTCATTGCACCAAAAAGACGCCATCATTTTCTTGGTAAATGAGAGCATTTTCCAAGGCAAACGTTCGCTTTACCATTTACCGCTTATTGCATACGAAACTGACATTCGCCGGCAAATGCATTTTCCTCGTCGAACGTTTGCCGGCGAAAGTTTATTGCATACGGCCTCTGGGATCGCCGGGATAACTCAACGCAGAAATGAGAATCAGTACTAGAGCAGAAGTTTGAAGAAGACCAGAACGAAGAAAAACAGAAAATACAGAAATTGAAAGCCTTATATGCAAGCAATTTCTAATTTAAATGGACAAAATTTTAAAGGCTTCTAATTTTATGCCGTGTTCGAAGTAATTTCGGCGATTTCAAAATTAACGTGTTATTCGTTTAAAATGATTTCGGGAAATAGGCAGAATTGGTATTCCGAAAAAGTGAGTCCTACAACGATATATCGTTCTATATGCCTTTTTACTGTAACTTCTGCGCGGGAACTCAAAATTTTGAATTTATTTGGGCATTTCCTACTGAAATTTCAAATTCGCGCGTAAAACTCACCGTAAATATGCGTATCCAACGATATTTCGTTGTAGGACTCGCTTTTTGTTGGCCTTCCCGGAATACCAATTCTGCCTATTTCCCGAAATCATTTTAAACGAATAACGAGTCTATTTTGAAATCGCCGAAATTACTTTGAACACGGCATTAGTGGCTCCCAGGTTATGTGGTCGCAATTTTCACGCGACGTATTTTTGCGGATCAATTTTTTCGTCCTACCATCAAAAGGCGAGTAGGCCACTTTCAGGCCAAATTTGGGTTCAAAATGAAATTTCGAGGCGATGGTCAAGCTGAAATTCTCTCAAGTTGCAATAAAAATAAATAATAAAAATCTATAAATGAAATGGAAACAAAGATTGGATCTTTGAGGAATGAGCCGTCAGGCATCATGGACTTCACCCATTTGGCCGCCGCAAGACCACGATTGCGCGCCTTCATAGAGATTTTGCGAGATGATGGTCTACCTAAGATTCTTTCAAACTGATATCAGTTCGTAGTGCTTTTTGTGAGGTATCTTCTGAGGAGCTAGGAAGAAAGAATCACCCGGCTCAAGCTCATTGTGGCCAAAAAAAACTTGTTTGGCAGACACCAAAAGCACCGTAAAATGTTTCCACAGTAATCCATGATGTAGTGTAAAAGTTTTAAAAATTCCATTACCTTTCAATTGATATACATCATGCCTAGTGGAAACTCATATTTCCATAGATGCGCAGTGCACACCTGCCTACCGTAACCCGGCTACAGTAGGAGAAAATGGCTCAAAAAGCTACGTCTGCATTCCTTATGACGGACAATCAGACGGAGTGAAGTTTCATTGAAATAAAAAATTGATTTATTGTACGTAGGGACCACAACCAAATTTTCAAAAAAGTTTTCGAGTTTCAATATAACTATGGCTAAATAGCTGCTCCAATTTACTATTCAAAACAGTTTAGTTTTTCAAAAAAGGTTGAGAACAAAAAAAGTTATGGTCAAAACAGTAGTGAAAAAAGTCGCGAAATTTAGTACTGGAAGTTTAGATTTTACACTTTTGGTCGCTCATTTTGTTTTCATATCGGATTTAAATTTTTTAATAGTTTAGTTCGGTTTTCAAAGTCATAATTAGTTATTAAAACAGTATAAAACCACAAGTTTGAAGAGAAAAGCTATTTTTTCATGGAAAATAAAAAAAATGGCCGCTGCGAGGATCGAACTCGCGATATCAAAACTGTATGCAAGCGCACTTGCGCTGCTCCACGTCCATCCCTCGGAGACGGGAGGCGTTCGCGCTATACACCACTTCGCCTCAAAGTACAGCATTTACCGACTATCTTGTTTAAAAAAAAGTTATGATAGTTGAACAATTGTTAGTCGCGTGTGTTCGGACCACCTAAAAACAATTTATTCATAGAGATTCAGTTCAAAATACTTCCCTTTTCGGCGTTTTCTGTTACTTTTAACGTTGGCTTAAAATTAACAGTAATTAAACTTTTAGGCATCGTTAAAATTTTTATTTTATTTTTTCAATTGGTAAAATCCGACGTTACCAACATGTTTGATTTTCAGCATAAAAGTATAACCATTCGATTCGTCTCATTGAGATACGTACGAATGCCATAAAATTATTTGGCGCTGACCACTTAGAAAAATTTATGATGAACCTTATTAGTTTTCAATCAAGTAATTATTCTGAGGAATAGTAGTGTTTGCTTTTTCTTTTCATGCACTACTTAAGAAAATAGGCTTAGTTTTAAGGCTTCAGACGGAGGCGGAGCGCGCATAGCGCGAAGCCGACTGTGGCTCGCTTTGAAAAAACTGAGCCGCAGGGACCAATTCGTGAAAGAAATGAAATAGTTGACATAAAAAGCATGTAGTTTCAAAACGTGGACCCTAAAAAACACTATCAGGTAGTTCTGAACGATTTGCAAACTTGATACGCGTAGCGAAAAAATCTGTAAAATGTTTTTTTCTAAAAAAGAAGAAAGAAAAAATATTAAAGGAGCATACTGTGCGTTAGCGCGGGCTTTGACGCGGTCGGTTATTTTTACTGTAATTTCTCTTTTTTTTTCTTTTTTGCATTTTTTTTTTCTAAAACTTTTCAATTTTTCCCTGTTTTGAAAGATTTTTTCTTCTCATGGCGTAGTAGCGATAGTTTGATTGAATCAGCGTCGAAAAATGCAGCGAAACTTTTGAAATTTTTGGAGTTTTTTTCTGGTTTTTGCACACCATAAAATTATTTCTCCTTACTAGCGCCTAATAATTTTATGATATTCGTACGTATCTCAATGAGACGGATCGAATGGTTATACTTTCATGCTGAAAATCGAACATGTTGGTAACGTCGGATTATTCCTTTCAATTGATTGAAAATTGAGATACGCTAATATTTAAGAAATAAAAAAAGGCGCCAACGACACCTGACCATGTTAAAATGAATTTCGAAATTTTCCCTGTCCATTTTTCAGAAAACAAAGTTTTCGGAATAAGTTTTATACTCATAAAATTTTAGTTACATATTAATCCACAAACTAAAAATTAAAAATTGTTTACTTACACGCTCTCGAAACCGAGTACAACATTTTTCAACTTTGCGCGGCCTCACGAAGATTAGGCAGCGTAAAAATTTTAATTTTTTTGTCTTAAAAGATTTGTTTTTCACTTAAGAATCGAATTTGAAAATAAAAAAAGGCGCCAACGACATGGAACTAGGTTAAAAACCCGAAGAAAAAAAATAGTTTTGGTTTTTTGTACGACACTCCGCTAAAACGCTTCGAAAATCGGGTGAAAAATATATGAGATTAAAGAGGAAGCTTTTCTCTATGTTCCTCCCAATTTTCTCCGTTTTCGGTTCAGTATTGCGTTTGTACGAAAACAAAGAACACAAAATCTAAAAAACCAGTGCATTTCACCATCGCAAAAAGGGGCGTGACTTTGCGGTCTCTAATTGTACGATACAATTGTGCCCAGCGTGTTAAGCTGTAGCTGTATTAAATTCATCTTTTAAATAGCAAAAAATTCAGAATTATGTGCTTGATTTCTGGAAAATGGATTTTTACAGAAATCGCTGAGGAAAATCTCAAAGTATAGAAAAATTTTAAGTTTAAGGTCATTTGTTGAGTTCGAAGATTCACAACTTAGGGGTTAGGTTTCCTAAATTCATTTGTCGAATAAGAAATCTATAAGCTTGATTTTTTGAGAAAATAATTGAAAAGAAGAGCGCCAACGAAAGGATTTTTCTAGAATTAGTCAAGCCCGTAGTACTGATTTTTTAGTTAGCTGAAAAAGGGATTTAGGACACCTACAGCCTTAGTTATGATCTTTTGAATTTGACGATTGACCTTATATTCAAGGTTTTTCCTTGATTTGCGTGTTTACCATTTTTCTAGATTCATCTAGAAAACTTGAGAACCAACCAAAGGTTCGCCGTTTTCGATCTTGTTCTTTTCGTGTGCGAGTGTGTGTGTCTGTGTGTGCAAAACAATCTTTCGCTGAGCCCCTTTTAAAAACTGAATTTATGAATATACTAGGGGCAACTATCAAGTGCTTTTTATTCTTCTTCTTCTTCGTCCTCCTGCGCGTCTTCGGCTTCTTGAGCTTGTTCCTGGTTGTTGTCTCCTTCAGCTTCTGAAAACATTCTTTCTTATCAAATCATTTAATGATCGAAACTAGTTGTGCCCAATGACAAACCATTTGTTGCCGTAGATTCGGAAGCTGGAACTTCGTCTTTCTGCTCCTCCTCTTCTTCGTTATTCTCTTTGAGAGACTTGTCGACGACGACCAACTCGGCTGGCTTTTTCGACCATTCTGGCTTGCCATCGCTTTTTTTTGTCTAAACAAGACGAAAAACGAATGAACAGCAGCAGCAAAGCATTTCTTTCTCGACCTACCTTGGCCATAATGTCGTCGATGCCTGACTCTTTTTTGACCACCTTGAGATTGGCTCGAAAGTTGCCCTTGGCTGGTGCGCCTCCTTCCATCTGTTTGAATTTGTTGTCGTACTTGGAGACTTTTTTCAACGTGGGCTTTACGCTGCAGTTTTGGTAGTTTGAATGCCTCGTCAAAAATTTTTAAGTTACAATTTTCCACGGAGGTCGTTGACGGCTATCGTGAGCTCGTTGATTTCCGACTCGGTGCGCGACACGAGCACGTTCATGTCAAACTTGGCCTCTTCGAGCTCACATACGCGCGCAAACATGGTCTCGTAAATGGCGAGTAATTTACCTGAACCCTTACAAACTCGTCGAGTCTGAACAAAAATTGCAAAACCTTGATCGTTGATGGCGTCAATGTCGGGCATGGGAACGATACGTTGCTGCAAAGCCTTTTGACGCTCTTGCTCTTTCAACAACTGCTGTTGCTTCAAGTCTTCGGCCGCCTTCATCATGAGCAGTTTCTGAATGTTCAAACTTAACATTTTTTAAAACACCTTAACCAACTCTCAGCTTCTTTTTTCGTTCTGGCGTCAGAAAGCCCTTTTTTTTGTTTTTCTTTTGGCCAGCCTCTTCGAGCCGCTTGCGCACCTCGGCTTTACGTCGTTCAAGGTCTTGGGCTTTGTTCGCGGCATCCTGTCAAGAAAGAGAAAGTGAAAGAGAGAGAGGGACAGGGCGTCTTGCGTTATGGGTTATTATTATTAATTCTAGTAGTAATAATAGATTTATTCACTAAATACGTAATGAAGGTAAATAATTGTATTATTACAAATTGAAAGTGCAGTAGAATAACCAGCAACGGGAATTAGTTCACCCTAACGAGTGGACTCTGGCCCGGAGTAAGGCAAGAATTAGAGAAATTGGGAAGGAATTTAGTCGAAGGAGGCGGAGTTCAAGAGATCATTAAGTTTGACTCGTAGGGAATCAGTAGACACATTTCAAACAAGAGCTTGTCGAAAAAAGGACCAACCTCGACCGTGTCGGTGGCCATCGCTCCTCCGTAGCGCAAAACGTCTAGGCCCATCCTCATCCAACAACTAGCGCGGCACGTTGATGGGCGGTGATACTTACAGCGACAGCAGCGAAATTCGAACCGAGCGCCACATGTCCTCGTCGTCGTCTTTGGCTAAGAAAAAAGACTCACATTTCGCTTGGCCTTGATCGTTTTTAGGTTCTGTTGGAATACGGTCCCACATCCTGACCGACAACTTTTCGCACCCATGACTTACTCAGACACCCACGGGTTATAACCGGGGTTGGGCGATTTCCGGGGAGCCTTGCGGGGAGTTATAGTCGCACGGCGTTCCAAAAGGGAACTCGCAAGCGAGCCGATGAGGCGTGTCATTTTACCGCGCCCTTGCGTTCGTTGGAGCGTACTTGCGCAACAGAACTTCTTTTGAAAATTCACAGAAAATGTCAAAAAAACGAAATTTTAAGAAATTGAGACGGTTCGATTGAATTCAGAGTATTTTTTTGTGATTATCATGATGTCCATGGAAAAGTGGAAGCTTTTCAAAACATAAAAGAAGCAATTCGATGAAGTTTCACTGGAAATTATCCGTATAATTGCTTCTCAGCCTTCAAAATCGGTTTTACGAAAAAAATTTTCAGCTATAATCCTATGGTATTCGTTGTTTAAAAGATGAAAGAATGATAGTAAAACGTAAAAAAAAAAATTTGAATGAATGTTGTTGAGAAGTTTTGACGAAAAATCACATAGAATGATAATGGAAAAACGCTCATTTGTTGCGTAGTTCTGCGATCTTCGCAGGTGTTCTCTAAAAATTTTTCCAATTCTCTAATTAACCATGTTCTTTTGAATGAACCTGTGTGAACATTTTCAGCTATCAAAATAAAAGATTGACCGACATACCACAAAGTTTTAGTCTTTCGCGCGGAACACCCAAAATTTGACAAGATTCCATGAAATTCAGTTTAAAAATTATTTTTGCCGACAAAGATTTTTGAACAATTTGAGATTGTAGAAAAAAACTCATTCTGCACATGAATCAAGCAGAAAGAAGTCGAATACATGGCATGAAAATTGAAAAACTCGCGAATTATCATTTTTTTCTTTTTCCTCAACTAAAGCGGTAAAACGGCAGAGGAGCGACATGACACAACCAACTTGTATGAAGTCAGAGCTGACGAACAATATAAACACAGAAGTAACACTCAGAAACGAAAATGTAAAAAAAGTAATAAGGTTTTTGAATTCCCAATACAAAAACTAAACCACGCCCAGTTTTTCTGCAATTGAGGCGCGGTAATTCTGGATAGTTACCCCACGGCGTTTTCCTTTTGGAACGCCGTGGGGTAACTATCCAGTTTCTGACCTTTGGCAGCTCTCAACTTTTTGGAACAGTAGTGACACATGGTTTTGTTACCACTAAAATGATCAGCGGGAAATTCTCTACAACATATAAAAAAACTGAAAAATGATTTTTTGTCACTCTAACATGCCCAACTCGTTCGCCCCTGAAAATTAAAATTTTTTTGAAAAAAATTTTTTCTTTGATGTTTTTGAGAAGACTCTTTGTTTTGCTAAACTTAAAATTGCATTTTGAGTTGTTTGATATAACTTTGGACCAATTTGAGCGAAAAATTGGCGAAATTCGACTTTTTCGGTTTTCGATTTTTATAATTTTGTAAATTAGGATTTTCACTCAACTTTTTTTAATATTTCGCGTTTTGTGGGGGCGGCCCTCCCACACCCCCGCCAAGGTCCCCTGACAAGTTTATGGCGGGTTTTCAGTAGTTTTAAAAATCGAGGAAATTTTCAATATGAAAAAAACTTGTCAAACTGGTCGAAAATTAAGTTTTTCAAAGCTTATTTTTGATAGAAAAAACATGATCTTTTGTGATATCTCTAAAAATTTGTTCACGATACCTTCAAAAACTCAATTAGACTTGAATTTTCAAAAAGTCCTATTTTTCGATCTTTGGCGGTTTATAACTTTTTGGACGTTCAGAAACACATAGTTTTGTTACAACAAAAATGATCAGCGTAAAAATTCTGTACAACATATGTGAAAAACCAAAAATGATATTTGTCGCTCTAACATCGCTTCAGAAACCGCTCAAGGAGGTCCGCCAAGACGATGGACAGCCGCTGGCAAAGCAGCCGAAGTCGTTCGCCAAAGAAAACGCCGCCAAGTTATAGCCTTCAAACAAACTCAGGTGGGCGACGAGGGCAACGAAGACAACTTTGACGAACACGAAAACCGTCGCAAGGAACAAAGCGATGGTTTTTTTAAACTTCCGTAACGGGAACTTTTAGACCTGTGAAAGTGTCCAAACCCAGTTGAAATTTTTGGTTAGGCGCAGGCTTGGCCTGCGCCCTATTTAGGGACAGGATCTCAGAAAATGGATTTCGCCGCGCCACTAGGAAATTTTTGCTTTTCACATATGTTGTGTAGAATCTGATTCTGGCAAAAAGTGTCAAAAACCGTGTGCCACCGTCCATCGAAGAGAGTTATAAGCCGCCAAAGGTGCAAAAATGGGTTTTTTTCAAAAATTCAGTGCTCAGTGAGTTTTGAAGATACTGTAATGGAATTTTTCACACATAAAGTAAAAAGACTTGACGTTTTATTTAAAAAAATAAATTTGTTTTGAAAAATATTGATTTTTGATTAATTTTTGCATTTTCAAAAATTTTCACGATTTTCGAACTGCCGAAAACCCACAAAAATCTTGTCAGAGTTCTTGTTTAACCTTTTGGAGGCGGTAGTACTCATTAATTTGAGCTATTTACAGTTTACCAAAAATGTTCATTTACAAAAATTATTAAAATTCGAAAAACCCGAAATGGCGATTTTCGCCATTTTTCGACCAAACCGGCTAAAAAGTTATATCAAACGACTTGAAATGCAATTGTGAGTTCAATAAAATAGGAATCATCTCAAAAACGCGAAAAAGATCAAGGGAAAAATTTTCAAAACTCAGGCTAACGAGTTGGGCATGTTAGGGTGGGAAACTCATTTTTCAATTTTCACATATGTTGTAGAGAATTTCACGCTGATCATTTTAGTTGTAACAAAACTATGTGTAACTTCACTCTCAACAAAGTTATAAGGCACCGAAGGTCAAAAAATGGGCTTTTTTGAAATTCCATGTCTGAATGAGTTTTGAAGGTATCGTGATGAAAATGTGCACATGTAGCATAACAAATTGAGTTCTTCCTATCAAAAGAACATAATTTCAAAATAAAAACGTTTTTGACAAAAGGGGGCGCTTTGGCGGGGGTGTGGGGCAGCCGCCGCCACCAAACGCAAAAATCTTTTAAAAACTAATTGTCAATCTTCATTTACAAACATTTTTTAAAATTTAGAACCGAAAAATCGAACTCGCACTTTTTCGCCACAACTTCGCCACATTTGTAATAAACTAATCCCGAGACACTAACTTTTGTTGAGAGTTTTGTTGAAAGAAAAACTTGAGGGAGAAACTTTTTGAGGGAGAAACTTTTGTTGAAAAATACGAACTGGAAAATGAACAAAAACACCAATTCAAACTACGCCAAAGTTATGCTCAATCAAAAGGCAACCTTCGGTTGTCAACAAAACTCGGAAAACCCATAGGAAGCTGGGTCGAAAGACGACCACAAAAGGAGGGATGCTATTTAGGGGCCTTTGGAATAAGCCTGACTGAAACCAACAAAAGTGGGAAAATCAAAAAAGCCTGAAAACTGAAAAAGACGAAATCCAACAAAACTGGGAAAATCAAAAAAGCCTGAAATCTGAAAAAGACGAATCCAACAAAACTGGGAAAATCAAAAAGCCTGAGAAGCGAAAAAGCGCGAATCCAACAAAACTAGGAAAATCAAAATCCCTCAAAAATAGCGTAAAACGCTATTTGACCCTAAATAGCGCGCCTAATTTAAAAAGCCGTCTTTCTTTCATAAGTTATCCAGCGTTTTTCTTCTTTCAGAATAGGCAATTTGGTTCGACATGCGAAAAAGTGATGCCGAATGATTCTAAATGATTCAAAACGAAGCAAAACGCTTAGAAATGTTTCGAAATGAATCGAAATGTTTTGAGATAAATCGAAATGGTTCGAAATGTTTTGAAATGATTCGAAATGAATCGAAATGTTTCAAAATGATTCGAAATGTTTCGAAATGTCTCGAAATGCTCCGAAATGATTCGAAATGTTTCGAAATGTTTCGAAATGTTTCGAAATGATTCGAAATGATTCGAAATGTTTCGAAATGTTTCGAAATGTTTCGAAATGTTTCGAAATGATTCGAAATGTTTCGAAATGCTCCGAAATGTTTCGAAATGTTTCGAAATGATTCGAAAAGATTCGAAATTGCTCGAAATGTTTCGAAATGAAAGAAAATCAAAATCACACTTTGAATATCCTGTTGACGGCGCGCTATTTAGGGTCAAATAGCGTTTTACGCTATTTTTGAGGGATTTTGATTTTCCTAGTTTTGTTGGATTCGCGCTCGCTTCTCAGGCTTTTGATTTTCCCAGCTTTTGTTGGATTTCGTCTTATTCAGATTTCAGGCTTTTTTGATTTTCCCAGTTTTGTTGATTTGGTCTCAAATTTTTCCAGGCATCCCTAAATAGCACTCTTTTTGTGGCCGTCCCTGCGGCCCAGTTTTTCGAGGGTTAGGCGCAGGCTTGGCCTGCGCCCTATTTAGGGACAGGCGAGCAGAAATCGATTTTGACGCGCCTCTAAGAATTTTCTTTATTTTTACATATGTTGTATAGAATTTCACGCTGATCAATTTAAAAGTGTCAAAACCGTGTGCCACCGTCCATCGAAGAGAGTTATAAGCCGCCAAAAGTCCAAAAATGGGTTTTTTCAAAAATGCACATCTCTGTCAATTTTGAAGGTATTGCAATCAAATTTTTTTCACATAATGTGTATAAACTTGTTGTTTTGTTTGAAAATAGAATGATTTTAAATATATTGATTTTTTTGATTAATTTTTGCATTATCAAAATTATCACAATTTTTGAACTGCCGAAAATCCACAAAAAAACCTGTCAGAGTTCTTGTTCAACCTATGGAGGCGGTAGTCCTTATCAATTCAAGCTATTTAAAAAAAGTTTATCAAAAAAATGTTCATTTACAAAATTATTAAAATTCGAAAACCCGAAATGGCGATTTTCGCTCTTTTTGACCTAACTGGCTAAAAAGTTATATCAAACGACTCAAAAATGCAATTGTGAGTTCAATGAAAATAATATTCATATCAAAAACTCAAAAAGAAAAATTTTTTTCGAGCCAAAAATTTTGATTTTCGGCCGAACGAGTTGGGCATGTTAGAGTGAAAAAATTTATTTTTCAGTTTTCACATATGTTGTAGAGAATTTTACCCTGATCATTTTAGTTGTAACAAAAACCATGTGTAACTTCACTCGCAACAAAGTTATGAGAGGTCGAAAATGGGCTTTTTGAAGTTTCATGACTGATCTTCACGATTTTCACGATTTTCGAAGTGTTGAAAAACCAAAAACTTGTCAGGGGACCTTATCGGGGTGGGGCAGCCGCCCCCACAAAAACGCAACAGTTATTCATCAAAAAGTCTTCATTTTTCAAAATTATTAAAAATCAAAAACCGAAAAAGGTGTTCAAAGCTTCTTCAGCGGTGACGTTCGCTGGCATTTCTTCTCGCCACGGAACGAACATCATGCAAAGCCTGCGGAAAGTAGTCTTTCGCAGACTTGGTGTCGCCTTCAACGTCCGGCAAGAAAGTGCGCAGCACCTGTTAGAAAAACTTGTTTTTATTAATTTAAAAATAGAAAAACCTGTGTTTTTCGTTTGCGAAAATACTTCGTGACTTTCGTATTGCCTTGTGCATATTCGAAAGGGCAGACAACATCCAGCTTCAAGGGCAGGGAAGCAGAACCATGGCGACCGGATGTCTCCCGACAGACTTATGCCAATAAAATTGGCTCTGTTCTTCCTTCAGCACTGCTGGTCGTTCCATGAGCTCCTCGAATTCTCCGTGGCGCAAGAAACGTGCTCCTCTTTTACAGCCTCATCTTTTCCGACGACCTCGAAGTTCATCACGACGGTGAAAAGGGAAAACTTCTAAAGTTTTTATACGTTTTTATTCGAAAAATTATTTGAGTTTTAAAAATGTTCCTGATCTCTTTAAAACTTCATAAATTCAATCTCAGTAATTGAATTACTTTTTGTTTTCAAAGTTTTCAAATTTTTATTGAAAAATTGCATGAAAATAAATTTTTCAATGCAATTATTGGAAGTTTTACTCATGCTTCGAGTTTTAAAAATTCTCTTGATCACTTTGAGACTTAATAAATTCAATTCATATGTTGATTTACTTTTGTTTTCAAAGATTCCAAATTTTCATTAAAAAATGAAAAATAACTTTTCTAATGGAACTATTTGAGAGTTATGAAAATAATTGAAAAATGAAACGTTTTTTTAACTAGCCTCCAGCTCTTCAGGCCTTTTTAGGGATAATAGGTGTCAATGATATTGTCGACGTAGGCTGGTCCATCGCCTCCTTTTTCAACTTCGCTCGCTGAACGCAGTTGCCGATTCCTTTTAGCATCTTCGTTCGTGTTGAGGAAGACGTGTCCCAGTGTCGAATCCAGCTTACAGCCTCATGTGACAAGAGTACGTCCATCATTTCGAGCATCCCAGTTTCCTGATAATGGTTTTTATTCTAATGAAAATGAATGATTCTGAAAACCTTTTTGACGCAGAAGATCCAGCATGGTTTTGAACATTTTTCGTTGTCGAGGTCATCAGCAGACATGTCCAACAAACTGACGCCTTTGGATTTCTCAGACTTCGTGGCGTAGACGGTGATGTAGTTGACGACATCATTGGCTCCCGCCATTATGTATTGAACATCAGTGTTTGCTTTCCAAGCCAAACTGATGCAAGCGTTATAGTCATTCACCATCTAAAAATTTTTTTCTTTCATTTTCTCAATCTGATTTGAAAAATTTTTATATATATGGTTCAAATTTGCAAACATTTTTTAAACTTACAATGTCCTCTTTTTCGCGCCAAGTAGTACTGCTTCTGAGGTACGCCTGGCAGTCTGAGAAGATCCTCCGAGAAGCCCAAAACCGTTGTTTTCGCCATCACAGGTCTCTGGGAAAACCAAATCTAAAATGTTCAAATTTTGCTTAAAAGCTAATTTGATTTTTGAAAAACCTGCATGTTTGGGTTTTTGTCCCTCGTCTTTTCTTCACTCGCAAACACGTCTTTGAATGTTTCTGCCAGTGAATCTGAAAAATATATTAAAAGTTTTTCTTTCCAAAAAGACGCATAAAAACTTTGAAACTTGCTTGATGTTTGCTGATGATCTCAAAAAGTTCCGGTTCATTCTCTTGTCTGGCATACGAGTCGTCACGTATTTGTCGAGGTAGTCTGCGACTTCTTGCGGGCTCGCTTCTTCCTTTGGTTTTTCCAGAGCCCAAAACAAACAGTGAACGTGTTGTGTTTCTCTTTGCTGGTACTCTAGTCTCCAGAAATGATGAATAAGCGTGCCTAACGGCCCGTCCTTTTCCATCAAAATCTGAAAAAAAAAAATTCGTCAACTGATTTCGTATTTTTCGATGTCGAGCGTCTGATCTTTCCGACATTTTCGATGGCTGATGATCCTCACATGTAAACCCATCTTGTTCAGCCTGAGCCTGAAACATGTATCTTTCAATGTCAACGCAAGGGCTGTCATGGGCATGTTCCGACTTGTTTCGAGGTTTACTCGAGTATTATCGAATGAGCCAGGCCTGTTCTCAGAGCGTCCAAACCCACTAGAAACTTTGTATCAGTACGCTGAGCAGTGAGCCAGTCTTGTATTTACTATTAGATCTTTTCAGGCATTTTAGGTGCATCACTCACAAAAACACTGACTGCACCTCAGGTGCAGTCCAGTGCACCTCGGGTGAATGCACCCACGACACACCACACCGCACCGCACCTGATGTGCAGTCCAGTGTTTTGTGGGTGCAATCCCAAAATGCCTGAAAATTTCTATGTCCCGAAATTCAAAATTTTCCCCCTTAACTAAGTTGGAAAACCCTACAACACCTTTCTCACAACATGAACATTGCAAATTCATAAGTTTCTAGTGGTTTGGACACTTTTCAGACGCCTAAAGACGGGTTTTTGAGCCGATTTGTTGTGAAATCTGCTCGAAATTGCTCGAAATGGTCGAAATAGTCGGAAGACTGGTTGAAAGTGTCCAAACCCACTTGAACCTTCCTAGTTTACAAGTTACAAGAGAGTTCATATGTTTCCTAAGGCTCAAGTGGGCTTGACAAATTTCAGACACCTAGGATGGGTTTTTGAGCCTTTTGTTGTGAAGTTCATCGAAATCTCCTCGAAATGGTCGAAAAAGTCGGAAGACTGGCTGGAAAAGTGTCCAAACCCACTCAGTGATAGACATAGCAGTGTTAGAGTATGAACTTGGGGACATGAAATTTTCAGGCATTTTTGGGTGCACCCCAGGTGCAGTCCAGTGTTTTGTGGTGCACCCAAAATGCCTGAAAATTTCTATGTCCCGAAATTCAAAATTTTCCCCCTTAACTAAGTTGAAACTCCTACAACACCTTTCTCACAACATGAACATTGCAAATTCATAAGTTTCTAGTGGGTTTGGACACTTTTCAGACGCCTAAGACGGGTTTTGAGCCGATTTGTTGTGAAATTGCTCGAAATTGCTCGAAATGGTCGAAATAGTCGGAAGACCGGGCTGGAAAGGTCCAAACCCACTTGAACCTTCCTAGCTTTACAAGTTGGCAAGAGAGTTCACATGTTTCCTAAGGCTCAAGTGGGCTTGACAAATTCTCAGACACCTAGGATGGGTTTTGAGCCTCTGTTGTGAAGTTCATCGAAATTCCCTCGAAATGGTCGAGTCGAAGACCGGCTGGAAAGTGTCCAAACCCACCAGGTAGTGATGTTCATGTTGTGAGAAAGGTGTCGTAGGAGTTTCAACTTAGTTAAGGGGGAAAATTTTGAATTTTGGGACATAGAAATTTTCAGGCATTTTTGGGTGCACCCCAGGTGCAGTCCAGTGTTTTGTGAGTGCACCTTAAAAATGCCTGAAAATTTCTATGTCCTGAAATTCAAAATTTTCCCCTTTAATCCAAGTTGAAACTCCTACAACACCTTTCTCACAACATGAACATTGCAACTCATAAGTTTCTAGTGGTTTGGACACTTTTCAGACGCCTAAGACGGGTTTTTGAGCCGATTTTATTGTGAAATTGCTCGAAATTGCTCGAAATGGTCGAAATAGTCGAAGACCGGCTGGAGTGCCAAACCCACTTGAACCTTCCTAGTTTACAAGTTACAAGAGAGTTCACATGTTTCCTAAGGCCGGGCGTGGGCTTGGACAAACCTGCAGACACCTAGGATGGGTTTTGAGCCTTTGTTGTAGTTCATCGAAATTCCTCGAAATGGTCGAAAAGTCGGAAGACGGCTGGAAAGTGTCCCAAACCCACCCAGGTAGTGATGTCTGCGTTGCAGACAGTGTTGTAGTGAGCTCAACTGCAGCGGCGTGTACTTTGATCACCCTGCGACATAGAGATCTTTCGTGGCATCTTTTGGGTGCACCCCAGGTGCAGTCCAGTGTTTTGTGGGTGCACCTAAAAATGGCCTGGAAAATTTCTATGTCCTGGAAATTCAAAATTTTCCCCTTAACTAAGTTGAAACTCCTACAACACCTTTCTCACAACATGAACATTGCAAATTCATAAGTTTCTAGTGGGTTTGGACACTTTTCAGACGCCTAAGACGGGTTTTGAGCCGATTTGTTGTGAAATTGCTCGAAATTGCTCGAAATGGTCGAAATAGTCGGAAGACCGGCTGGAAAGTGTCCAAACCCACTTGAACCTTCCTAGTTTACAAGTTACAAGAGAGTTCACATGTTTCCTAAGGCTCAAGTGGGCTTGGACAAATTTCAGACACCTAGGATGGGTTTTGAGCCTTTTGTTGTGAAGTTCATCGAAATTCCTCGAAATGGTCGAAAAAGTCGGAAGACCGGCTGGAAAGTGTCCAAACCCACTCAGGTAGTGATGTTCATGTTGTGAGAAAGGTGTTGGAGTTTTCAACTTAAAATTTTCGGGACATGAAATTTTCAGGCATTTTGGGTGCACCCCAGGTGCAGTCCAGTGTTTTGTAGAGTGCACCTAAAATGCCTGAAAATTTCTATGTCCTGAAATCTGTAAATTTTCCCCTTAACTAAGTTGGAACTTGGACAGACAAAAAGGCTCACCAAAA